GGGTGGGGCTTAAGCACAGGCTTTGGGGTCAGGTGACCCGGGACCCAGGCCCACACCCTTGGAACCTTCCTGTCCTTGGGAACCGGCCGCCATGGCTCGCTGCTGACGAACCTTCGAGAAATGCAGCTTCCCAGGCCCACACCAGTCCTGGTGCGTCGGATCTGGGGGTTCTGGTGCCCACATTTGGCACAGGAGGTCACCCGGGAGGAGGCACCTCCCTTTCCTGGCTGTGATCTGTCCCTGCTGTCGGTGAAACCCGAGGTTCCGTGGGGTTCTGGGGATACAGCCCAACGGGCCTTCCTCACTCCCGTGTGCCCAGCTCCCTGGGCCTGTCCCACTCTGCACTGCCCACCCAGCTCACCGACCTCCCTGTCCGGTCCTGGCGCAGAAGCCCTCCTGCCCGCTGCCCCGCCCGGGCGCTGGCGCTGCTTGTACTGAGCCAGCCCCGGGGCCTGTGGGTTTCCCCCCCGCACAAGGTTGACCGTCAGTGAATGACACAAGCAGGAATCAGGTAGCAGGAAGTAAAGCCTCGGGGGGGGGGGGGCAGCTGCTGCTTGTCAGGCAGACAGAAACGCGGGCCTCAGTCGGCGCTGGGGAAGACCCCCGCTTCCCGAGCGCGCGCGTGTGTTAATCTGCCCCCAAGGGTATTTTCTCCATTGCTTGTTAGAGAGCATGAAAGGGAAGGAGGGAGGGGAAGAGAGAGAAACATCGAGGTGAGAGAGAGACACATCGATCGGGTGCCTCTGGCAGGACCCCCACCAGGCCCAGAGATTGAACCTACAACCCAGTATGGGCCCTTGACTGGGAATCAAACCCTCGACCCTTTGTGCTGGGGGTGGGGGGGTGACCACTGAGCCGGCCAGCCAGGGCAGCTTCCTGAGTTAAACAAGTCAGTTTTGCGTAACTGTCGAGGTCCCCAGGACCACCCCCAGGCTCGGACTCAGGCGGAGGCTGCAGGCTCCAGCCAATCCCCCTCCTCCTGGCCCCGGGACTGTGTGAAATCACAGGCCTCCGAGGGCCTCCTCCGGCCCAGACGTCCCAACAGGCTGCTTTAGCTGTGGGTTCAAAGCACAGCATCCGTGGACTCACTCAGCAGGGCCGGGCAGCTGGCAGAGGGGCCAGAAAGGGTGTTACCAGCAAAGGAGGTCAGGTCGCCCCGAGCGCCCAGGGGCAGGCGGCACACACCCCGTCAACACCCCTTGGTGTGGCAGGTTGCAGGCCCCTAGGCTAAAGCAACTGCTTGCACTTTTCACGTCAGTTACAAAAAAAAAATCAGAAGTTAAATTGTTTTATTTTAATTTTTTTCCTTTATTGATTTGAGAGAGAGAGAGGAAGTGAGAGGGAGAGAGAGAGAGAAACGTCGATGAGAGCCCTGGCCAGTTTGGGTCAGCGGTTAGAGCGTTGGCCCACGGACCAGAGAGTCCCGGGTTCGATTCCCGCTAAGGGCACGTACCTCGGTTGCAGTTTGTCCCCAGCCCCAACTGGGGTCGTGTGGGTGGCAACCACTCGATGTATCTCTCTCACATCGATGTTTCTCTCTCTCTTCCTCCCTCCCGCTCTATCTGAAGATAAATGCAAAAATGTCCTCGGGTGAGGATTAAAAAGAAAAGAAACACCGATGCGAGAGAACATCGACTGGCCGCCTCCTGCACGCCCCCCACTGGGGATCGGGCCCACAACTTGGGCACGTGCCCTGACTGGGAATCAAACCAGTGATCTCTTGGTGCAGGGGTCGGCACTCAACCACTGAGCCACACCAGCTGGACAGAAGTTAAACTGCTTAAAAAACAAAAACACTGTTTTGTAACCCAGTGTGGCGGGCCCGTGGGCCCCATCACTGCCTGGAGAGCTAAGACGCCCCTGTCCACAGGGATCGGGCCTGGGAGGCCTGTCTGCGGGGCAGGGGCAGGGCAGGCCGAGTGGGCACCAGTCCTGGTCTGGACTTCACGCCCTCCCAGGCCCCCTCCCAGGACGGCTGGCCCAGAGCCCCAGCACAGCAAGGTGGGGGGCTGGCTGATCCCCACCGAGCTATGTGCCACTGCTCCCCGGGTTGGTGCTGCCTGTGGCCTTGGTCTTGAGGCCGGAACTACCGGGTCCAGCTGGCCAGGCAGCCCTGATCTCCAGGACTCTGAAGACAGAGGTCTGGCAGGTGCCAGGCTGTCCTCTGTCCTCCGTGCTCTGGGGCTGCCAATGGGCTCGGGACCTGAGCAAACGCCCCTCTGGATTGCAACAGCTCCCTCCGGTCACAGCGGCACAGGACGCCTTTATGCAAACAAAACAAACACACCTACCTGGTTTCCCCGAAGTGGAGTCCTGCCGGAGGGGACGGGCAGACGGCAGACAACGTGAGCGGTGTGGCATGTGGCAGGAAGATGTGGGAGTTACTCCTGAGGATCCGACGGCTTTGGCTAGAAATAAGTGACAGGGAGTTGGCCAAGGGTCTTGAGGTTTGCACCCTGGAGACCACTAGGGGGCACACCCAGCGTGTTCTGCGGAGGAAGGGAAGTCTGAGGGTTTGACAGGGAAAAGCACACACTCCGAAATCAGGCCTGTACTCTGAGCCCCCAGACTGGTACAAAATGGCCACTGCCTCGTGTCCGGGGGTCACTGGAACATCGTGATTCCAAAGCCACTCAGGTGGCTCACCGAGGGTGTGATGTGTGCCCAGGCCTGACGCAGGGCGGGCGGCCACGCACCAAGGGCCTGGTACAGGACAGGAGAGTCTAGACATGGACGTTTCCGGTCAGGACAGCCCACTTGACCACGGCGACCCCAGTTGAGTTCTCACTCGGCCGCTGAGAAGCTCGGGGCAGACGGGAGGCTTGGCCACAGCAGAAGGGGCTGAGCAAAGACAAGAACGGCATTCCAGGCGAGGGGACCGCGAAGACACAGATGCTTGCGCTACAGGCGTGAAGGGGCAGTGTGGCTGGGGAGACCGTGCCGGGGGAGTCCCGACTGGACAAGCCGGCCCGCGGGAGGGAGAGCGGGACCAGAGGGGACGGGCAGAGTCCCCGGGCTGCAGGCGAGGAGGCCAGGGCCAGAGTGAGCTGAAGCTTGGCCCTGGGGAGGAGGCTCCTTGCTCCCAGCAGGCAGGAGGTCCCCCACATGGAGGGTGTCAGCCCAGACTAGGGCACAGCCATGGGGCTGACACCCTCTCGGGGCGGAGGAGGGGTTCTCCAGGGCGCTGGCAGGTCAGCACCAGGCTGGGCCAGGCTGGCCCCACACGATGAGTGCACATGTGTCCCCAGGCCAGCCCAGCCTCAGACACCACGGCGCAGCAGGACGTGAGGCTGCCAGTCCCTTGGGGGTCTGCACGGGCCCTCACACAGCCCCCCACCTTGGTGCCTGAGCCCCTGGCAGGCCCTCGCCACCCCACCTGACCCAGGTCCGAGGCGTCTCCATTCCTTAGGGCCCCGCTCATGCCCCTGCACCTCCCCTGGCCCATCCCTGGGGCTGTCCCTCTCCACCAGGCTCATGAGCCCCCAGGCCTCCACTTGCAGCTCCCAGGAGGTGGTAGTGACCCTGGGCCTCCTCGGCCCCACCTGCTCCCCACCTGCTGGCTGCCCCCACCTGACGCACCCCGTGGGGCGTCTGCTTCTCTCCTGGCTGGCCGTGCACCGGCTGGGGCAGCCTCCCTGGGTCCAGCCCTGAGGGAGCTCCGTGAGGAAGGGGGGCAGGAATGGAGGAGGGGCGGAGGGGGGAGCTCCCGCCAGGCTTCCCTGTGGGAGACCAGGCCACATCCGGGCATGCCTGCCCTAGGCCAGCATAGACCACATCTTGGGGGCCATCTGCCGATTTCGTCTATGTCTTTATAGACAGAGTACCACACCTCGCCCCTGCCGGTTGTGAGGTCCCCAACTGCTCAGGCTTGACTGACCAGCCTGGCTAAAACAGGTGGGGTCCCCATGCCCCCAAGATGTCACACCAACCCAGCCTCGGCAATGAGTGTAGGAGGAGGGCTCCGCTGAGCTCAGGAGCGAACTCCTGCTGGGTCCCAGGGGAGGTGCTGGCTCCTTGGTCGCCTGCAGAGGCCCTGAGGCTGCCCTGGGTGTCACGGCGCAGGGGTCAGAGCCCTGAGCAGGGAACTGTGGGAAGCCCGCGAGCAGCTCAGGGTCACAGGCCCAGCGCCTCCCTCACCGGGCCGCAGGCAGCATGTGGCCGCTCTGACTTTGGGGACACCAGCGGCTCTGCTGGGGGCCCCCTCCACGGGTCTGGCTCATTCTCCTGCCCGGACCCTTGACTCACATTTATTCTGCCTGCCTGTCTCCACAGCAAACAGAGGAGTCTCCCCACCTCCCACACTCACTCTTGGTTACAGGTGTAATTCCCAACCTCAGGGCCCGTGGGCGTGAAGGGGCAGAGGGCGTACTGTTTCCTAAGGGGTCAGGAATGACCATGTCCTCAGTGTGTGCATGTGCACGTGTGTGTGCATGTGTGCATGTGTGTTGTGTGCGTGTGTGCACGTGCGTGCGTGCACATGCACGTGCACGTGCGAGTGCACATGTGTGTGCCTTGTGCATGTGTGTTGTGTGTGCGTGTGCATGCATGTGCACGTGTGTCATGTGCACATGTGTGTCACGTGCACGTGTGTGTGTGTGCGTGTGCCTGTGTACATGCGTGTCGGGGCTAAATCTGGCCCAGGGCTTGTTCTGTAAATAAAGTTATTGCACACGGCCCACCGTGGCGGCTGCTCCACACAGCGACAGCCTGGTTGAGTGTCCGGCACACACAGTAAGGCCTGCCAAGCCTGGAATATTTGCTCTCTGGTCCTTTAAGAAAACCTTGGGGGCCCCCTGAGCCCGCAGGAGCACTGGGCTGGGTGTCCACCCCAGATAGCTGAGCAGAGCCCGCAGGATGGGGCTGATGGGTGGAAGTCCAGGCTGTTTCCGATTGACTGGTCTCGGAAGGCTCCTCCTCCCCACCAAGGGTTGAACACCCAGGCTGTCAGGCCCTGACAGGAAGGACAAGCATTAACAAGGGTCAGGTAACAGCCAGCTGGGAGATGTTCCGCACTCTGACCTCGGCCAGTGTGGCCCTGGGGCCGCGGGTGGCGGGCTGGGTGCGCACCATGGCCTCGCACCAGCTGCTGGTGGCTCCCCCAGAGGCCCTGCTCAAGCCCCTGTCGGTGCCCAGCCGGCTCCTACTGGGGCCCGGGCCCTCCAACCTGGCTCCGAGGGTCCTGGCAGCCGGGGGCCTGCAGATGATCGGCCACATGCACCAGGAGATGTACCAGGTGGGCCTGGGCGCGGTCTGTCCACACGCATCCTCGCCGCAGGCGGCTAGGGGCCGGGCCCGGTCTGACCTGTACCCCCCCCCCCCAGATAATGGACGAGATCAAGCAAGGCATCCAGTACGTGTTCCAGACCAGGAATCGCCTCACGCTGGCGGTCAGTGGCTCTGGGCACTCTGGCCTGGAGGCTGCCCTGTTCAACATCCTGGAGCCTGGGGACTCCTTCCTGGTCGGGGTCAACGGCATCTGGGGGCAGCGGGCAGCCGAAATCGGGGAGCGCATTGGTAAGGGACAGGGCAGAGGGTGGGGTGTAGCCTCCGATCCATCTTTCCCCATCCTCCCACCTCTGGTAGGACGCCTGGCAGCCCCCTCATCCCAGGTACTGACCTTGGCCCCTCCCTGTCCCTGTGGCCTCCGCCTTCTGGCCAGTCTGGGTGTCACGATGCTCCAGAGTTTGGGAATGGCTGTTTCTTGAGCACACGGCGGGGGGGAGGGGTGCGTTGTAGGGAACCCTCTAGTTTCAGCCTTCCCAGGGGTCACTTCTACCGTAAGAGAGGGTTTCAGAGGCTGAATTCCTCCTCAAAAGTCTCAGAAACAGTCTCTTTCCGGAGTCACCAAATGCAGAGGAATGGACAGGGTCTCCCAGAATGAGATTTCTAGGGACAGCACTCAGGAGCCGGGTGTGCCCAGGTTTAATGATTGACCGCGCTTTGGAAACGGCTGCGTGGTCAGCTCTACACATGGCCGGACCCTGCCCGGTTAATGGACAACTTCTGACAGCTCAAGGGGGTCCCGACCCCTCACCTGGCCCCCTTTGTCCACATCCTGGTTGGGCAAAGGCCAGGAACTCAGTAACTCTGACCACCCAGGGCTCGCCCAGACAGACACCTGCCCTGTCCCCACCCCACACCCCAACCTCAGGCTCTCCCCTGAGGCTTGGACAGTCCTGGGGCCTCCTTGTCTCCTACTTATGGCTCTGAGGCTCACTATGCATGGGGTACAGGAGCCTGAGGAAGGAAGCAGGAAAGGGCTGTTTACCTGGAGCCCCTCCCTCCCCTTCCCTCCCCACTTCCTCCCTCCTTCCCTCCCTCCCCTTCCTCCTCTCCCTCCCTCCCCCTTCCTTCCCTCCCTCCTTCCTTCCCTACCTCCCTCCTTCCTTCTCTTCCTCCCTCCTTCCCTCCCTCCCTCCCCCTTCCTCCTCCCTCCCTCCTTCCCTCCCTCCCTCCTCCTTCCCTCCCTCCCTCCCCCTTCCTTCTCTCCCTCCCTTCCTCCCTCCTTCCCTCCCTCCCTCCCCCTTCCTTCTCTCTCCCTCCCTCCCTCCTTCCCTCCCTCCCTCCCCCTTCCTTCTCTCCCTCCCTCCCTCCCTCCTTCCCTCCCTCCCTCCCCCTTCCTTCTCTCCCCTCCCTCCCTCCCTCCTTCCCTCCCTCCCTCCCCCTTCCTTCTCTCCCTCCCTCCCTCCCTCCTTCCCTCCTCCCTCCCTCCCCCTTCCTTCTCTCCCTCCCTCCCCCCTTCCCTCCCTCCCTCCCCCTTCCTTCTCTCCTTCCCTCCCCTCCCTCCCCCTTCCTTCTCTCCTCGCCCTCCCTCCCTCCTTCCCATCCCTCCCTCCCTCTCCCCTTCCTTCTCCTCCTCCCTCCCTCCCTCCCCCCTTCCTTCTCTCCCTCCCTCCCTTCCCCCCTCCTCCTCTCCTCCCTCCCCCCTTCCTTCTCTCCTCCCTCTCCTCCCTCCCTCCTCCCTCCCCCTTCCCTCCCTCCCTCACGTCCCCCCATTCCTTCTCTCCCTCCCTCCCATGCCTCCTCCCCCTTCTTCGCTTCCTCCTTCCTCCCTCCCTCCCTCCCCCCTTCCTTCCTTTCCTCCCTCCCTCCCTCCCTCCCTCCGTCCCTCCCTCCCCCCTTTCTTCTCCTCCCTCCCTCCCTCCCTCCCCCCTTCCTTCTCTTCCTCCCTCCCTCCCTCCCTCCCTCCCTCCCTCCCTCCCTCCTTCCCTCCCTTCCTCCCCTTCCTTCTCTCCCTCCCTTCCTCCCTCCTTCCCTCCCCCCTTCCTTCTCTCCCTCCCTTCTCTCCCTCCCTCCCCCCTCCCCCTTCCCTCCCTCCCTCCCCCCTTCCTTCTCTCCCTCCCTCCCTCCCCCCTTCCTTCTCTCCCTCCCTCCCTCCCTCCTCCCTCCCTCCCCCCTTCCTTCTCTCCCTCCCTCCCTCCCCCTTCCCTCCCCCCCCCCTTCCTTCTCTCCCTCCCTCCCTCCCCCCTTCCTTCTCTCCCTCCTTCCTCCTCCTTCCCTCCCTCCCCCTTCCTTCTCTCCCTCCCTTCTCTCCCTCCCGCCATCCCTCCCCCTTCCCTCCCTCCCTCCCCCCTTCCTTCTCTCCCTCCCTCCCTCCCCCCTTCCTTCTCTCCCTCCCTCCCTCCCCCCTTCCTTCTCTTTCTCCCTCCCTCCCTCCTTCCCTCCCTCCCCCTTCCTTCTCTCCTTCCCTCCCTCCCACCCCCTTCCGTCTCTCCCTCCCTTCCTCCCTCCGTCCCTCCCTCCCCCCTTCCTTCTCTCCCTCCTTCTCTCCCTCCCTCCCTCCCCTCCCCCTTCCTTCTCTCCCTCCCTTCCTCCCTCCTTCCCTCCCTCCCCCCTTCCTTCTCTCCCTCCCTTCTCTCCCTCCCTCCCTCCCTCCCCCTTCCCGCCTCCCTCCCCCCTTCCTTCTCTCCCTCCCTCCCTCCCCCCTTCCTTCTCTCCCTCCCTCCCTCCCTCCTTCCCTCCCTCCCCCCTTCCTTCTCTCCCTCCCTCCCTCCCTCCTTCCCTCCCTCCCCCCTTCCTTCTCTCCCTCCCTCCCTCCCCTTCCCTCCCTCCCCCCTTCCTTCTCTCCCTCCCTCCCTCCCTCCCCCTTCCCTCCCTCCCTCCCTCCCTCCCCCTTCCTTCTCTCCCTCCTCCCTTCCTCCCCCATTCCTTCTCTTCCTCCCTCCTTCTCTACCTCCCTCCCCTTCCCTCCCTCCCTCCCCCTTCCCTTCCTCCCTCCCCCCTTCCTTCTCTCCCTCCCTCCCTCCCCCCTTCCTTCTCTCCCTCCCTCCCTCCCTCCCCCTTCCTTCTCTCCCTCCCTCCCTCCCTCCCTCCCCCTTCCTTCTCTTCCTCCCTCCTTCTCTACCTCCCTCCCTCCCCCTTCCCTCCCTCCCTCCCCCTTCCCTCCCTCCCTCCCTCCCCCTTCCCTCCCTCCCTCCCCCCTCCCTCCCTCTCTCCACTGGGAAGCCACCATCCTGTGACCTGGCACGATGCCCTAGCACTTCCCCTGTGAGGAGGCTGGGCAAGGCGGCATGAGGAAGAGACAGCAGAGCCCAGCTAGCCTAGCTCTCCACCTGGGCACCCCGAAGCCCCCGCTGACGAAGAGCCTCACCGAGTGCACCCCACTTTCCTCTCCCGTGCAGTGGCGGGGGCTGGGAGGGCTCACTGCTCACTCTGCCCCTGCCACCAGGAGCCCGCACACACCAGATGACCAAGGAACCCGGAGGCTACTACACCAAGCAGGAGGTGGAGGAGGTGAGGGACTGTCAGTGGCCCCGGAAAGGTGGGGCTGGCTCGCTGGGTGGGCTGGGCTGGGCAGCTGGGGCCGGTGGCTTCCCAGCACCAGGTGACCCACCACAGGATTCTGTACCTGGAGGCAGGTGGGCAGCCCCATAGGGAGGGTTCTGCCTGGCAGGGAAACTGAGTCAGGAGCCCAATCCTGTGGGCAGGGCCAGAGGCGCTGGAGGCGAGAGGTGGGGAGCAGGACTTCCACCCTCATGGGGGAGATCAGTCCCAACCAGCCCAGACCCTAGGGACTCAGCTCACCTCACCAAGGTCCCAAGGGACGGGCTAAGAGGCTGAGGCCATGCTCCCTGGGTCTCCGGGAGGAAGTCCCTCTTCCTGGAACCAGACCACCAGGGTTGCACCAAGCATGGGGGGGAGGGGGGAGTGAGGAGGGGGGCTGCCCTACCCTCACCAGGAAAAGTCCTTCTGGGGGCATTGGCTGGCCCAGGGGAGGCCCCTCCCACCACTGGCTCTGCCCACAGCTGTCACCCCTGTGCCCCTCAGTGCCTGGTCCAGCACAAGCCGGTGCTGCTGTTCCTGACCCAAGGGGAGTCATCCAGCGGTGTGCTGCAGCCCCTCGACGGCTATGGGGACCTCTGCCACAGGTGAGCCTGTCCCCACAGGTGAGCTGGTCCCCACAGGTAAACCAGTCCCCACAGGTGAGCCTGTCCCCTCAGGTGAGCCTGTCCCACAGGTAAACCAGTCCCCACAGGCGAGCTGGTCCCCACAGGTGAGCCTGTCCCCACAGGTGAGCCTGTCCCACAGGTAAACCAGTCCCCACAGGTGAGCCGGTCCCCACAGGTGAGCCGGTCCCCATAGGTAAACCAGTCCCCACAGGTGAGCCTGTCCCCACAGGTGAGCTGGTCCCCACAGGTGAGCTGGTCCTCATAGGCAAACCAGTCCCCACAGGTGAGCCGGTCCCCACAGGTGAGCCCGTCCCCATAAGTAAACCGGTCCCCACAGGTGAGCCGGTCCCCACAGGCGAGCCTGTCCCCACAGGTGAGCCTGTCCCACAGGTGAGCCTGTCCCACAGGTAAACCAGTCCCCACAGGCGAGCCGATCCCCACAGGCGAGCCTGTCCCCACAGGTGAGCCTGTCCCCACAGGTGAGCCGGTCCCCACAGGTAAACCAGTCCCCACAGGTGAGCCGGTCTCAAGGTGGCAGTGCTGGGGGCAGAGCCAAGCACAGCTCAGCCCAGGCTGAGCGGGTGGAGGTGCCAGCAGGTCCCTCCAGCTGGGTGGTGGCAGGTGAGGCCTAGTCCCCATCCCTCACTGCCCTGTCCAGCCTCTGTCACGTGATGTGGGGGTGGCAGCTCTCAGGATCCCCCTTGTTCTTCGCCAAGTCTGGGTGGGCTCCCCCCTTCTGAGAGCAGGTTGGGGTCCTCCAGGGCCCAGTGCCCGCATGGTGCCTGCTGTCCTCCAGTCCCGGGGGGGATGGGCTCGATGCCCCCCAGCTGTCCAGGTGCCAGGACCTGGGGGCCCCTGCCTCCCCTCACGAAGATCCCAGAGCCCGAGGTGGCTTCTGCCCGCCACTTCCCTGCCCTGGCCTCCCCACCCCTGCCTAGGGGCCCGGGGACCCTCCTGGGACCTGCAGTCCTGCTGTGCAGAGTGGACCACAGGCTGGGAGGAGGAGACTCCATGGGGGCCCAGGGGCCGCCGGGCACAGCCCCAGCCCGCAGCCTGTCCCCAGGAGTCCTGTTCAGTGAACAAGCTCCCAAACATGACCCGGCTATGACTCCCGTGGGACCCACCTGTCCCTCGGCACCCGGCACGGAGCACAGGGCAGCCGGCGCGGAGGATAGGCAGAGGGAGGCCCAGGCTCGGGGGGACAGTCCCTGGGTCCCACACATCCCGGGGGCTGAGCCCTCAGAGCCCCCACGCCCCAGGCCTCCTGGGCTGGCCCATATGCGCCCCTGTGTGTGAATCCGGGGGCGGGGGCAGGGAGCTGAGCCTGCTGCCCCTCCCCCAGGTACCAGTGCCTGCTCCTGGTGGACTGTGTGGCATCCCTGGGCGGGGCCCCCATCCACATGGACCAGCAAGGTAAGGGCGTGCCCCAACACCCCAGCTCCGTGAACTGATCAACACCCGGTGTTTCCGCTGGGCCGTCTGCACCAGTGGGGGGCGGAAGCTTCTCTGGGTTCGCACTGGGGAGGGTGGGGGAAGGGCGGGGGGCTGCGATGCCTCTGGTCCCAGTTGGGCCTCAGTTTCCCGTCTGCCACGGCCCCCACCAGCCTGTCACACTCGGTGAGTGCCACCCTCGGGGTCGCCTTGCAGACCAGCTGAAGAAGCCTCCGGGTCAGTGAAGGGGCTCTGTAGGCCGACCCCACACCACTGCTCTGGATGAAAGGGGCAGAGGGGGGCCCAGGGACGCAGTGCAGGGTGGCAGGGCTGTCCCCAAGATGCCACCTGCTCCTCCCGGGCTGGCGGGAGGGGAACCGAGCTAAGAGGCTGCAGCCGAGACCCCAGAGTGCAGACCCCGCAGTCAGCAGGGCCAGGCGGGAGCCCGGGTGCCCTCGGCGCCACGCCCTCCGAGGCGCTGCCCCTGAGCTGGTCCTTCCGTGGGCACTGACGGCAGGCACCCCCACTGCACCCTTCTCTTCCTGGGAGACTCTGGGCTCTTTGCGGTTCAGGGTGTCAGGAATAATACAGAGGACAGGGTCGTGCAGGGTTAGGGCGGCCCTCTCCCCTCGGAGCCACGGGACCCTCTGCTGCTGCCCGAATGACAAGACGGCCTCAGGTGGTGGCGTAGTTTCCGTGACAGGTGGGGGTCAGCGCTCCACATGCAGAGAGGTCTCCTCCACTGCTCTGCCCCGGGGGGGGGCAGGTCCCACCTGCCTCAGGGTCGTGGCAGACCCCACAGACAGGGCCTGGTCTGCAAGGGTGTGGCTCTCACTTCTGACACCAGTACCAGTGGCACGGTGGCCCCCAAGCTCCCCAAAACAGGCAGCCTTCTGGAATGACCCCACCCGCGTGCCCCTCCCCCCACAGGTATCGACATCTTGTACTCGGGGTCCCAGAAGGTCCTGAACGCCCCTCCGGGCACCGCACTCATCTCCTTCAGTGACAAGGCCAAGTGAGTGGCCCCTGGACCCCCAACCCAGGGCTGGACGTACGGGGAGGCCAGAGGGCCCAGGGGGCAGGGACGAAGCGGGGGAGGGAAGGGCGCCCAGAGAGGCCCCTCGAATGCTCATCACCCACCCTAGACAGGTGCCCACCCCAGACGGGGTGCACAGCTCTGGTCCCCAGGGGGCAGTGGCTGGGGCGTGGTGAAGGCCATGGTGCGGGGCAGTGGCCCGGCTGACCTTCAGGGAGGACTCCTCACAGGGCCTGGGACTGTGCGTGGGACGAGGCCTGGAATCCCTGACATCCTCTGGCCTCGAGCCCAGGACCGGGGCCCGGGGCCGCTGCCCACCGCCAGCCCCGGCTCAGTGTCCAGGGCTGGTGTAGCAGCTGCTCCGTGGGATGGGCACTGGTCCCCTGTGCCAGCTGCAGCCCCAACATCCCCCACACCCCCCACTTCCCCTGTGTCCAGACCTAAGCCGGGCCAGGGCCCCAGCAGGCTGCTACTGGGGTGACGTTGGTGCCATTTATCAGAACAGAGAGTACCTGGGGTGAGGTCAGGACTCGCGTGTGGACGGCAAGTCCGGGTTGACCATGGCAGGGTCAAGGAGGTGGCTGGGTCTGAGTCCAGAGCTCAGAGAGAGGCCCGGTCTGTTAGGCCGACCTGGTGGGGCCCAGCCTGGGGAGTGGGGTTGCTTAGAGGTCCCTCAATCGCACCCAGATTACACCCCAAGGGTGTGGTGGCCCCCAGGAGAGGTGGGCCTGGCCTCAGTTCCCCTCTGTCATGTCGCTGTGTTTGGAAGCAGCAGCCCCCCCTGTCCTTAAGTGACGGTCACCTTTCACTGGCCTGGGGACAGAGCAGGACGCCTCCACGGGCCAGGCCGGTCCCCACGCGGCAGGGTCATACCCAAGGGGCAGAGATGTATGCCGAGCCCAAGGGCCAGGAGGCTGCGCTGCCGAGGGGCCCACAGCCACCTGGGCCTGTCCCGGGTTCCCGGCCCTGAGAGACAGGGCCCGGGAGACCCGCAGGCCATCCAGCGGACAGGCAGGCACTCAGGCCGGCTCCCTCCCCCCCCCAGAAATAAGATCTACACCCGGAAGTCGAAGCCCTACTCCTTCTACCTGGACATGACGTGGCTGGCCAACTTCTGGGGCTGTGACGACAAGCCCAGGATGTGAGGGCCGGGCCGGGTGTGGCCGAGGGGCTGGGGGACCCCTCACGACCCCCAGCTCCCCATCAGTTCACTCCCTGGGTTCCAAGCACCCCCATCTGCACGCCCCCGTCTCTCCCTGGCCTGGGGGCATGACCCCACCCTTCCCCGGGGCCCTGTCTTCCCAGAAGTCCCAGCAGCAGGCGCTCTGGGCGGGGCCACATCTCCCCGTTGATGGGCCTCAGTTTATCGTGTCTCAGAAGAAGGGCATGAACCCGGGGCAGTCTGTGAGGGGGCTTTGGCCATAACTCAAGGTCCCGCATGGGGACGGTGGGTGCAGTGTGGGTTTCTCGGGGCCACTGGGGCCCAGGGAGGTGGGGGGCAGCACAGAGTCTGCCTGTCGGCTTCCCGCTGAGGTGTGGCCAGCGGCCTCAGCCCTGCTTCTGCAGAGCCGCTGCCCTCCCGGCTCGGGGCCTGCGGTCCCCTGGTCACCGAGCCTGGCTCCGTGGGCTGCTGGCCCGGGCCCAGGGACGCCGGACCGAGCCCGCCTGCCTTCCAGGTACCATCACACCACCCCGGTCATCAGCCTGTACAGCCTGAGAGAGAGCCTGGCCCTCATCGCGGAGGAGGTGAGGCTGGAGCCTGGCTGCGGGCCGAGGGTGGCCGGGGACAGAGCCCCTGGGCCCGGCCAGCGGGGGTCTGAGGGAGGCCAGCAGAGGAGAGCGGGCCAAGGGGCCAGGAGCGGGGCCAGGCGCCCGGCTGGGACGGTAAATGACCAAAGTTCAGCAGCCTGGGCTCTTACTGTCCTTCTGCACGTCCAGCTCCCAGGTTGGGGTCTGGCCGGGCAGGGTCGGTGCAGAACCACGGTCCACACAGGCTGGGCGGCTGTCAGGGCACAGGACAGGACACATGGCCACGGCACAGCCCGCCTCTACCGCCCTGGCCTCCCCGGGCCCAGCCGGGCCCAGACCAGAAGCCAGGGAGAGGCCAGGGCTGTGCTGGCCCTGCTGCCCTCCTGTGGCCACTCAAAGCCACCACCACAGGGCTGCGCTGCTGGCCAGGGTGGGGGTCGCCGGCCCCAGGCTGGGCCACGCGCTCACACAGGGCAGGATCAGGGTAGACCCACGTGGAACTCAGGCCGTGGGGTCAGTGGCCGGGAAGACAGGAGGCATGTGTGACCCAGAAGCCCCCTGCCCTCCCCTGGCCAGCTGCCCACCTGGACAAGGTGCTCGCGACTCACCTCCCCGGGCTCCAGTGCGGGCAGGGCCTTGTCCCCCACACCAGACCACTGCCCCGAGGGAGCCCCTGGGCAGAGCCATCGTCCCAAACGGGGGTGGGGGGCTCCCAGCCTGAAGCTGCCCCCTGGTGGATGGGGGCCAGTTCCCTCATCTCCCCACACCCACCCCCGCCCACTGGCGCCCTCTTCTGAGCAGGGCCTGGAGAACAGCTGGAGACGGCACCGGGAGGTCACTGCCTACCTACAGGGGCGCCTGCAGGGGCTGGGCCTGCAGCTCTTCGTGAAGGACCCGGTAAGGAGGGCAGGGGCTGGTGCAGGGACAAGGGGCAAGGGGCAGGGGGCAGGGGCAAGGGGCAGGGGCAAGGGGCAGGGGCAGAGGGCAGGGGGCAGAGGGCAGGGAACACGGAGGCCCTGCCCCATGGGGGCATGTGGGACAGCTCCTGCCCAGCTCCCTCCAGATGGACGCAGGTTCCTCTGGTTCTGCAGGGAGACATTCCTGGGGGGAGGGGGGGGGCTGTAACTGTCAAGGTCACAGCAACCTGGCCTCTGGATCTTAGGACATTTAGTTTGGTGCCCTAGTCTCCCCCCAACCCCTCCACCTGGAGCAGTTATGGGTGATCTCTGAGCTGGAAGATGCCATTGGCCTCCAGAGCCCCAGCCAGTCTCGGACTTGGGGGAGGGTCAGCGGAGTGAGCCAGGCACTCCAAACATCAGTAGGAAGCGGCAGCCTGTCCAGCAGCAGACTGCGACCGCCCGGTGACCCCCAAGGCCAGGGCGGCCGAGCTGCCGTGCAGGGCTGAGCCAGGCTGTCCGCAGGCTCTCCGGCTGCCCACTGTCACCACGGTGGCCGTGCCCGCTGGTTACGACTGGAGAGACATCGTCAAGTACCTCATAGACCACTTCTCCATCGAGATCACCGGCGGCCTGGGGCCCTCCGTGGGGAAGGTGAGGGTGCGGCCGGACCTGCTGCGGAAGCTAGTCACCCCCAAGTGGGCCTGGCTGAGCCTGTGTCCCGGCCGAGGGTGGCGGTATCCAAGGGCCCCGGATGGCCGGGGCGTCCGGAAGGAGACATCTTTCTCTGAGCCCAGGACGTGTACGGAGCAGTCTGGGTCCTTCCTCCCCAGCGGGTGAGGTGTAGCAGCTCCAATTCCACCCAGAATGTCCTCCCTTCCCTCTGTGTGGCAGACCTGGCAGGAGGCCCTGTGCCCGGGGCCCGCTGTGCCCACTGACAGGGTGGCCCTGAGTGGCTTTATCTGCCTGCCGCCCGGGAAACCTCCCTCGAGCTCTGGGGGCTCCGTGTGACCGGACGGAGCTCTCCGCTTCCCCGTGTGCCCCGGGGGGCCCCAGACCTCAGCCAGGCCAGGGGGTCCGGCACGTGGACCGAGGTCTCGCTGCCCCGCCCCCAGGTGCTGCGGATCGGCCTCCTGGGCTGCAACGCCACCCGGGAGAACGTGGACCGAGTGACGGAGGCCTTGCAGGAGGCCCTGCAGCGCTGCCCCAAGAACAAGCTGTGACCGGCCGCACCCCCCGGAGGGGCTGGGCGCAAACGGAGTCTGCGGGAGGAGCGGGTGGAAATGGCCCTTTGGGCTCGGGTCCACAGCTCCCCCCAGGAGCTGCAGGCCCCAGGTCACCGGCCTCGTGGGAACACTCAATAAAGAACAGGCGTCAGCCGTCCTCACTGCTTGGGGCTGGGCTGTGGAGTCTGGCGGGAGGCACCGCTGCCCCTGACGGCACCTGCTTTGGGGAGCTCCCTGGGGCATCCCTGGGGCTGTACGACGAGGTGTGCATGGCCCCGGAGCTCACACCTGCAAACCACATCATCACACACTGCCTCCAGGGGAACCCACCGCCGCAGGGTGACTCGTGGCCTGCGTGGTTTGGGTGACGGCAGGGTGTGTCTGGAGCACACAGCCTGCACCTGAGCCTGGACGGGCTGGCACACAGGCCTTGCCGCCGCCGCCGGGCCCTTACACGCACAGCTGGGGGTGGCCTGCAGCCCCTCCCCCTCCGGGGCTTAGCCTCCTCTGACATCAGGGCCCCAACTCTGCCCCTCACTTGGGGTCTCTGCCTGTGCTGAGCTCCTGCAGGCTTCCGCGACTTTGGAGCTTCGCACGAGGCCCGCCCCTGACCTGCTCTGGGCCAGGGCATGCCGGGCGGTCACAGCCGAGCCCGCGTTTCCAGGTCCTCACTGGTCCTGGGCTCCCCCAGGGGGAAGAGGGGCAGGGTGGACTCCCCAGCCCAGAGCCGCCTGGGACTGTGCATGAAGGGGGCCTGGCTCTGCCCAGTCACTCACCCAGGTGCACTGGGGCAGGCCAGCCAGACTCGCTGCTCACAGCCACCGGGAGAGAGGGCACTGGGGGGGGCACACATCCTAGCTGCTCGGCACAGGACCTGGAGGGCAGAGGGCCTACGTCCACAAGGGAGGGGGGCTCTTCCAGCGGAGGCCAGAAAGTCTAGGGGCCTGAACACACAGGGTGACATGGGTCACCTTCAAGACTCTGGCCTTTGTCCTGTTTCGGTCGGGTTCCTCAGACACAGACATGGGAAATTCAAGTCCAAGTACCACCTAGTGGCAGGTTCCCTGAGCCCCGATCCAGTCAGTGCCCCCCCAACACACGCCAGTCAGCTTTGCAGGGACCAGAGCTCACAGAAATGCAAGCGCGCAGGACACTCTCTAGAGTGTCTGCTTCTTTCTCAACACTTTGCTGTCGTGGGAACACGGTGAGCCCCGTGGCTGGGCGCCATTGATTGTACGGACATATCGCAGTCTGTGTGTCCGTCCACTGCCGATGGACCTCTGGGTGATGTCCAGCTGGGGCCATTATGGTATGGTAGCAGAGAACCTTCTTAGACAGGCTGTGTGTGGACACTTCATTTCTCTGGGGTAAATACCTAGAGTGGAACTGGGGGTCCCATGAGAAGTACAGCTTTCACTTTGCGAGGCCCCACTAGCGTCCTCCAAGGGGTGGCAGCGTTTCACGCCCCGCGGGAGTGGAGGAGATTGCCGATCACCCCACGGCCTCGCCTGCGCTGGGCCATGTCCTTGACCCCGTGGGCGTGAAGTTGCGTCTGACCGTGTTTTACTGCACACGTCCCTGCAGCCGAGGGTGCCGCGCGTCCGTTCGCCATTCGTGGGCCGAGCACCCTTCCCCTTTCCAAGTGTCGGCGTGGGCGTTCTGTCCACACTCTGCGATGTTCCCCATTTTATCGTCGATGTGCGATGGTTGTTGGGCAGGTTCTGGGCCCCGCCGGACGCGTGGTCGTGAGCATGTTCTCCTGTCCGTGGCTCGCCTACCCCGTCCTCTTGATCGTGTCTTTCGGAGAGCGGACGTTTTGCATGTTGACGAAGCCCCAGCTGTCTGTGTGAGTTCCCTGTCTGTGCTGCTCCTGCCGTACCCCAGAGACACCTGTCTGCTTTGCCGTCCTAAAGTGTCTCCCCGTGTTTCCTTCTAGAACACCGGCGTGTGTGGATGTAAGGGGCACGGCAGGTTACGTTTGAGCACGGAGCGGAAACGGTGGCTTTCACCCACCCGGACGCACGCCCCGCCCCAGCCAGCTGTCCGCCGGCCACGCGCACAGGTCCGCGGGTGTTGTAGCTGTCCCCATGGCAACACCACCCTGCAGACAGAGTAGGTCTGAAATCAGGTGGTGAGACTGCTCCCGTCTTTTTCTTTTTCAAAAATGTGTTTTTATTGATTTTAGAGAGAGAGGAAGGGAGAGATAGAGAAACATCGATCGCTGCCCCCTGCACGCCCCCCACTGAGGACGAAACTCGGGCAAGTGCCCTGACCGGGAATAGAACCGGGACCTCTAGTCCATGGGACGACGCTCCGTCCCCTAAGACACCGGCCCCGCCCATTCTGGCCTTTCGGAATGGTGTCCCCGTCCTGAAACTGCATTTCTACGTGAATTCTGGGATCATCTTGTCCAGGGGGTGTGGGACGTGGATGGGAACGGCACCATGGGGACCATCGGGCAGTGCACACCTCGGATCTGAACATTCTAAGGCCTGAACACCAGCGCAGGTCGTCTGAGGCTATGTGTACGCTGCCCGCGGTTCGTGGGGTGGAGGTCTGGTTTAGCTTTTGTGAGATGTGTTTCTGTGCGTGGGATCTTTCTATGCGGTTCTTATGGTATTTTTAAATTTTCACTCCCTACTTTTCATAGATAGAAGTACCGTTCGTTTTTCTCTAGTAACCTGGTATCTCTCGACCCTGTTAAATACACAAAGTCTAGCAGTTTCTTGGTAGACGCCTTAGGATTTCTATGTAAATAGTCAAGTTGTCCGTGAAGAACGGTCTTGCTTCTCCTCTTCCAACATGCATGTCTTTGGCTTGCTTTCTCCTGCCTCCTGGCGAGGAGCCTACACCACGCAGCCGTGGTGGGCAGCTCAGGTGGCACAGAGGGCTGGGGTCTCGTGGCCGGGCCTGTTCTCCGCCAGGGCCCATGTCACGCCTGGCGTGCACTCAGGATGTGAACTACTGTTCTCCCCGGCAGAACCTCGGCTTCCACACGAGGGTTCTCCAGAGACGCCACATGGTGCTTCTCCCGTGGGGCCCCAGCCACGGGCCTGCTGGACAGCCTGCCTGTGCTTTGGCCCACTCAGAACTAACCGCCTCTGACCACCCACGGGCGACAGCATCTCCGAAATCCACGGAGGCCGCCCGGCCCTGTCCTGGCTCCTGCGGTGGGCGGGGCGAGGTGCAAGAATGTCTGCCACGCCGTAGAAGGTGCACTAATTTATTCAGGGTCAGATGCAGAGTATTTGATCTCACAGGTGGCATTCGACTCAGACAGGGGCCCTCAAGTTCCGGGTGCTGTGCAGACGCCCAGTTTTCCGTCTTGACGGCACCTCACGGATGGACACCTGTCACATGAAGCACAGCCCCTCGCCCCTGAGACCAGGCGGCTGCTCCCAGGAGGCCGACCCAGACTCAGAGCCCCTCCCCCACCCCCTCTGCCAGTGTCCGGGCTTCTGGGGGCCGCGCAGCGGCAGCTCGGCCCGGCGCCTGCTCAGCTGTGCTCGCCGCTCAGGGTCTTGGTCTTCCGAAAGATGCTCTGCATGGCGGAGATCCGGGCCTTGTCCTGGACGTGGAAGACCTGGAACTGCAGGTGCAGGGGTCAGAGGCACGGGGAGCCCGGCACGGGGCCCCAGTCGCAGCGAGTGACGCCTTCGCTCCCCGACCACCTGCGGTCCCGCCTCTGGGTCTCCACCTGGACAGTCCTCCCTGCAGGTGGACCCGCCCAGGCCCCCTCCCCCAGGCCTTCCTCACACGCAGGCGCCCTGGATGGGCCTGACACAGGGGCCGGCCAGGTGCTTGTTGAGAGCTGACTGTGGGCCCCCCTCCGACACAGTCACTCCCTGCCCCCAGGTGTGCCCCTGAAGGGGACATGTTGGCTCTTTGGGGTGCGGATGGGGGTGGCCCTGAGGGAGGAGCAGGAGGGGGTTCTCCGGGGGTGGGGAAGGCAGGGCCAGCAGAGCTGGTGGAAACTTGGGGCTCCAGAGGGGCACCCAAAATGTCCAAGGGACGTGGCATGGGCCGGCTGGGTCCAGGAAACAGAAGGAACCCACCAATGAGGCCCGCAGAGGGATGGAGCCCAGAGGGGCTGCTGCGTCTCTGTGGGTAGATCTGGGGGAACAGGAAGTTCCCAGTGGCCCTGGGGGCAGTCACGGCCTGTCTGACCCCCAATGTCATCTCCTTCCCTGACAGACGCTGTCCAGAGGCCCGACCTGACCCAGCCTGGGCCAAGCTCCTGACCCTGGGGGGGGGAGCGGAGGGCGGACCGGGGCTCACCCCAGCCCACCTGACCCTGGGCCCGACTGAGGCCCTCAGCTGGCTGTGCCCACCTTGTCCAGCAGGACGTCGAAGTAGGCGGTGGCCCAGTAGGCGGGGTCGCTGGCGGGCAGCTGCAGGAGGGCCTTGACGCCGTGGCCGATGCGGGGCGGGGGGCTGCGGCCCAGGTGGGTGGCGTGGAGGCGCAGGGCCGCCTCGGGCTGGCTGGCGAAGCGCTCCACGCGCTGGTAGAGGGCGTCGAGGTCCAGCCGGGCGTCCTGCAGCAGGTTGAGCTCGGGGCGCAGGAAGTGTGGCAGCTTCCGGGTGGCCAGGCAGCACAGCAGCACCACCAGCAGCCGGTACACGGCGCCCTGCAGCTCCACCCAGTCCTCGGGCGCCGGGAACAGCGCAGAGGCCCAGAGCAGCACGGTCTGCGGGACAGCGGCCAGGCCGCGCCTGGGAGGTGTGGACGGCCCCGCCCCACGCCCCCGCCTGCTACGCCCACTGGGGTGCTGTCCGCGGCACCCCCAGGCCAGCACCAGCATCCTCCTCGGGGGATTCGAGGTCCTACCCTCTGGGCCTGTCCTCGCACCCTACTCCCACTGAACTCCTCGAGCTCTGCATCCTCACCCAAAGAGCCCGACCCTGGGGTCCCCGCCTTGGTCTGCAGGCCCAGCAGACCTGTGCCCAGAATACGTCTGGAAGCCATGATGGGACTTACCTGGCGACCCCAGGGCCCTCTCCCACCCCTGGCCCTGAGCCCCAGCCAGGGGCCCCTCTCCGGTCCCACAGCTGCTGTGCACACCTGTCCCCCTCTGCTGACCCCTCACCCCTGGTTCACTGCAGGGACCACTGGTGTCAGACCCAAGGGACCCCCCCCCAGAAGCTGATATCCCGTCAGGGGTGGGATGGAGTCCTGAGAGGGACAGTGGGTGGCTTGAGGCCACTTGGGGACCCCTGGTAGAGCTTCCTCTGCACCAGGTTGGGCCACATCTCAGCCCTGACCGGTGTCATGGAGCAGCCTCCGGGGCCTGGCACTGCCCTCCGGGGCCTGGCGGCGCCCAGCCCTGGGAGGACAGGTCCCAGCCCTGGGAGGGAGGACAGCTCCCAGTGAGCCACAGAGAAGGTGCCAGGGCTGGGCTGGTTCACTCAGAGGCGGAACCCTGGCCCGTGGCATTCGCAGACGTCAGGTTGGAGGGCAGGGGCGTCCCAGGGCTGACCTGGTTGGTGGGAACGCCGGCTGTGTGCAACCCAACCCAAAGGGCCAGGAGGACCCCCCAGGTCACTGGCCCTGGGATGGCAAAGGCGGCTCTGAGGTGCCACCGCGCTCAGCCGCCAGATGTCACTCGAAAGCCTGGGCCTCGCCCCCCGGGAACCCCAACAAGGCCTCGAATCCCCTGCAGTGGAGCTCACTCCAGGCCGCCCACCGGTCAGAACCGCACGAGGGTCCAACCTGGGGCCCCGGCTCTAGGCAAAGAGCCTGCAGAGTGCAGCAGGGTCCCCGAGCCCCACACGCACCTTCAAGTGGCGGAAGGTCAGGCCGGGGCGCTGGCCGCTGTCGCGCCAGGTCTCGTAGTTGACGCGGTCCAGGATGGAGAGGCTGTCCAGGCGATGGCCCGGCAGGGAGCCCAGCTCACTGAGCAGCCTGGTGAGCAGGTAGTCCGTGGAGACCCTGGAGCGCAGACAGACCACGACCCAGGGTCAGTGTCGGCGTCATGGGCAGCCGGCAGGCACCGCTTATCCCCAGGAGAGGAGCTCCCGCACCCCAGGGCACAGCCCAGGCCATGGCGTCCAGCCAGGCTTCCTGCGTGTCCAGCGTGGAATGTCTGGCTTGACGTAGACATCCAGGCCCCAGCGCACGGAGGGACATGGGAGCCTTCGGGCCCGGGTGGGGTGGCTGAGGCTCCGGGTTCCTGGCAGGGGGACGGCTCCATCTGGAAGGCAGCCTCCACTGGGCAGCCACAGACCACAAAGGGGCGCAGAATCTGGCCTCGGCAGTGCCCAAAAGGCAGGGCACACCAGAGGGCTCAGTGCCTGCTTGCTGAGTGACCAAGAGGTGGGGCCTGGGCACAGCGCCCTCATGGTCCCCACTCTCTGTGCGGTCTCAACATCGGACGGTCATCTGCCCCAGGTCTGTGGTGGGCAGGGCACAGGAGAGGCCTTTTACTTGCAGAACACGACTGCTGGCCCAGCCCTCCCCGTCTTGGTGGCCGGCGGTCATCACCAGCCTGGACGCAGCCCCTGCTCTGTGCGCAGATGGGCCAGGTGGGCGGGCGGGGCCCCAGGTGCTCCGCGGAGCCTTTGTGAGCAGCAGAAACCACAGAGGGTGAAGCCACTTCGCAAACACCATCCGCCTTGAAGGGTGGACTCAAGCATAAGATCCGCCCTGTGCAAACTTCGCCCCAGATGACAGGGCTGGCAGGTGAGCCCCGCGGCGCGTTCAGACCCCGACGGGGCTCCCTGTGCACAGTCTGCAGGGGAGCTCAGCCTCCGCCCTGTGGCCCCCGCTCCCTCCACAGAACCTCCTCAGGCTGCCTCCCCGAGGCCACTGGGCTTCTGGGCCAGGCAGGGAGGGACACTCCTGGTTGTGGGGCACTAACCTGGGAGAGCAGATTAGTGTCCTTCACCTTCCAGAGGGAGCCTGGAGCAAAGCCCCGCCCTGGAGCTGATTCTCCTCATTAGCCCTGACCCCGCCCTGACCCCACTGTGACCCTGGACAAGCCCCCTTCTTCTGGGCAGGGTCGCGAAGGCCCCCTGCACAGCCACTCCCGGCCCCCAGAGGGCGCCAGGACTTCCGAGACCTGCACCCTCTGGGCCCTCTGCGCGGTACGGGCCCACGGGGCAGAGGTGGGGAGCAGTGGGGTGCGACCCCCTTTCTGCCAGCTCCGCAGGACCCTACCGACCCAAGAGGTGCCTCCTACCTCCAGAGCTGGGCGCTGGCGGGCACCAGGGCCACCTCCTGGCTGGTGACCCTCTTCAAGCAGCCTTCGGGGAAGCCGGGCGCACGCTGGGCCCCCTCCAGGGCAGGCGCCTGGCGCTTCCACCGCACCACGGGCACCACGTTGAAGCGGATGGTTCTCCAGCCACTGGACACCAGCAGGGACAGGTGGAGCTCCTCCGCGCTCAGGCTGTCGGCCTTCAGGGAGCCTGCAATGACCACCCTGCTGGCCCTGGTCGGCGCCTGCCTGCCCAGGACGCTCCTCACCCTCCCCACAGCCCTCTGGGCGCTACCCGCCCTCCGTCCCCACCCAGCACCCCCGGCCTGGGGCTGGCCCAGCACCTGCCTTCACAGCCGTGTGTGCAGAACAGTGTCCCCCAAGACTCTCATGTGGGAGCCCTAACCCCCCAGCTCAAACTGTGACCGTGTTCGGAGATGGGATCTTTAAGAAGGAGAAGAGGTGCATGAGACCACGGTGGGGGCCAGTCTGGTCCTCGTGGGGGAGACAGGGCTCCCGCCCGGAGAAGAGGCCCCGGGAGGATGGGGGACGAGGCTGCAGGAGAAACCAGCCCTGCCCACACCTCGGCCTCGGCCTCGGATTCCGGCCTGAGGACTGAGGACTGTTTCTGTTGTCTGGGCTCGGTCTGTGGTATCTGTTCCGGCAGCTGACTCATGAGCTCACAGCACCCGCCCCCCCCCCCGCCCCATGCCGGCACCCACACCCGGGTTTCCTTGCAAACCTCCCCAGGCTGCCCTGAGTCCCCTCTGTCAGAGGAGGGGCGGCAGCGGATGCCCAGGCTGGGCCAGGAGAGGCCACGACCCGAGAGGAGCATTTCTGCCCCCGGGCAGGGCCCTTCATCCCAGGAGCTGCCCCCCTGGTTGGGTCCAAGGGCCCCACCTACCCAACCCTGTGGGTCCTGCACAGCAAAAGGCCGGGCCCCCCAGTGCCCCAGTGCTCTGAGACCCTGCCCCTCTCAGGGAGGAAGGTGAGGAAGGGTTTCCAACTCGTCTCTCCAAGTGGCTTGTCCACAGGTCTGCGCCCCAATGCCCAGGCACCCCCCAGGGCCTCCCAGTCTGCAGGAAGCGATCGGAGGGCTGTTTCAGTGCCCCAGCACCCTCCTGGGCCCAGGCCCTGTCCCTGTGCAGACAAGTCACGGCAGCCCCTCCGCAGACGAGTTGTCACCGCTGGACGTGGTCAGGAGATCAGGCCTGGCCTGCCAGGTAGCCGGTGGGGACTCTAGGGGCTGGAGGCCGCCTGGGGCAGCCTCTGAGAGCCCGAGCCCGAGTCCAGGAGGGGCTGAGGGTGGACTTCTGGTCACCTGCTCGCCCCTCCCTCCCCTCCTGCTCCTTGGAAGCTTCCTGAGGACCCTGCCCCCGCAGGCTGGGGACAGGTCAGCTCCGGGGAATGAGCACTGTCTCTGGGGCCGGAGGAGCATATTGGGGCCCAGCACCCTGGAGGCCCTCCCTGAAGGCTGACACCTGCCCGCCCTAAATTTCACTTGACACCTGGGGGGGGCAACAGAACATTCTAGCAGAAATGCTTCCCCCTCCCCTCCCCACTCAGACCCCCACGGGGCCCAGCCCAGAGCCTACTCCCCTGACCCGGAGCCCCAGAGCACCCCGGAAGGGCGGTTCCACGGGGTCATGGGGCTGGGGAGGTGGGAGACGTGTGCGCTCCGGCCCCTTCCCTCAGCTGTCCTTCCCCCCGTCCTACGGCGTCTGCCTGGACCTTCCCCAGCCCTGGGGTCCTGCAGGGAGGACCGGAGCCCACATGTGTCCCCCAATCTCCTACGGGGCAGCTCTTGGGCCAGCTCCTGGGGCCCAGCCCGGGACAGGTCCTTCCCTGCCACCTGGGCCACTCCATTTCCTGAGTGGGCCTCCGTGTCCCCATCAATTAAAGGGAGAGGGGTTCAGTGACACCCCCCCCCAGCATCTGAGGCACCTGTCATGCAGAACCACCGGTAGCTTCATCGCCTTATCTACCACTGGCCACACATTTTGTCCATGAAATGGTGGCTTGGAAGGCAGCCAGCGTACCTGCTGCCCATCCCCCACTCCCCACCAGTCTGGCCGGGTCTCACCGGTCCCAGGAAGGGGGCGTGGGGGAGCCTGACCTTGTCACCTCGGGCGGCACACTTCCTGTTAAGGGAAGTGTCAGGAAGTTATGCTCGGAATTTCTCTCCGGGCTGGTGGCCAGCCCCGGGGTGTGGCCGCTTCTCGGCCAGAACTCGGCAGAACGGGGACCTGGGGAAGGTGAAGGGGACTGGCAGCCTACAGTGCACCTGAAGGACCCAGGGCCGGGCAGAGCCTGGAGCTCAACCAGTCGGTGGGCCAGTCTCCAGGCGGGCAGAGGACCGAAGGTGACCAGGCCAGTGGGACTCAGGAGACAGAAGGCCCTGCCCACGCCGCCTGTGGTAACTGGAAGGTTCAGAGATGATCAGAGCAGATGTCTGCAGGCCCAGCGTTAGCACCTAATGACAGGCCCGGGCACCCTCCAGGACAGTGTTTATCAGCAGCCCTGACACGGGGCACCTGCCCAGGTTGCCAGGCAGGTCTGGGGAGGGGCTGGAGTGGGAAGCCTTCCCTCCTGTGCTACAAGTCTGTCCAGAAGCTCTGCCTCCTTCTGAATCCTCATGTCAGCGCGGAGCCGGCGCCCGGCTTCCCCAGACCCGCAGGAAGGTCGGTCCTGAGGGTCCTGGTCACTGAGGTCCCAGTGGGCCCGAGCCTGGACTATGGCCAGACCTGGGCTCCACGCCGGGCATCCTGAGGCAGGTCGCTGTCCCTCGGGGTCTGACCGTTGCCACCCACTGACCTCACAGCAGATGTGAGCGCCAGACTAATAGCAGGTGGCGGTCACCCCAACGTGGACTTGCCCCTCCCACGGGAAGCAGGACATTTTGTGTCAGTCCCGAGTCACCGGCCAGAACTGGAGCCTTTCCCTGACCAGGAGGACGGGCGGCTCTGGGCTCTGCGCAGCCCACACCTGTCCTTCCTGCCCCTCGCGGTCCTGGAGGGAGGGGAGCCTGCTCCCCTGGCCGGCCACCCTGGAGCGAGCCACCACCTGGACCACATGGACGAGGCACCAGGGAAGAGACAGAGGCGGACCCCTGGCTCACCTGAAGGTACCTGACACAGAGTCCACTCAGGGCCCAAGGTACCAGTCAGCAACTGGGCCATAAGTTGAACCAGACCTGTGCACACGTGTGCGTGTATACACACCCCACACTCACACATGTACATGTATTCATAGTCCCGCAGTCACACACACACACACACACACACACACACACCCAGAGTCCTCCGGGGCAGTGCGACCAGAGGCCAGAGTGGGGCAGCTGCCAGACTGTCGGGTCCAGGTGGGACTGACCAGAACTGCGACAGGGACCCCTGTGACCCAGGTTAGCTGGAAAACAGCACCTGGTCCCACTTACCAAATGACATCCATTAAAATGTTACCACCAAAAGTACCGTATAAAACTTAAATAACATGGAACATGTCTTCTTGGAACTCAGAGTGCTGTCCCCAGCTCTGTTCCCCGACACACATGCTGCGCTCTCACACGGGTGCACACACACACACCGCCACCACACGCGTGCACTCACACAGGTGCACACACACACACACCGCCACCACACGCGTGCACTCACACAGGTGAGCTCACACACCCTGCCATCATACGCGTGCACTCACACGGGTACACACACACACACATCATCACACACGTGCACTCACACGGGTACACACACGCCCCACCATCACACGCGTGCACTCACACGGGTACACACACACCGTCATCACACGCGTGCACTCACACAGGTGCACACGTGCCCCACCATCACACGCGTGCACTCACACGGGTACACACACACACACATCATCACACACGTGCACTCACATGGGTACACACACGCCCCACCATCACACGCGTGCACTCACACGGGTACACACACACACCGCCATCACACGCGTGCACAGAGTGGTCGCCCGCTACCTGGTGCGATGAGGCCGTGGTGCTTGCAGTGCACAATGGCAGCCACCAGAAGGTCCTTGAGGACGTGCAGGACCTTGCTGGGCACGAGGTGGCCGAGGCAGTTGGTGCTGACGTCCGAGGAGGTGGTGAAGACGTCGTCGGTCATCCACTGCTCCAGGCCAGCCCCTTCTCTGGGGACACCCAGGCGGCAGGACACTGGGCCATCGCCCGTCTCGGAGGCCCCCAGCTCCTCACTCAGGAGGGCTTGGGCGTCCACTCTCAGGGGCACCTCCACGTCCACGGGGCCGTCTGAGGAGCGCAGGGCGAACTGCAAGGCCTCCAGGTCCCGGGAGTAGTCCACCAGGAAGCGGGGGTCCCTGGCGTGCACGCGCTCCAGCACAGTGAACAGCACGTTCTCCGCACGCTGGTAGTCCTGCGCCCGGGACGCTGCCCGCGAGCGGATGGCCTGCAGGTAGTGGTGCCACAGGGGCACTTGCAGGGCCATGGCTGGGGCCAGGGCAGAGGACGCGGCCGGCCCTCGAGGGCCTGGCTGTGGGGAGGCTCGCGGAGGCACCGGCTCAGGTGGGGCAGGTCCGCAGGTGGGGCTCCCCCAGAGCAGAATTCCAGAGTGACGGCGGCAGCAGGGTGAATAGCTGAACTTGGCCCAGCCTTTGAAGTGAAGGGTGAGTCATCCACCAACCACGAGAGTCACAGGAGCAGGCAGAGGGGTCCTGGTCACCAGGGGGAGGGGCCTCCCTGGGCTCCTCCCTCTCTCCCAGCCTCTGCCCCTTGGCCCTAGGCACCTTCCGGCTGAGCCTCCCACCCTCCGCAGCCCTGGGGCCTGGCCTCCTGCGGCTGGGCTGTCCTGGGACTGGGGGGCCTGTTTCTGGTGTCCCCCTCCCACCCTGATCCCAGTAGCAGCAGCGCAGGGTCTCTGTGACATCAGCCCCTCCGCCAGGTTGGCGTTTGGACACCTGGCGGCCCCTTTGCTCAGACGTGAGAGGTGGGGCAGCACAGAGGCCGCCCAGACCCTGCGCGGGGGTGCCCGGCGTCCCAGCAGTCTCTCTGAGGCAGCCTGGAAGCCCCAGGGCTGGGGGCTGCTTTTCCACAGCAGCCTGAACACCCCCAGGCCCCTATACCCCTGCCTTAAAGTGGGAACCTCCAACTTGGTGCCTGCCAAAGTCCAGGCGTGAAATCTGCCCCTTCCCCATGCAGGGCCTGTGTCCACTGCCCCTGCCCACCCCCAGCCTTGGGCCCACAGGAGCCCCTCCCCCTTCCCACCCACCCTCAGCGGGAGAGGAGCACCCACCTGCCAGGAGCTGAAGCAGTCTGGCTGTAGAGGAAGTCTCCTAGGCCCCACCTCTCTCCAGCCCCACCCGAGGGCCCTGCAGCACCTGTGCTGGGCCCCTGCCGCAGAGCCGCCTCCCACTCAGGGCTCAGCGCTCAGGGCTGCGCAGGTCCCAACCAGCAGGTGCCCCCCCTTTCCCCGTGACCCTTGGCCCCTCCAGGCTGGTCCTGGGCATCAGGTGCTCCCCCTGGATCTCTGCAAACAGCGACCATGGAGACGCCCAGACGGGACGCCGAGACGCCTCCGCAGCCCCGGCAGGGAGCCCTGCCTGAGTCAGAGCTGTGAGCGGATCCAAGGTGCTCACTTCCTGGTGCTTGGAAGCCCTTCTGAGGAGCTGCAGCCCAGCGAGTGGTTGTCTGCTTCCATGCCCCCTAGGACGGGGAGCTCCCCACCTGACGGGGGCCCACGACACAGTCAAGCAGGAGGTGGAGCTTCCTCCTCAGACCTGGCGTCCCGTCCTCTGGGGTGCCCAGGGCACATCTGCCTGTCCCCCAGGACGGCTGCTCAGCTCCAAGGGCCAGGTGCCCTCGGCCCCTCACACACCACCTCCATCCTGCTCTGTCCCCTGCACACGCATCTCCATCCCAGCTCCAGGGGCGCTGGAGCCGGCCCAGGGGCGAGCTCACAGCAGGAACTCGGATGGCGCATGGGGCAGAGGACGCCGAAGGCCAGGAAGATGACCAGATGGACACGAGCTGCACCTGGACCAGGCCGGGCAGAGCAGGGCGGGCGGGGCTGCTGGCACCAGAGACGCAGGTGCCTGCCCACCTGGCCAGCTTAAGCCACTGCTCCAGAGGCCTGCAGGCCACGCCCAGGCACCACCTTGCAGCCGCCACGGGCAGTGTGGAGTGGGAGGGGAGGAGGACCCGCGTGGGCAGTGCCTTGGGCTCTCTGGATACGTTCTTTCGGGGCTCGGGAAGCTGCCTGCCCGTGGTCCCCACGCCGACCTCGATCGCCTGTTTGTCCAGCTTCTCACACCTCTGCTCCGCGCCACGCAGGCGAGAGCGTGGATCCTGTATTTCAGGAATGCCCAGGTGTGCTGGCAAGGGGTGGGCGGGGCCTTGCACCCGAGCCCTCGCGTCTCCGCAGCGGGCGAGGAGTGACAGTCCCCAGGTGGCGAGGGGCTTACTGAGAAGGAAAGCCAGGCCCCTCAGGGAAGTCCCAGCCCCCCGACATGACATGGCAGGGACCCAGTTCTCAGGGCGCGCCCATAAACTGGCACCATCTCCTGCCACCTTTGACGCTCCTTCGAGCAGGAAACACGCAGGACGAGGTGTGGAAGGTGACGAGGAAGTGCACTTGTGAGGATAGATCTGTCCGATGGGGCTGTCCCGGCGTCTGCAGACGCGCAGGGCCACCCGAGGAGAAGCGGGCCTGTGGCTGACCAGCGCCGTCCTCCGGAAGGTCCCGCTCTCGGCCAGTGGCAGAAGCAAGTGGGGAGCACACGGCTGAGCCGTGAAGATTCTCAAGACGGGGAGGAGACCAGCGGCAGACAGGAGGGCTCCAAGGGCCTCAGCACCGGGCTGGGAGAAGGGTGGTGTGGGTAGGCGCCCGGGCAGCCAGCTCTGTCGTCAGGGGCCACCCAGTCAGCACGGGGCCGGGCTGCAGCCCCCCAGTGCTCCCTGAAGGTGGGACCATTCGCACAGTCTGGACCGAGGAACCCACCCAGGTGCTGCAGGTAGGGGTGGGGTTGTCCGTGTTCTGCTCGGAATTTTTTGGTATTTTTTTTATTGTGACAAATACACAGAAGAATGCGTATCATTGTATCCATTCTTAACTGTACAATTCGGTGACGTCAGGGCATTGGCATCTCATGGCCAGTGTCCCCACTCAGCTCTAGAGCTCTTCCGGGAACAAACCCTGTCCCCCTTGAGCACACTCCCCAGCCCCTGGCACCCACCGCCCTACCGGCTGTCTCTAGGCACCGACTCCTCCGGGGACCTCACCTAAGTGGGGACTTCCCTGAGGACCCTGTGGAGGGAAGCCTCCAGTCACAGAAAGGCAGGGACGGCAGGATCCCTCGTACATCCAGGTGGCAGCAGGTGGCCGGCTTCCTTCCTTCCTAAGACTGATCTTCCCTGTGTGGATGGACCAGTTTGTTTATCCTTCATCCGCCCGTGGACACCCGGCTTGCTGCTGTGTTTCGGCTGTTGAGTGAGGCTGCTGTGAACGAGGGTGCCAATGTCTCTGAGCCCTGCTAGCAATGTTTGGGGTCTGTACCCAGAAGCGGGGCTGCAGGATCACACGGTGACTCTGTTTAATTTCGGAGGAGCCTCCGCGGCTGCGCCAGGTCATTCCCACCAGCAGGTGCTCGGGGTCCAGTTCCCCACGTCCTCCCGACGTGTTTCCTGGGGTCTTGAGCAGACGTCCTGATGGGCGAGGGGTCCCACTGGGTCTGAGTTGCGTTTCCGTGATCAGTGCTGTTGAGCATCTTTTCACGGGCTTCTTGCCGTTCAAGCGTCTTCTTTGGAGAAATGTCTATTCAAGTCTTTTGTCCATTTTTAATATATATATTTTTAACCATTGCCTAAGGACGTTTTCCTTTACCTTCAGATAGAATGGGAGGGAGGAAGAGAGAGAGAGAGAGAGAGACAGAGACAGAGAGACAGAAACATCGACGTGAGAGAGACACATCGACTGGCTGCCTCCCGCACGACCCGATCAGAGCCGGGGATGAACCGCAACTGAGGTACGTGCCCTTGACCGGACTCAAACCTGAGAATCAGTGATCCGTGGGCCGACGCTCTACCCCTGAGCCAGACCTGCCAGGGCTTTTGTCCATTTTTTACATTGAGTTACTGGGGGTTCTGTTGTCGAGTTGTAGGCGTCCTCGATGTGTTCCGGACGTTAACTCCAATCTCCAATGGATGCCCGGCAACTTCCTGGGTCCTGGGGCTGCCTTCTCTCCGTGCCTTCCGACGCACTCGCTAAAACGTCTCCAGCGTATCTCTCTTCCCGTTTGTTGCCTGTGCTTCTGGTGTTGCGTCTACGCCATGTTGCCAAACCCAGGGCGGTGAAGTCCCCGATGTTTCCTTCTAGACGTTCACAGCTTTAGCCTTACGATTGGGTCCTGGCGGGTTTTACGACCCAGCGCCTTCCAGTCGCCTGGGCAGATGCCCCCCCCCCCCCCAGGCTCCTTTCCTCATTGCGATGCAGCGTTTGGGGTTTCGTTGCAGTCACCCCAGGAGAGCAAAGGACAGAGGGCAGGGTCCCGAGTCACCCCTCCCCAGGACTGTCCCCACCAGCCTGCCAGTAGCACCCTCCCCGGGCAACCCTTTGGACGGATGAAGGCAGGGTGGGTTCCGCCCCAGGGAACCTCCCGGGATTGACTGCAGCCTGATCCCCACCAAACAGGTGACAGCCCCTGGTGGTCCTCTGGGCAGTGGTCAGATGCCAAGAGAGGCCGGAGAGCTGGACAGGGGGGGGGGGTGTGAGACTTCTCTCCTGCAGCACATGTGCCCAGGGGTCCACTGGGGTGACCCCGAGAGGCTGGCCTGGTAGTGTCCCCCCGTGTGAACTTCCCAGTATCCCCCTGATCCAACGCCCCTTTACAGGGTCTCCACTGCTGTCCCCAAGCTGGGCCTCAGGCACGGGCAGATGGGCCACAGGACACAGACACACAGACGGTGACCCGTGGCCTGGGGTGCCCAGCCATCGGGCAGCAGGACAGTCAGCTTTGGCGCCAGTCGACCAGTCTGGGCGGTGCCCAAGCCAGCACCCCAGCCCCGGCCAGAACGGGGCTGCATTGGCGCAGCAGAGGAACACACAGCCTCCTGTCCCGCACCTGCAGGGACCACGCCCGCAGAGGAGGAACACACAGCCTCCTGTCCCGCACCTGCAGGGACCACGCCCGCAGAGGAGGAACACACAGCCTCCTGTCCCGCACCTGCAGGGACCACGCCCGCAGAGGCTGTGACCGGCTCAGCTGAGCCGTGGCCACAGGCCGTCACCTCTCCGCTCCTTCGGGAGAGGCATCTGCGGGGTGTGCAGGCCCCGGAGGCCCAGAGGGGCTGGGACATTCCTCTGCGGCCTCTCACCCTCCTTCCTCGATCGCCCTCCGTGTGACCTGTCTTGGGAGGACACGTCAGGACGCAGTGTCCCATCCACAGCAGGCCCGTCTGTCGGGGCGAGGACCAGGGAGGCTGGCCCGGGGCGGGAGTGGCCTCCTGGAACAGGGAAGGACGAAGCCTCCGTGCGAATATTGAGGTCCCCTCCTCCCAGGAGCGGACCTGAGTCAGGAATGGGGCGCTCTGGTACCCCTGGGGCCAGCAGGGGCAGGAAAAGGTGAGGCCAACCGAAGTCTGCCTCCCTCCCCCGTCCCGGCCCCACCCGGTTCCTCTGCCCACACACGGGTGGGCCTGGCCAGGACTTGGTTGTCCCGGGGGAGACGGAAATGCAGTGTGTAGGTGACACGGGGGGCAGCGAGTGAACCCCAGTGAGTTTCCCACTTGGCGGGAAGAGCGGTGATAGAGCCCAGCCCAGGGGCCCCTGCTGGATGCATGGCATGTGAGGTCCCCGAGCCCCAGGGGCACGGAGGGTCGGGGCACCGCCCAGTTCGGCACACCCACCCACCACAGAGGTGCCCCCTGCACGGCGAGGACCCCAGCACACCTACTCCTTCTAGAAAGTTCCTGGGGCTGTGCCCAGGCCCAGGGCTGACTCTGCCCTCGGAGCTCCCCGCCTAGTCCACCCCCCGCCCAGGACATGAGCACAGACGCCAAGCAGTGAGGCTGGGCCTCGTGCCCAGGGCCGGTGTGAGCCTGGGGCGGGGGGTCCCGGAGGACAGGGTGCAGGGCTGGAGGAGGCAGGCGTGGGGGGTTAGGGGCAGTGGTGTGCAGGGTGCTCTCAGACCTGCGGGGAGAACAGGCAGGGGCGGATGTTGGGGTCGGGGGGGGGGGCACGGCAGGACGGCCCCATCCACCACGAGGCACCAACTTCCATGGTGTCCAGTGACTGGAGTCTTATTTACACTCATCCGCTGACCTTCACAGATGGCCACACGACCTCTGCAGCCTCCTCACCCCTCACTGCCCGAGCACCTGCGTGTTGATGCCCAGCACTGAGCAGCCGGAGCTGCGGGCCCTGCCCCTCCCCCAGCCTCTCCAAGCTCCTCCGGCTCAGTTCTCCAGGCCCACAGGGGCCTCAGGGGCGCAACAGGCAGCCTTGGTGCCAGGAGGTGCCCACGCCATGACGTGGGGCCCTGGACTCTGAATCTGGACCTCTGCCTTGTGACTTCGGGACCTGGAAGTCATTGCTAGACCGGAGGAGCCAGGGTCGAAGGACGGCCTGGCCCTCGTGCCCCAGGGTCTGTCCAATAAACCACGCCAGCCTGATGCCCCGTGGTCCAGGGTCCGGCCCCAAGAGCCTGGCCTGTCTTTGCATGGGGCACCCTTGTCACTGTCTTCTCAGGAAGGGGAGGAGGCCCTGGGGCCCTGAGAACATCAGGACAGAGCACAGGTGCCCCTTCAGTGAACGGGGTTCTGAGGAAGCACCTCCCCCACCCCCGGCAGCTGGGGACAGATGTGATCACCCACCAAGTGTCCATCCTCGCTGGTGTCCTCAGAGGGACACACTGGTTCCCAGCACCCCAGGCGGCCTCATCTGCCACCTGCACCTGCACTGCTGAGCTCCAGGTTCTTTTAGAATCTTAGGGGAGCCAGTTTGATTCTCCACCCGGAGGAACCGCCGGTCTGCAGGCCACCTCCCCTGGTCCGGCTGCCAAGCACAGGCTCCACCCCCCGGGGGGCCTTCCCGCAGGTGTGGGGCCGGAGAGAGCACAGCCTCGGCCTGGGCGTGGCTGCTCAGGTGGACGGCTTCACCCCACGGCGTCTCCAGGTCTCTGGGGAAACGGCTTCCAGACAACAGCGTTCCTTAGTTCCCGTGGCAACAAGGCCTGCACTCCTGTTTCCAGGGAAATCCAGCCTTCAGCGTCGTGGTTGCCACAGCAACGCCTAAGCCTCAGTTGTCCATGAGGTCCCAACCCAGGGGGGCAGCTGGGAGCCCAGGACAGAGGAGCAGGTGCTGCAGCAGGTGTGGGCCCAGAGCTGAAGGAGGAGACACCCTGCCTGGAGCCGCTGTCTCTGGGGTCCTGTGCTCCAGCCGCAATGAGCTCTCCCTCCAGTGAGCCTGACAACGGGGACACGGCCGAGCGGCCCCAGCTGGGGCTGGACACTGTGATCCAGGTCAGTGGGTGGCTGCCCTCCAGCACCCTCCTCGGAGCAGGCTCCAAGGGCACCTTCTCAGCTCAAGGGACACTTTGCACATGCTCACGCAGCCAGCAGGACGTGCACACGCGCACACACGCGCACACACGCGCACACACACGTGCAGACCGACTGGGAAGGGGCTGGAAGCCTCGGCCCACGGCTGAGCCTCCTCTGGCGGAGCCTCAGGCTTGCAGCATGCAGGAGGGGTGCGGGGGCCGAGGACCCTCCCAGGCTGCCCTCTGGATCTGGTTCACGGCTTTCTTTTGGTGAAGTGTAGGCGCCGGCCGCCCTCCCCCAGAGCTGCCTGTCACCTCTGCCCACGGGGTTGGGGGGGACCATCCCCAGTCTGTCTTGAGGGCTCCACAGGTTCTAGGTCTGACGTTCTCGCCTCACCGGCATAACCCCATCCACGGGGACGGGATTCTCCTTGCGCCCTCTCCCCTCACCCCTGCCTCCCAGACCCAGCTGCTGCCCACCCTGTGACCTCACCCCGAGGTGCCCCCTCTGCCTTCACGGCCAGGCTGTCCCCAGCCTGACTGACCCGGGGGGTCCCAGCAAAGGCCCACACAGCAGCTGGCCCAGAGTTGTTCATTAACCCAGGTCTCGGAACCTCGAACTCTGCTCTGGGGGGGTGTGGTCCCACGTACATCGCACAGGTCCTGGGGAAGAGCCGTCACCCGCCGCCAGCGCCAGGGGTTAGACGGCATGGCGGCGTCACCACAGTGCACAGGCACAGGACCGATGTGACAAGCGTGTCTGAGTCAGGTGCTACGAGGCAAGTGAGGTGGCCTGGGCGGGGGACACCGTGCAGCTCCCATGGCGTCTCAGCTCTCTGGGGCCGACGGGGGCCGACCACCAGGGGGCCAGGGAGGGGTCTGCAGATTGTGGAAGACTTTCCGCCAGTGTCCCAGTGGCCCCGAGAGCCTGTGCGGCTTCCACCACCCCCTCTGGATTCAGGGGAAATAGAGGCTCAAGGGTGGAAGCAAGTTGCCAAGGTGACAGGCTGGTCTGTGGGGGAACACAGGGTGGCATCGATGCTGCCCGTGGGCATCAGTGCTTGGCCAACATGCTGCTCGTGGGAAACTCATCTGAAGACGCCCCGGCAGAGGTCCCCTCCACCCGCCTGGCCGACACCTCTTATTAGCTGCAGTGATGGAGATCTCGGTGATTGCACGGTGAGCAGGCTGGCGGGCGCCACGGGGGCCCCGACGGCCCGTCTAGACAGGGTGGCAGGCGGCAGACGGGGAAGTGAGGGCCTGGCACGGTGCAGCTTGAGAATGAGGGGCCTCGTGTGCAACGAGGTCTGAACAAGCGCCCACGGCGCACAACCTACTGCCCCCTCTGGCCGGAGCTGCTGTCTGTCCTCCGCCCCTCCCACTCTGGCCCCATGCCCACTAGAGCGTCCTCAGAAAGCCAGAGGCCCCGTATGTGGTCTTTGCGCACATAGCACCGCAGCTGTGAACCCCAGAGCATGGCGTGGCGTGGCTCTGGCGTGGCCGTGGCTTGCTGTGTTTGCTGTGACCTGGGTCTCCACACGCTTCATCCACTTTATCTGTAACAGCCACTGGTGTGGTCTCCGGTTTAGCCCGCCGTGCACAGCGCAACCTCAGACATCGGGGACGCATCTTTGGGTCCCGTGTGGGCACCTCTGTGGGGCGTCTACCCAGGAGGCCACGCTGCCCTAGGCCGCATATGTGGTTTCGGTGGATGCCACCGGATGGATTTCCAAAGAGGCTGTATCATCCGATCCACAGTGTGCCCGGCTGGCCACTGCCCAGCTCGGCCAACACGGCGTCCTGCCACTTTCTGGGCAGCCATCAGCGTGGGTGTTCTGGGGTTTTACACTGCGGTTCTGCCTGGTGACTAGTGAAGCTGAGCACACGCCCCTGTGTTTGTCGGCCCCTCGGGTATCTCCTTTGGTGAAGTGTCTGCTCTGAAATGTTGCCCGTTGTTCTCTTGTGGTCCTTCCTCTGTTTCTCCTGGTCTGAACGCGGCCGCACACACTGGAAAGAAGCACTGACCGAGACGAGCTACCGTCTGCCGTGGGTGGCCCTCTCCTCGTGTCTTGGCATCTTTTCCAAGAAAGCTCATCCTTTTAGTACAGCTTCTGAGCGCGGTGTAAGAAACACACTTTGCCCACTGGAGGTCACAAAGATGTTATTCTGTTTCCTTTTAAAGGCCTTGTTGTTTCACTTTCAGGCCGGAATCTGAAACCTAAGTGGGACTGATCTGTGTGCAGCCTTGAGGCAGAGAGAGCCCTGCATTTCCTTCCATGTGCACATCCGGGGAACTGAGCCCCACTGCTGAAAACCAGCACGTGCACGCCTGTGCATGCGTGCACACGTGTGCATGTGCGTGTGTGCTTGTGTGTGTGCAGACTGGAGACCCGTCCCACTGCTTTGCTTCTCCTGCTACCTGGACGCCTGACCTGTGCCTCTTCCAGCTGTTGAGCTGCTACTTATCCTTCCAAGTCCAACCCGCCTGCCACCGCCCCCAGGAAGCCAGTGTGGGTGCTGGGGACACAGGAACAAACACGATCAACAGGCTTGTTGCCCTCCCCAGTGTTCCCTGACATGAGTCATTTTGCAGTTGGCAATTCACACCTTAGGCTGGGTTTTAGCCGTCCGTGCAGTGACCTGCCCAAGCCCGCCGTGTGCCTGTATCAGTCATGCTGGAGGCGGGGGTAGGGCCCAGGGATGAACGAGAAGTTGTCTCTCTGTCCCCAGGGCCTGAGCCCGTGCTGGCCGGGCTCGTCCCCTTGTCGTTAGTTGAGAACCACACTGCCACCCACAGGAAGCACGACCTTGCCCAGGGCTCCAGGGCTCCAGGGCTCCGCGCGGGATCTGAACTGAGCAGGGCTGAGGTGCAGCACGCGCCCAGGTGCTGCCCCAGACAGAGCAGTTCTTTCTCTTGAGGGAACGGAGCCTGGCGGGCGGCCACCCCAGCCCAGGGCACTCTCTGCAGCAGCCAAGCTGCGGAAGGATGGCAAGCAGACGTCCGGTGGCTGGACTTGGCTGAAGGCCCTGTCCCCACATGTGTTTCCGCCAGCAGTGCCCACTCTGCCAGGAGCCAGAGCTGCTACCGGGGTTCAGGGAGGCTCTGAGCAGGCAGAGATGGAGAAGGAAGGCAGGCGGCGGGCTGGTGCGGGCCCCCGGCGCCCGTCCCTCTGTGTGGGCTCAGGAGGATGCCACACGGGAGGAACCTGAGGCCAGCGTGCCCCCAGGACCCTGATCTCCAGCCACTGGGAGTGTGCGAGCGCGGCCACCAGGGCGGAGTGCATCGGGGGGCCCTCGGGTGGGATCCAGTCCTAATGCTTGTAAGCGGATGACCTTGAACGAGTCCCCAACCTCCTCACCAGGGAAGTGGAGGTGAGAAGCTGCCCTTTAGCTCAGGAAGATGGCGATAAAAGTGTTTGCTGAGAAATCTTAAGTGGGAGTGTCCTGCCTTGGCCTCTGACCCCCCAGAGCGGGCAGGCACAGTCTCCTGCAGTACCCCTGGAAGCCACACGGTGGCACTGCTGGGCCCGCCCTGTCCACCCTCCACGCTGTGGCCGGGCCTGGTCCTGGCTGAGCTGGGCCATCCACTGGGCATCTCCCAGGGCGGTTTTAGAGGAGGTCGGGTGCCCCTCCCTGCCGGCCACTGGGCTCCCTGGACCACCCAGGGGTGCCCTTAATTTGGGTCTGGGGTGGGGAGGCGTCCATTCTTTTTTCTGAATCCAGCCTTCTCTCCCCTGGGGACCAGGACATCAGCCGTCTTCCCCTGTGCCCCTGGCAGCCTGGAGGTTCCAGAGGAGACACTCAGGGGGTGCAAGGGGAACCCGTAAAATCGCTCTGACTGCGACTTCCATTTCTGAGCTAGGAGCCCACCTGCCTCCTCCTCGGTGAACATGGTAGGGGGCAGTCCCTGACACCCCTCACCCCACCCTCCAGACAGGAGTCGGGGGCAGGTGACACCCCACTGTCACCCCAGCCCCATTCTCATAGATGAGCCCTGCTCTGCGGAGGTGGGCTGATAGGAGCCCACGTTCCTCCGGAGGCAGGCGCGCCCCTCCTCAGCCAGATGGGGAGCGGCCGGCGACCAGGGCCCCACACAGACCCCTGATGCCCGAGCCTCCGGGTCCTGTGCACCCCTTGCGCCCGCCCAGTGGTGACCGGGCTGCGTCTCTAGCGCAGGAGGAGGGCGCTGGGGAGGCAGGAGGAAGGGACCTGGCTGGGCTCGACCCCTAGTCCTGGGTCTTGGGGGAAACCGGTGTCCCCTCCGCCGATTCGGGTCCCGTGGGGCTGGCAGAGTCTCCCGCTGCGCTGCGTCCCCGTGCACGCCCACCCCCAGGCCTGCAAGGGGGCCCCGCCCCGACCGGCGACCGGCGAAGGGGGCGACCCGCCGGGGTGGGGCCTGGGAGCCCCTCTGCCCCAGCCTGGCCCTGAAGAGGCGAACGTGGGGTTCGAGCCCAAGCCGTGCGCAGGCCCGGCCCAGCCCCGACCCAGCCCCTCCCGCGCCCCAAACCCCTGCGGCCTCTCCCCCACGCGCGCCCCTCCCGCCCCTCCGCCGTTTCCGCGGGGCGGGGCCGCCTCACACCCCCGGGCCTAGGGCGGGGGCAGAGGCCGCGCGCCCCCTCCGAGCCGCCCCCCGCCGCGCCCCCGCGGCTCCAGCTGGGCCGCGGCCCGTCGCCGGCACCCGGCCGCAGCTGGAACCCATTAGGCCCCAGCGCCTCCTGGGACGCGCGGCTAATAAGTGACCCTCTGTAACTGCGGCATGAGTCAGGCGGCCGCGCAGCCTTCCCGTTAGCGGGTGGCGCCGCCGACGCCCGGGGGAGCGCGGGGCGCGGGCCGCGGGCCAGGCAGAGGCGCTTCCGGGCGGCCGCTGCGCTCGGTGTCCTCCACGCCCCGCGGGCCTCAGTTTCCCCGCGTGCAGGCGGAGGGTTCAGGGCAGGCCTCTCCTCCCGGCTGGACAGGCCAGGGTCGTGGTCCTGGCGCCCGGGCTGCTGGCCCAGAGGAGTCGCGGGCAAGCCCTCCCCTCCCCCAGGGGAGGCTGCTCACACCCAGAGCAGGGCTGGAGGGGTCATGGGGTGCTGAGTGCAGGGGCCTCCCCAGACCTCCCAGGGGACGAAAATTCAAACACCAGTGAAGAGAAGTGTCCAGCCTGAAGCAGGGCTGGGGTCCCGGGGAACCAGGACCGGGACTCCTTCCCGGATGGCAGCCCAATTCCGTCCCTGGCTGCCCACCCTGGGCTGCTGTTGGGGGTCAGAGCAGGCCTCACCCGGTGTCACACAGGACCTGGGTTTTGGGGTGACTCTGAAGCCTGGTCCTGATGGAGTCTTTGAGGTGGGTGTGAAGGAAGGCTCCAGGCTGGGGTCTCAGGAGGAGGGGACCCGTGAGAACGACACAGGGCCACGAGGTTGGGGGAGCAGGGGCACCAGGAAGCCCTCTGCTCCCCCCACCCACCCCCATAAGTGTCAGAGCCCAGCAGGGGGTCCACATGAGAGCGGGTCTTCAGGGCGAACTGGGAGAAGTCAGAGGAGGGGAGGACAGGCAGGAGGCCCAGGGGTCACGCCCCAGGACCCTGGTCTGATAGGGAAATTAGGGGAGTCACAGGGTGGGGGAGCCCGACGTGGCTGAGAGGGGCCAGAGGGAAAGGGCTTCCAGGGGAGGGGCGTCAGCACATGGTGGCGAGCTTGGCAAGGCTGGAGCTTGGGGGTGACAGGAGCATAGTCTGCCACCCTGGAGAGTCACTGGGAGTGGACACCCATCCCAGATCCCCTGGGGATTGACTGGCCACCCTTTAATATTCAGTCCACTGCCTTCCAAGCAGACATCTGCCTGTGGCGGGGGTGATGACCCCTGCCTCACCCCCGGTGAGCTCACCTGGCCTCGCCCGGGTACGTCCACAGGTCCTCTGCGGGCTGAAATGTCTACCCCCACTCCCTGCCTGGGCTCAGGGGCCCCAGATGGTCCTCCCCACAGTCAGCACCACCAAGACCCAGGAAAAAAGGCCCCTGCCCAGCCTGGGCACCCCCAGACCAGGCGCTCCCCACAGTGTTCCCTCCAGAGGAGCAAAGACTCCCCAGGCCAAGGCAGTGCCGCTCAGAGTCCCAACCTGCAGGGACACTTCCAGGGCCCTGGAACCCTGAGGCCGGGAAGGAGGCCCCCTCCCTCTCCTCCCTGTGCCCCCCCTCCCGGGCCCCGGGCACAGCTGGCCTTGTCCTAAGGGCGGGGATGGGTGGAGCCTCTGTCCTGACACCAGTGACCTGCCCCGCCCCGTGGGCTGAGGTGAGTGGGAGGTTGTGGGCCTTGAGGTCCAGGGGAGGGAGAGCATCCCTGGAGAGGTGCAGGTGTGAGGACCCAGCCCAGCCCCGCCACTCAGAGGTGGAGCAAGCGTGGTGAGGACCTCCGCCAGGTGCTCCTGGACAGCCCTTTTCCACGCCCCCCTCTGATCCGAGCGGGGCCAGATCAGGCAGGGCGCCACCTACTGCACAGGCGGAGAAGCCAGAGCACATGTCTGGGTGACCTCAGCCTCGCCCAGTCCTCTCCAGGGCACTCTGGGGCTGTGGGTGAAGCCATGGTCACCCCACCCCGCCGACCTTACCGGGCTCAGCTGTCCAGGCCCTGCCAGCCCAGATGCTTCTGGGTGCATGTTTTTCAGAAGCTGGAGGACACCGTCCTGAGCCCCACAGCCAGCAAAGAAGACCGAGCACTGACCGTGCGTGGGGAAGACTGGCAGGCCTCGCCCACCCCACTGCCTGCCCGCATCCGTGAGATTGTGGCCGGCAGCCTGGGCGCAGAGCCACCCCACGGTGAGCGGTGGTGGCCGGGGAGGTGGTGGGGGTGAGGGGACACCAGGGGAGCTGCCTCGCCATCGCCTGGAGTCCAGCTCAGGAGGCTGAACCCCCCCTGTGCCCTGATCGGCCCCGGCTGGCCTGTCACCTTGCAGTGTGAAGGGCCACAGAGCTCCCATAGGGTGGCCCCCGGGGTCATGCGTCCCTACCCACTGGGTCTTCACCACTGGGCCACTGGGACCTTCCCAGCCAGCATGGCCTTTGTGTCTGTGACACGTGGCCCTGCCTGTCTTGGTTTTCTCTGCGTTTGCTTCCCACTAGATGAGGGAAAACCCTTATGGTTGATACTCGGGAAACAGATGCTGACCAGTCCCCCACCCCCACCCCAAGAGCTGTGCTCGTCCAGCCCTTCAGGCCCCCGAGTCACCTCCTGGTCGTCACGCTGTTCAGCGGAGGATCTGGCTCAGAGTTGGCTCCTGCCCAGGCCACCCAGCTCTGGGCACCCGGCCTCGGGGCGTGCTCACAGCTCCAAGCCAGTCTGACAGCCCCCGCGCGGGTCCCGGGACCCCTCCTGCAGGGAGGGTCCACGCCTCCCCTGGAGGGACCGGGAGCTTGCTGTGTGTGTGTGTTACGGAGAGAGAAACCCCACGTGTGGTCAGAAAAGCAGCTCATTACTTGGGGACGGGATCCGGTTACACTGAGTCAGCAGTTCCCACTGCTTCCCAGGCCAGAAGCACCCCCACTCTGCTGTAATTGGTTTGGGGCTCACCCCGGGCATGGGTCTGTATTTGGGGTAAGGATTTTGATAAAAGGCAGGGAGGCAGGCCCACTGACCAGAGAGCAGGCGAGGCCCCCACGTGCAGTCCCCAGTCAGACGGCCGGCAGTGCCATCGTGGGGACGGGCTGTGGCTGAGGCGGGGGCCTGGACCGGCCCCCAGGCTGAGCCTAGTGCTGCACCCCCAGAGGTGCGGGAACCGCCAGGCACCTTGGCCCAGGTGCAGGAGGAGAGTGACCTCCTGCAGGAGGAGCTGTCCCGGCTGGAGGACCTGCTGGCCCAGGTGGGCACCGAGCGGGACGAGCTGGCCAGCAGGTACCACGCAGTCAGTGAGCGGGTAAGTGTTCGCACGGGGCAGGCCAGAGGGTGGCAGCCGGGCCCGGGAGGAGGCATCACCCGATGGGACTGGCGGTTGGACCGGTGGGACCATCCGCAAGTCGTGAGGTGTTTATCAGCCTGGGGACAGTGGGGAAACTGAGGCTGGTGAGAGCGGGATGGTGCCAGGCCGCCCGGCTCACTGCCCAGCTAAGGCAGGACTGTGCCCGCCTGCCCAGGAGTCTTCTCGGGGCCGGCCTGGTCAGTCCTGACCCTCGGCCTGGCCCAGTGAGCCCGCAGCCGCCCCCAGCCAGTGCCTGCCCAAGGTGGGAGGGGCAAGCGGAAGGAACTGAGCCCCCTGCAGTCTGCTGAACTGGCCCGGCCCTCAGCCCAGCGCCTGGAGATTGCTCAGCCCTCGGCCCCAACCCCTCCTGACAGCTGAGAAGCAGCTGTGACCCTTGGCCCCGGGTCCTCCATCCCCTGGGCCTCCCGGGCAACCAGCAAGCTGCAGTGAGAGGCCCCTCTGGTCACAACGTGGGGGGTGGGGATTGTGTACGTGGGGAAACCGAGTCAGAGGCCTGGAAGCCCTTGCTCGGAGCCTCCTTCCCATGTCTGCCACCCCGGGCATGATGGCTCCGGGCCAGGGAGCCGGCCCACAGCGTGGGGCTCAGAAGCCCTGCTGGGTCAGCCCAGCTCCCACGCTTGCTGTCTTCAGACCCCCCCTTGCTCCAAGTGGCAGGGTAGGTGACCCCACTTTCCAGATGAGCAAACAGAGGCTCAGAGCGGGCCAGAGGGCCAGGGCCTTGCTGCCATTATTGAGGCTGAGACCAGTGACCAGTGCCCTGTGCTCAGTGCCCCAGGACCCAGGGTGAAGTGCCCTCTGCTCTGACACCCACACTTTGGACACCCCTTCTCATGGTTGCCTGCACCCCCAGGGGCCGGGGCAGGGCTGTGAGGTGAGGGTCCTTCTCCTGGGGCGCGGGGGAGCGCTCAGTGGTTGGCCTGCCTTCCTGGGCCATCTGTGGCCCATTGGCTGGGGGTGGGGGGTGTTCCTAGCACAGGGTGGGGAGCTGCTGGGAACTGGCCAGTGGGAATAGAGGCCGCAGAAACCCTGTGCACAGATCAGCACCTCGTGAGTCAGACCCGGCAGCTCAGTACACGCGGGCTCCCTGGTTCTGCACCAAAGAGGCTGAGCCTCCCCCAAATGACCCCGCGGGGGGTCAGGGTGGCCCCCATGACTGCTTCCTCAGGTCTCCAACCTGGTGGCAGCCCCTGCCCTGGCCCCTGGATCCACCTGGGACCCCCGGCCCCTCCTCTCTCATCCAGCGAGGACGGGAACGCTCACCTCCCCACACACCTGGCCCCAGGTCCCCAGGTCACAGCACAGGTGTGGCCTTCAGCTCTCCTGACCTGGTACCTCTCAGCCCCTCGCCTGCCTGCGGGGCCTGAGTCTCCTCCCCCGACACCCAGAGTGTGCTCTGAGTCAGCACATCTGGGGGGGCCAGCACCTCCTTTCCCCCTTAGAGCTCCAGGGTCCCCATCTGCTCAGGCTCTGGGGCAGGCGTGGTCCCTGCCCCCCTGCTGGATCAGGCACTGGGACCAGACAAAGGTGTGAGCACAGGCAGGAGGGCAGCTGGAGGGGGGACCCCACGCCCCCTCGCTGTCCCGGAGGGCGACCCTGGGCCTGCTCTGCCACTGGCCGTCCTGCCGCTGCGGGCTGACCAGACCCTGGAGGCCTCCCCTAAGCTGGCCGTACACCCTTGACCCGGGGGCAGGGTGTGGACGCCCACCCACCTGACCCACCGCGTGGAGGGGCCTGAGCTTCTCCAGACCAGCCCCACCCCAGCCCCTCGGGAGGGCGTCGTGCCCAAGCTGCCCCTCCCGGTGGGCTGATGCTCCCCTCCAGTTGCAGGCCCGGCTGCGGAGGTCGGAGCTGGAGCACAGCGCGGACCTGGAAGAGGCCCTGGGCCGTCTGGAGGCTGCCGAGCAGAGGTGAGGCCAGGCAGGCCCAGCAGCCAGGGCCTCCGGGAGCTCGGCCATCACCCCAAGGGCGCAGACCCCACTGTGCCTCTTCCCAAGGTGGCTTGAGGCCGACGTCGCCTGTAGGGGTCAGCTGCACGTTTCGGGGCTGCTGGGGGCAGGCAGGGTGAGGAGTGGGGACCAACCCGGCATGGCCTCGGGCATGGGTGCAGGTCCCCCCGGCCGCGTGTGCCCCAGCCTGACGCCTGCTGAGGCTGGTGTTCTGGCCAGCGCTGCAGCCCGTCCTGGGGTACCCCTGGTGCTGCCCTGAAGCCCACTCTTCACGCGCTGGCCCTGACCTCCAGGCCTCGGTCACTGATTCCATGGCCAGGGGCTCATTTGTTCACCGTGGGGAGCATGTGTGACACCCAGCCCCTCGAGGTGGCCCCGGCACCCCTGGACTCCCAAGCCCAGAACACTGTCCCGGAAGGGGGGGCACCCGCCAGCCCTCTGCGGGGAGCCGGCCCTCAGAGTCTCCACCTGTGGCCCTGGGGGTGGGGTGGTCAGGCACGTGGCTCCTCTGCTTCCCGCACTGGCCCATCCTCATCCTCGGGGACCGGAGAGGGAGGAGAGAGCTGGGAATAGCCCAGGGGGAGGCTCACGCCCCAGGAGCAGGGAATGTCCCGCTGCGGCCTTGTTCCCGGCAGGGAGGCGCTGGCCCCGGGGGCGGGGCCCAACCTGGTGCAGCCACAGGCACACCGTCCTGGGTGGACAGGACCCCAGGTCACAGTGGGGGCTGCTCCTCCCTGGCCCCACTGCCCCCCTGCCAGGACGGCACCTACCCCCAGCCCTGCCCCTCTTCCTTGTCTTGGGGTTCACCTCTGCACCCAGGATTGAGGAGCTGGCCACAGTGGAGGGGGCAGAGCCAGGAGAGCCCCGAGGGGAGATGGAAGGGACCAGGGTGGCACCTAGATGGTGGCCCCAGTGTGGGGACCCTGCTGGTGCTGCTCAGGGGCATGCAGGGGGCTGGACCCCCGCGCTGTGTGAGCTGGGCCCAGGAGGTTCGGGGCTGGGTCTAGGAGCCCCTCTAAGCAGAGCCTCCTGCCGACGCCACCCCGCCGTGGTTCCGCCCGTCCAGGAGCATCAGCCTGTCCCAGGTGAACACCCTTCTGAGGGAGCAGCTGGGGCACATGAAGAAGGCCAATGACAAGCTGGCTGAGGAGCTGGCCGGGACCACGGGCAGCGTGCTCCCCCTGCAGGGACAGCTGGAGCTCAGGGAGGCTCAGCGCTGGACTGAGAGACAGGTGAGCCCTCTTCCTCCGCCCGTCGGAAGAGACACCTGCTCCGGTGCCGTGGCGGCTGGTGGGCGTGGGCAGCAGGGGCCAGAACAGGGGAAGCCGGCTGCAGCTGCGCTTCCTCCGGGGGCCAGGCCTCCTGCGGCACCACATCCCCCACTCGGGGTGGCCACAGCCTCTGCAGGGAGGGGGGCCCTGGGGCGGGACAGCCCTGCTCGAGAGAAGGACGGCAGGGTCCTGAGGCCAGACCTGGAAAGTAGGGACAGGCTGGCGTCCCGGCTGGTGTGCTCACTGTTCCGGAGGCCTGCCTCCTGGTCTGCCGGGGCCGGCAGGGCCTCTGCTCCCTCGCCCTTGAGAATGGGTCTCGGCAGGTGTGTTCTCACGTCTCTGGCGTCCGGCCCTTGGACTCTGGCAGAAAGGCCATCTGCCTCCTCGCTCTGGCTGCGGCGGGGTCTCGGCTGTGGCTCAGGGGTCCTGCCGTTTCACTGCGGTCTGTCTGTGCGGAGGCTGCCGTTCGTCTGTCCAGCTCAGGCTTCGTCGGGGCTCCGTCCTCCACTCTTTTGGGGAGTGGCCGTTACTCCAGGGCCTCAGTCACCCTCGTTCTCGCTCCTGCTCCTTAACCGCCTACATCTTCTTTCTGTCCATCGCCCTGGTCTGTGTTCCAGACAAGTAGTCAGCTCCCTCTCTGGGGTCCGGTCTGTCAAAGCGGCCCGCCAGGCTCACGCTGCAGAGATTGTATTTCCACCCTGAAGAATCCTGGTGGGTTCTTCCCCAAATAGCTTACACGTGCCTCCTGTTTCCAAGCCTGCCTCGTGCGTGCGATGACCTCGAAGGCGCTGTTCTGTAGTGCGTCCGTCCGAGGTCTTGTGTCTGCCATACGGTGGAAGAGCCGCCCACGGCTGCGGGGCGGGCCCAGGGCGGCGGCCCCCGGAGCAGGTTGTGGAGAGACCGACCATGGCAGGCTCCTCAGCTCCCAGGCCTGGGCCTGCACCTGAGGGGTCACTGCCCCTTCCTTTCAGAGCCGTCCACGCCTGGGGGTGCAGACCCGGGACTTCGTCCTCCTGTGGAGACAGGTGACAGGGCTCCGAGCACACCTGGCTGAGCTGCGGTCGGCCTCTGAGAGGTGAACCAGCTGCCCATCGGGGTGGAGAGAAGGCATCTGCCCCGGCATGAGGCCCTCCAGGCTGCTCCTTCCCCAGCCCTGCTGGGCCTCGAGGCAGGGGGCTGGGGATCTGCAGGGCTGGAGTTGGGGGCTGGAGAGCCAAAGGGGTGAGACCACAAGAGGGAGGAACTACATGGGTGCCACTCCGGGTCCCTCTGGTCCTTGCTGGGTTCCTCTCAGGTCTACCCTGGGTTGTTGGGGTACCGATCAGCACCCCGTTTGCACACGAGGACACAGCTCAGAGGGTCTGTGTCCTCTGCGGCCTCACCAGGTGTCATGAGGAAGGGTGAGGGCTGCGGGGGGCTGCTGAAGGCCGAGGGCAGGACCCATGTGGCCCCTTTCAGCCAGCACGAGACCCTGGCCCTGAGCCCGCAGCCGGTCCTGAGGCTCAGCTGGGGGTGCTCCCGTGTCCCCAGGGGTCTCGCTGACATGCAAGCGGACACGGCCAGGACGGCCCAGCGCTTGCACACGGCCTGCCTGAACCTCGACTCCAACCTGCGGCTGTCGGCCAGCAGCGCGGCCGGGGCCCGGGAGCGGCAGGCCCTGCGGGGCGCTTGGCTGGAGCAGCAGCTTAGGGACAAGGTGCGGGAGATGCTGCAGCTGCAGGGCCGCTGGGATGCGGAGAAGGTGGCCCTGCAGGCCAGGTGGGTGCCCGAGGGGACTGTGGCCCGCGCAGGTCAGCTGGGGGTGCTCTGAGCCCCTTCCTTCTGCCCAGCAGCCTGGGTTCCGAGTGATGGGCAATTGTCATTCCGGCAGCCAGGTGACATGCCCACAGGCAGACGAGCCAGCCCTGGGGTCAGAGTGAGAGCCCCCGACTGCGGGTCCCGTGGACACTGCAGTAGACGCCCATGGACTGTGCCTGTGGCTCGTTCCCAGAAGTGTTCTCAGGCCTAGAAACACGTCCTTCGGACCCGGTGCTTGTTCTGGGCTCGACCACTGGAGAAGCAGAGGCAGGCAGACGGGCCGGGCCCATCTGGGGTCCCCGACCCTCCGAGGAAACATGGAATGTTCTGCACGGAGAACCTGCGTGTGGGGCTCGAAAACGGGGGGACGGCTCCCCACTGAAGGCCAGAGCTCATGTGGTCACACACACTCTGTCCTCAGGGGGCCGGGAGCAGGTGGGGTGCAGGTGCTCCCCACGTCTGCAAGGGCAGCGCCTAGCGCCTGAGCAGAGCACTCCGGCCACAGGAGCCAGGGCTCTTTGAGAAGAAGGTGGGTGCTGGGAAGAAGGGGGCATGCCACCCTCACTCACTGCCAGACGGGGCGGCAGAGGGGGTCCGGGCAGGCCCCTGAGTGAGTCCTGCGTCTGCCAGGCCCCAGGATGGGGCGGAGCCTTGGAAGCCACTGGCCTGTGATGCTGCAGGGCTGAGTCGGGTCAGCTTGGGTGCTGACCTTCAGGTCTGAGCTTTACTCTCAAGACAGTGGGAGCCGTTAAGGTTCTAGCGTAGGAGAGCGGCGTCTGACCGGACAGGGACTGAGGCCCACTCAGACAGGTGTGGCCAATGCCTGCATCCCTGCCACACCACAGGAGGGGTCTGGATTCAGCCGGGGACTCCCAGGGCCCACCTCTGCCCTGGGCGAGGTGCTCTGTGCCGACCACCCTGCCCCCACCCTGACCTTCCTCCAGGCTCTCGGAGCAGGTGTTGCTGGTGCAGAAGCTCACGGAGCAAAACTCAAGGAAGGACAGAACCATCTCATCCCTCAGAACCGAGGTCCAGAGACTGGTGCCTGGGGCGGGAGGGGCGGGGCTCCGGGAGGGGTGTCGCTGCCTTGCTGAGGGGTCTGCCCGGGGTAGGCGGCCCAGCACCACCGTGGGGCCCAGCTGGAGGCGGACGACTTGAAGGTCGAAGTGGAGAGTCTGCGGCGTGTTCTGAACATCATCACGGAGGTGCAGACCCTCGCAGGTCCCAGCCGAGGTGTGGGGTGATCCGGGAGGTCCCCGGTGGACGGGCCCTGAGCCCTCTCCCGCACTGTGAAGGTGGCCCAGGCAGACTCAGGGGTCCCGGAGCCTGTGCGGAGCCGCAGCACGGACGGAGAGAAGGCACAGGGCCATCTGCGGAGCCCCACACGAAGCACGTCCCCTCACTGGGGCTCGTCCCCACCACGGGCCCGCTCCCCGGCCGCCCTGGACCCTGCGCTGCGGGCTGTGCACACAGCCATCGAGAGGCACCGGCAGCAGGAGCAGGTGGGCACTGACCCAGGGTGGTGCCCTGGTCCCGCGGTGGTGTGGAGCCACCGGGCCTGCCCTGTGCCCCATGGATCCCGGGAGGGGGCTTTGACCTAAGTGCTCCTTCTCAGGGGTCTGTGGTCACAGGCCTTCCCCGGGCGGAGGAGGAGGCTCATGCCCCCCCCCCCCCCGCAGGAGCTGCGTCTACAGCTGGGGTCCTCCCAAGTGGTGATGACCCGGCTCCGGGAGCAGCTGGCGGAGACGCGGCGGGAGCTCCGAGCGTCCCGGCGGCTCCTGCAGGAGTGTGAGCAGGAGCGTGGGGGCCTCCTGGACAGGCTGGAGGTGCAGAGCCAGGAGGCGCAACAGTGCAGGGCAGCCAGCGAGCTCCTGGAAAGGTGCGGGGGGCTGGGCAGGGCTGGCCGTCCCAGCTGGGGTGCTGCCCCCAGAGGTGTTCTGCATAGGAGGGAGAGGCCCTGATTCCTGGGGACAGGTGGGCCCCTCAGCATGGGGGGAGGAGGGCCAGATTCAAGGGGCACTTGGGAAATGGGGTCCTCAGGGTCCAGGGCCCGAGGGTGCGGCGGAGGTTCGGGTCCCTGGCTACGGGTGCTGTGGGGCAAGGACTCTGAGTGGGTGGGCGCTGAGCACAGCGTCCCAGGGAGTAGGATCTGCAGGGCCAGGGCTCCTGTCAGGACAGGTGAGCAGGCAGGCGGGGGCGGAGCTGGGGAGGGCACAGGTGGGCACAGGTCCCTTCCAGCAAGTTCCTTCCAGCAAGTTCTGGAGGACTGGCTGAGGCAGCCTGCGGGTGTCGAGGGCGCCCACAGGGCCACCAGGAGGGGATGGGCCGCTGGCCACCCCACTTTGCTGGCCATTCTGGGGCTGGAGGTGGCTGGATCTTCCTCGTCCCTCCTCACTCCCCTGAGCCTCTGACCCCAGTGGCCCACACTGGCACCGGCCTGCCCACCCTCCGGGCAATGGGCAGAGGCTGGGTCTCCGGGCTCCCCTCCCCCATGCTGCCCAGCCATGGCCTCCCCTGCCCCCAGGGAGAAGAAGGCGCTGGAGACGGAGGTGGAGGCACTGAGAGGCGAGGTGGACGCGCGGGGTGTGGACCTGCGGAGGCGGGAGGCCGAGAACGCAGCGCTGCAGAGCAGCCTCCTGCTCCGGACACGGCAGAAGGAGGAGCTGGAGACGAGGTGCGGCAGGCAGGGCTGTGGGCCTGTGGGCCTGTGGGCCTGTGGCCTGTGGGCCGGCCCTGCCACCAGCTGGCCTCCCGCTCGGGGAACCGCTTCCTCAGCAGCCTGGTCCCAGGGAGTGGGGTGTCCAACAGGACAGCAGGGGCGACAGGCTCTCCAGGCTGCCTGTAGGCTGGGCCATCACCCCAACACCCTGACACCCACCCAACATCCACCCAGTGCCTAGCCCAGCAAATCCAGCACCCCGGGCCCAGGAGAGCGGGTGCCCCAGTATGTGTGCACACCTCTCACCCAGGCAAGACCACCGAGGCCTGGCCGGGGATCCCCCCCCCCCCAGCTGGGGAACGGTCCTGGTTTGGATGCTGCCCTGTGGCCTCACCCAGTTCAGACTCCTCCGGGCTCCCTGGGCTTGGAGGGAGCTGCAGGGACCGCCCCGCCCACTAGTCCTGTGAGGTGGCCTGTCTCGCCCTGAGCCGACCTCACGCCCTCTGCCTCTGATTTGGGGACCTCGTGCCCTCTGCCTCTGATTTGGGGACCTCACGCCCTCTGCCTCTGATTTGGGGACCTTGTGCCCTCTGCCTCTGATTTGGGGACCTCAGGCCCTCTGCCTCTGATTTGGGGACCTCAGGCCCTCTGCCTCTGATTTGGGGACCTCAGGCCCTCTGCCTCTGATTTGGGGACCTCGTGCCCTCTGCCTCTGATTTGGGGACCTCGTGCCCTCTGCCTCTGATTTGGGGACCTCACGCCCTCTGCCTCTGATTTGGGGACCTTGTGCCCTCTGCCTCTGATTTGGGGACCTCAGGCCCTCTGCCTCTGATTTGGGGACCTCAGGCCCTCTGCCTCTGATTTGGGGTTCGTAGTCAAGGGCGCCTGGAGCAGCTGGAGGAGAAGGTCTCAGAGCTCAGGGAGGAGCTGGTGTCGGCCCAGGAGGCACTGAGCGCAGCCCAGCGGCAGAGGGACGTTCTGGAGAGGGAGAGGGAGGCCCTGCGTGGCTCCCTGGCCCGGGTACGCCTGCCTGCCACCTTCCACCTCCACGCAGCTCTCCACCAGCCCGCTCGGCCACCCCCTGACTGCAGCCTGGGTGCCCAGGGGCTGCGGTCTGGGAGGCCTCCTCACGGTGGGGTTCCCTCCCCGTCACCCCCACAGCGACGGGCTCCCTGCCTCGCGGGCACCAACAGCTCTGCCTGAGAGAAAGCCCCTCCCTGCTGTCCCCCTGGGGTGACCACTGTCCCCGAACCCCAGGCGGAGTCCAGCAATGCTGCTCTGGAGTTGCTCGTCACCCGGCTGAAGTCGGAGGGGGTGCAGCAGAGGGACTCCCTGGCCAAGATGGCTGCCCTGCTGGAGGGCCTGGCCCAGGACAAGGGCACCCTCACCCACCTGGTCCTGCAGGTGAGGCAGGCCCGCCGGGTAGGCCTTGCCCTCAGCCTCCCGTTCCCTGGGGTGGCCAGAGACTAGTCCCCGCTCTGGTCTCGGAACCCAGACTCCCCTGTACCCACCTTTTCTATCCCCGGACTGAGCGCAGGTTTGGGGGGAGAGGCCCCCATGGGAACAGCAGGCCTGATGGGCCTGGCCCTGCTGCAGGCGGGAAGGCCACACCCCCGGGGCAGGCTGGGGTGGGGGTCAGCCTGCGTGGGCACAGGTTCGTGGGGCGTGCCTGGATGCTGACCACCACCCCACCCCGGACAGCTGCAGCAGGAGGGGCACCAGCTTCGGGAGCAGGAGCGGGTGCTGAGGCAGGAGCGGGCAGCTGCCCGGGAGCAGCTGGCCAGGGCGGAGCGGCAGCTGGAGCATCTGGAGGGGCAGGCAGACCGGCTCCAGCAGGAGAGGGCCCAGCTGCAGGAGCAGGTGCACCAGGTGAGGGTCTGCAGGGCTCCTGGCTCTGACGCCCTGCGGGTCCACCCGTCCCACGTCACCTTACCACACCTCGCTGCCTGGGCACGTGAGCGCCGGTGTCGGAACTGCCGTGCTGACGGACTTGGTGGTGACGGGGGTGGACGTGCAAACCTTTACATTAGGCCTGTCCCCATGCCCGGGGGGCTGAGTTCTGCCCTCCTCAGGAACCGGAGGCCAGTGATTTCCACACATGGGCTGAAGGGCTTCCTCCCAAGTGTTGTTTCTCTCCTTGCTGGACTCTCTCATTCCCTCGTTCACTGATCCCCAGAGCTGCTGACATGCATCTCGTGCTGACAGCTCTGTGCACCCGTGTGCCACCAAGACCAAGACGTGGTATGCCCCACCAGCCCAGCATGGTCCTCTTGCCCCACCATAGCCTCAGCTCTGTCCTGTACCCCCCGAGACTGGTACCACTTGTTTTAGGGTTTCTTGTGAAGGGAGTCCCAGTACGCTTTCATGTCCAGCTTCTTCTCTCTGTCAGCATGTCTTTGAGTCATCCATGCTGTTAGGTGAATCGAGAACAGGTTCTTTTTCACTGTAGAGTAATATTCCAGTGTACAGATAAGCCACATGTGTGTACCCACTCGCCTGTGGCTGGACACTTGGGTTGTTTCTGGTTTGGGGCTATAATGGACAGGACTGTTACGAACACTTGTGTGTATATTCTCATTTCTCTTGAGTAAATACATAGGAGAGAAATTGTGGAGTCATTGGGTAGGTGTGTGTTGAACTTAATAAAACTGCCAAGCAGTTTTTCAAAGTGGGTCTGCCGTGTTCCCCTACTGCCCACAGTGTGGAGACAGCCAGCTGCTCCTAGCCTCGTCAACACTTGGTATTGTCTGTTTTTACTCTTTAACAATTCCTTGTGTGTGGAGTTATAGATCACTGTGGTTTCGTTTTCATTTCCCTGATAACAAGGGACTGTGAGCACAGGTTCATGTAATCTGGGAATAACAACAACTTTACCTTTTTTGTGGCCTCTGTGCTTTTATTTCTTCTTCCCTTGATGCGCAGACTAAAGGCCAACAGAACAAAGTCAGCAAGAGGCGGCGAGAGTGGCCTTCCTTCCACCAATCACATCGTAGAAAAGGGTTCGATACTTCACCCTCAAGTGTGATGCTGTCTGTAGGCATTCTCCAGATATCCCTTATCCGACTGACAATGTTCCCTTTCTCCTCCTCCTCCTCCTCCTCCTCCTCCTCCTCCTCCTCCTTCTTCTTCTTCTTCTTCTTCTTCTTCTCCTCCTCCTCCTCTTCCTCCTCCTCCTCCTCCTCCTCCTCCTCCTCCTCCTCCTCCTCCTCCTTCTTCTTCTTCTTCTTCTTCTTGTATCCTCACCCGAGGATATTTTTTCATTGATTTCTAGATAGACTGGGAGGGAGGGAGGGAGGGAGGGAGGGAGAGAACATGTTAGAGAGACACATCGATTGGTTGCCTCCCACACAACTCCAACCGGGGCTGGGATCAGAACCTGCAACCAGGTATGTGCCCTGGACCGGAATCAAACCCACGATCGTTTGCCAATGCTCTAACCACTGAACCAAACCGGCCAGGGTGACAATGTTCCCTTTTATTCCTACTCTGCTGAGAAGTTTTTGGGATTCTTTTCATCATGAATGGGTTTTAAATTCTGTTAACATTTTTTCTGTATCTATTAAGGTGATCATATAATTGTTCTCATGCTGTTAATGGGGTGAATTATATTGGTTAATTTTTTCATGTTAAACTAACCTTGCCTACCTGAGATAAACCCTACTTGGTCATATATGAATAGATATTTTATATATTTTTTAAAATTACATTTCATAATATTTTGTGAAGGATTTTTGCATGTATATTGATGAGGAATATTGGTCAGTAGTTTTCTTCTCTCATAATGTGTTTGTCAGATTTGGGAAGAATTTCCTCCTCTTCTGTTTCCTGGAAGTGATTTTAAAATTGGTGTTATTTTCTTTCAAAATGTTGGTAGAGTTCACTAGTGATGTTACTTGAATCTAGAGTTTCCATGGTGAGAAAAGGTTCTATAACAAATTCAGTTTCTGTAGCTGATACAGAGCTACTCAGATTTCTTATTGACTCTTGTGGCTGTTTCTTTTGCTACGTTTTGTGTTTGTCCTTGGCTCCTGAGGCCCTGGGCCCTACACCATTTAAGAGCTAGCAGATACCTCCAAGGGAAATCTGGGTAGAACACCAGGCCCACTTGAATACATGTCTCTCAGTGATCAGACCCCTTTGGGCCTTGGCTGCCTTCATGTAGATATGTTGGAGGTATAGTGTGCAAATTGCCTAGCTGCTCTAGATGGGAGTGCTGGTCTTCAACAATCTACTTTAGTATTATCAAAAGCAGAAGGTTCTGGTCTTTATGCTTAATGAATATTTTTGCTGGGTATAGAATATTTGGATAGACATTATTTTCTTTCAGCATTTTTATGGATTCATTCCACCGTCCTCTGACTTTCATTGTTGATGTTTGGAAGTCAAATGTCAGTCTTATTGTTGCTCATTTAAATGTAATGTCTGTGGGGTTTTTGCCCCTCTGTTTTTCAAAGATATTTTCCTTTATTTTGGTGTTCAGAAACTTAGCACTAAGATATATCTATGTGACATTTTTTGTGTGTGTGTTTGTCTTTTTAGAGTATTATGGCTCATTTTAAATTTGTGGCTTGATGTATTTGGTTAAATTTGCAAAATTCCTGTCCAGTGTCTGTTCAAATGTTCCCTCTCCTCTTCTTCTGCAACTCTAATTATACATATGTTGGGCCATTGTGTCTCTTACATTCTTATCGGTATTGTCCATCATTTTTTCTCTTCATGATTCAGTCTTTTGTCTATCTTTCATATCATTAGGCTACTATTCTGTCTAATCTGTCACTGAAACATTATATTTATTAATTTTAGTTATTGGGTTTTTAAGTTATGTTGTTTATATTTAGTTTCTAGTTCTACAATGAAAGTCTAAATCTTGCCATTCACCTTCTTGAACATTTAATCATAGCCATTTTCAAGTCTGTGTCTGAGAACTCTAAGGACGCAGGAAGGCATCTGTGTTTATTTGATCTTCTTACATGTGGCTTTTGCCATATGATCTTATCTCCTGATATGCCTGGTAATGTTGATTAAATGTTAAATATCATATATTTTAAAACTATAGAAATAATTTGATGAGCCATTCTTCCAGAGAGGATTTACTTTTGATTCTGGCAGACATTGAGGGTAGATGATCACCATAATCCAAGACTGAATGATCTGTTCTGATCCACCCCGACTACTAGGGGGAGCCCTTCTATAAATACAACTAGGGTCCTTCCACTTCTGTGGATCTGAATTTAAGTTTTGAGGCCACCCTAAGGCCAAAATATTGCCAGAAGCTCTCCTTGACTTCCCAATTTGTCAGCCCAAACTTTTAAATCAGCGCGTGCTCTGGGACAGACAAGATGCTGAATGGAGGGCTTGTTCCTCCTTCTCCTTCTCTCTGAGATCTCGGCTCCTTCGGTCCAGCTGGCTTGGCAGCTCCCGGGGCCTTATTCAGATTCCGTGACGTATTCTGCCTAGATTTTGGGGACGTTCATGGTAGAAGTGTTAGTCGGCAGCAACCTGGTCCTCTGTCGCCTTCTACAGCCATTTCTATGCAATAGACGCTTATGACCCAACCAAGGTTACCGTGTAGACTGGCCACTGGGCACGCTCAGGTCAGTAGCTCCTCGTCATGGTCACAGGAGTGGAGGGCACTGCTGTGCTAGCCATGGGCACTCTGAGGTCCCGTGTGTCTCATATCCACCTTCCTGCACGTCTTCCTCCGCGTCATTCTGCATGAAACCACTTCTTCTGAAGTCCTTCTTGTCCCTGAAGAGGCCCTGCTCACCCTCCCACTCTCTCTGCTGGACTCTCCCCTTTCCCATGCTCTAGGTCACATGCAAGAAACAGGCCCTGGAGGAGCAGCTGGCCCAGAGCCTGCAGGACCAGGAGGCCCAGATGGACACTCTCCGGAGGGCTCTGCAGGAGAAAGAGACTTTGTCTGAGACACGGGCCCAGCTGCTGGCCAAGCAGGAGGCCCTGGAGAGGCAGGGCCAGCTCGCGGCTGAGGAGGCAGCTGATCTCAGGTACCAGGGGCCTACGGGCAGAGTGCATCTGCATGGCCTTGCCCTCGGGGAGCCTACAGTGTGGCAGGGGCAGGCATTCACTTAGCAACTGTAGGGCAGGGAGAGCATGTCTGCACAGAGGAGAGGCTGAGTGAGGGGTCAGCACAGTGCCTGGGCTGGGGGGGGTGGGCATCTAGAGGAGGTGGACCTCGTGAGAGCCCTGGGTGAGCTACCTGTGAAGGTGGCTGCACTGGCCGAGTGGGAAGTCACAGAAGGACGGAGTGGAATGTCTTGCTCATGGAGCTGCGTTCAGCATACACATGACTTCAGGCAAGGCTGCATCCAGGTGCTCCCATGGTGCCCTCAGGACCCTGCCTGGCCCCTCTCAGTGCCGCTCGACTCTGGGGAGGGCTGGTTCACAGGCTCAGGGTGACAGATGGCCAGATGGCCAGTGGCTAGTGCAGGCTTCCTCCTCCAGCAGACGCAGACTGCCCTTCTCCCCACGAGGACCGAGAACTGCTGCCATTAACCACCTTGAGCTAATTCATGTCCCTGAGCCGAAGCTGGGAATCACAGGGCTCCGACTGGCCAGCTGGGGTCACATGCCTGCCCCTGGAGTGGGGGGTGGTCAGCCCTAGGGAGCCACAGAGCTGACAGCAGGGGCAGAGGGAGCTCCAGTGACCATGGGCCACTTCCAGAGGTGAAACGGGCGCATTAGGCAACACCAGAGGTGCCCTGTTGCCTGGTGAGCTGAGCTGGTCCCATGGCCTCTGTGCAAACCCAGCAGCTGGTGACATTCTGGACCTTGTGGGCCTTTCTGAGAAACATCCAAGTATTTTTGTAGAAAAGATTTCCTCCTGGAATTCCAGAATCTGGGGGTCCCTGAACATCTTCACAGACAACCGTCTCCTCAAAACAAAAGCTTGCACGGGAATCAGAACAGAGAGCCCAACTGCGGCTGCTGTGGGTCGTCAGGACAGAGGGTCCCGGGACCCTGCCCGCCGCCGCCTCCCAGGCCCCACAGGGCTCGGAGAGCAGGGGTTGCGGCCCTGGAAGGTGTAGATGTGTCCAACCCCCCGCAGAGCTGGCAGTGGTGGGCACGGAGACCTGGGGAGACAGCAGGGCTGACAGGGGTGGGCACGGAGACCTGGGGAGACGGCAGGGCTGACGGGTGGGCAGGGAGACCTGGGGAGACGGCAGGACTGACAGGTGGGCACGGAGACCTGGGGAGACGGCAGGGCTGACAGGGGTGGGCACGGAGACCTGGGGAGATGGCAGGGCTGACAGGTGGGCACGGAGACCTGGGGAGACTGCACAAGGCCCATGCCCGCGTGGGCCCACAGACTGGCATGGGCTGCGCCTTGGCGGTTTGTGTGTTCCTGTGGGCATTTGTGGTCCGTGTTTGTGGTGCACCCGTGTGTACATCACCCAGCCCAACAGGGCAGAGCAGAGGTTACAGCGTGTTCACTGGCTGTTTGGTGCTGATGAGTTGCCTGCAGAAATGCAAGCCACCTCCCAGGAAGGGGGTCGCTGTCAGGGCTGTGCCTCATCCCCGCGTCTTCTTCGTGCCGCCTCTGTGCAGAGATGCAGAGGCAGCTTCCCCTGCCAGGGAGCCACATGCGTGCGGCTGTGCTTCCCAGCGCAGCTCTTTACGTGACGAGAACAGGGAAGAGTCCCCTCACCCTCCCTGCCACCAGCGGACACGCCATGATTTCACAACACTCTGCTGTGCACCGGCACCGGAGCCCAGGGCGGCCACGCAGCACAGTGAGCGCCCTGAGCGGCGTCTCCGGATCAGCGTGTTCCAAAGGCACTAACGCCGAAGGCGGAACAGGCCCAGGAACAGGCACACTCGCCAACACCGCACATTGCCATTATTTCAATCTTTGGGTGATTTAATGCGTGGTTGTGATGTGGGTTTCCTTGAGCACGCTTCCTGTGTTTATTAGCCATGTGTGGGGTTTCTTTTGTGAATAACAGTCATTTTTCTCATTTTTCTATAGGGTCAGCTGACTTTCTGTCATTGATTGGTAGGAGCTCTTTGTATATGATGGATATGGACCCTTTGTATAGTTAGTGCAGATTTTTTCTTCAAATCTGTACCTTGTCTTTTAAGTTGGTTTGTGGAATCTTCTCTGCATCGAAGCCTTACCCCCGCCCATCTTTAAGTGTGCTCAGACCCGTTCGCCTCTTTATTTTTGTCTTCCGGTCTTTGTGTCTTTCTGAAGAGTATAAACTACCCTTCTGTGTGTTTCTTTTCCTATTTTTATAGTTCTAAGCATTTTCATTGTTGTGTTCCCACATTTAGCTTTGAATCCACCTAAAATGTTTTTTCGTGTGGGGTCCAATTTGTTGCTCCAGATTTCAAATGAAGGAGATGTCCTCTGTTCATTCTCTGATCGACCAGCCTGGCCTTGGCGGGCGCTGTCCTGCCGTCAGCCAAGGGGTTCGCCTGGTGACGCCGCTGCTGGTTCCCCACAGGGCCCAGCGGGACGCACTGGAAAGCAGCCTCCGTGAGGCCCAGCAGCTGGCGGAGCGGCTGCAGGCACAACAGGGACATCTGGAGGCAGAGGCCCAGAGCGCCCGGCGTGCCCGGCAGACCCTGCAAGGTGCTCCGGCGGCTCCCGCCAGCCCTCTCCCCCAGGGCCCAGAAGGGCCCCCTCTGTGGAGCTCAGTCCCAAGGTGCTGCTCCCAGTGCCCAGCCCCCCAGGAGGGGCACCAACTGGGCCCGGAGCTCCTGTGGCTGAACAGGTCCTGCGCTGAGTTCTGTTGGGGGGGGGGGGGCTGCCCAGCCTGCTTCCCAGGGCTCCCCATCCCCTGAGCTCCTGCCCCAACCAGCCCTCCCTGCCCCATGTGTGGGCCTGGCCACTGCCAGGGCACACGCTCAGTGGGCCTCTGTCCCCGCCGCTTGGGCAGCGTCCTCAGAGCAGGTGGCTGTCACTCTGTGGGGCTCACAGGCCCCAGGCGTCCCGTGGCGTGGGGCCCTGCGGCCAGTCCCGGCGCACCTGTCACTTTGCAGTGGAGCTGGAGCAGGTGAGAGGAGCCTGGGCGGCCCGGGAGACGCAGCTGGAGTGGGACGTGGGGCGGCTGCGGCGGCAGGCGGCACAGCAGGAGCGGGAAGCACGGCTGGCGCTGGAGAGCCAGGCCCTGGCCCACCGCGGGGACCTGGCACAGCTCCAGAGGGAGAAGGTCTGTTTCTTGGGCCACCAGCACGGCCACTCCCAGGGGCTCAGCATGTCCCAGAGAACAGCAGACCCTCGGGAGGGGGCCTAGGGGGCCAGTCAGGAGGCAGGGGTGCCGGGCCACCCCGAGGCGGGGGCCAGAGAGGACCCTTCATAGGCCAAGTGGACAGCTAGGGTCCTGGGCTGAGCCTGTTGGCCAGGTCCTCACCCACATAGGAGGGGCCAGTCTGCTCACTGGCCACAGTCTGGGGGCCGTAGCGGGAGGGCGGTCATCGCCCATCTTAGCCACCCACTGGTCACGCTCCTGGAGGCTTGTTGGACTTGTCCTCGCACATCATGTGTGCCCAGTGCTTGGTGCACCACGGAGGCTCAGGAAAGGCCTATGCACTTTAGTTCAAGTCGGATAGAGAAGGCAGAGGCCCACCGAGTCCCTTCCAGCTCCTGCTTCCGTGACCCTCTGTGTAAGACAAGGCCATGCAGCCACTCGACTGGACAGTCCCCGGGGACCCGTCCTCCATCCCATGAACCAGTCTCGCTCAGGACCACAGGCACCAGCTGGTCTCCCGTGTCCTGACCCCTAGGGTCCTCACCGCCTGTCCCTCGACCTTGGCCCAGGAGACCCTGAGCCTGTCTCTGACAGAGGAGAAGGAGCTGGCGGCGTGCAGGTTGGACCAGGAGAAGGAGCTGGCGGCCAAAGGTGCAGCCGAGAGGGAGGCTCTGAAGGAGGAGATTCGGAGCCTGAAGCACGAGCGGGATGAGAGCCTTCTCCAACTGGAGCATGAGATGCAACAGGTGATGGGGGCCGGGAGGCAGTGGGGTGTCCTCACGTCTACCTGTCTATGCCTTCTCTGACCCAGAAAGAGGCTGGGGGGGGGGGCAGCCTTTCCAGGTCACTGCTATTGTAGTGTTGGTCTTCTGCCATAATCCTGGGGTCAGACATTCACCCGCCTACCCATCCACCCATCTACCCATCCATCCATCCTTTCATCTGTCCATCCATCCATCCATCCATCCATCCATCCATCCACCCATCCATCCATCTACCCATCCATCCATCCTTTCATCTGTCCATCCATCCATCCATCCATCCATCCATCCATCCATCCACCCATCCATCCATCTACCCATCTATCCATCCTTTCATCTATCCATCCATCCACCCATCCATCCATCTACCCATCCATCCATCCATCCATCCATCCATCCATCTATCCATCCATCCACCCATCTACCCATCCACCCATCCACCCATCCATCCATCTACCCATCCATCCATCCTTTCATCTGTCCATCCATCCATCCATCCACCCATCCATCCATCTACCCATCTATCCATCCTTTCATCTATCCATCCATCCACCCATCCATCCATCTACCCATCCATCCATCTACCCATCTATCCATCCTTTCATCTATCCATCCATCCACCCATCCATCCATCTACCCATCCATCCATCCTTTCATCCATCCATCCATCCATCCATCCATCCATCCATCCATGCACTAAACTGTCCCTCCATTTACTTGTCCATTATCCATTCATTCACCTGAATATCTATTCTTCTATCCACAAACCTAGCTGTCCACCCACATACATGGCCAGCTCTCCACACACTCAATTAGTTATTCACACACCTCACTGTACATCTATCTATCAGTTTGCCTGAACATCCATCCAACTATCCATGCACCCAGTCATCCATCCATAAGACTGTCCATCCATTCCTCTGACCATCCACCTATCCAACCACTTACTTGACCATCCATATCTGATTAGCCATCCATCCATCCATCAATGTGTCCAGCCATCATCCACCCAGATGACCATCAGTCCACACGCACGATCATCAGCCACTCCCCTGACCGTGCTTCCATCCCCCCGCGGTTGAGATTCAGACACTGGACATCTCAGCATTACCCTCTGAGTCCAGGCTCTTCCAATTTGCCGAGACACAAATGGTCAATCTCGGGGGAGGGGTGACAGTAACCGGAGTGACCAAGGTGGATTGTCAGACTCCCTGCATTTCTGATCAATTCTGAGGTACATGCTCTTATGAGCCCCATTTCCCTGCTGAGAAAAGTAAGGCTCGCCCACGGTGACCGCCTGCTCGGAGTTAGAGCATGTGCCTGCTGAGCACTGAGGTCTCTGCTCGTAGCTGCTCCCCTCCTGCTTCCCGAGAAGGAGGAAGAAAGTCACTGTAGCTGCAGTGGCTTTGAGGGGTAGGACCCGAAAGGAGGAAGTGGGGTGGTTGGGTCGGGAGGGAAGGGAATTCGGGGATGGCGCAAAGGTCTCTACAGAACCCTGAGGTCCAACAATTAACCCGATGGCTCACAGCACTCCAGAAAGGGCCACGCTTATGGTCACAATGTTATTTAAAGGACAAAAGTCAGGACCAGCCCAGTGAAGAGATGCATGGGATGAGATCTCTACCCCTGGAGTCAGGGCACCTCACCCTCTGGCACATCGTGTGGACCAGGGTTTGCACTGGGTTCCTCACACGGGTGTGATTGATGGGCTCACTGGCCATGTGATGGAGCTCCGTTCCCGCCTGGTCCCGAGGCCCAGGGCTCTTATTCACGGTTGGTGGGGCGTGGCCACCCCCTCCCCAGACTATTCTAGGCAGCCACCAGCCACCTCGTAGAGTAAACCCAGGTGTGGTCCCAGGGGGCCCAGATCAACAAAGACACTCCCCGCTGGGGGATTCCAAGGGTTTAGAGGCTCTTCCCAGGACAAAGAAACAGACGAGTCTTCATTGTGGAAGAGCACCCAGAGACTGCTGTGCCCAGAAGAGCAAATAGAATACATACTGCTCCCCCACCTTTGTCACACAAAGTCCGGGAAGTACGAGCATGTCCCAGGTCGGTCTGCTCCCGGGATCAACCCCGTGGAGGCCTCTCCACACCTGTGTGCTCAGCTGCGTCAGGCCCGTGGGTGCTTGGATTGCTCAGCCGGCCTCCCATGGTGGAACCTGGGATGTTTCGAGTTCGTTGCTGTTATAAACAGCATTCGGACAATCGTCGATAACCCTGAGCCGGTCACCTTGCGTGTGTGCACACACATGCCCAGGCTGCCGCCCCGGAGGGCCCAGACCCCCAGACCCCATCCCCTGTGACCTGAAGGGTCATGGCCAAATTCCTTCCACCTTCTGCAGCCCTGTAGGGGGCGCCCACCCACACCCGTGACCCTTAGTGACGGAGCATTTTCAGAGGTTCCGGATCATCAGTGGTCCCCAGTCTGCGCTCTGTGGGAAGCGGTGCCTGGAGGGTTTGGGGGTCTAGGGAAAGGGGTCTGGAAACCCCTGAGCCACGCTGGGAAGGAGCCCGGTGGGGAAGGGGTCGTGCGCCCAGTGTCTGGGTGCTGCCCCCTGCAGAGCAGCGAGGTGGAGCCGGGAGCACACGGTGTCCTGCCAGGGGCGTCAGCACCCAGCACCCCACTGTCACGCAGGCCCTGTCTCTGAGAGAAGCAGAACGGAGCCAGCTGCAGCGGGAGCTCTCCAGCGCCTCCCGGGAGCTGGAACAGGTGCGGCAGGAGGCCCACAGCCAGCAGGAGCAAGCAGAGGTGAGCCCCCTGTGCCCCCGTCAGCCAGACAGCAGGCGCTGGCACACCCCAGATGCACCCCTTCCCCCGGTCCCAGGGGACACCCCCCATCACCCTGGACCCCTGAGCCTCAGTTTCTCTTGGGTACCTCCAGGTCTCCTGCTGGGAGGGACGCTGTGTTCATGGGAAGGGAAGGCGAGGGAGTCACAGCCGGGAGGGGGTTATGCTGAGGGAGCCAGTTCCTGCCCCCCTCCATCAGGCCATGGGTATGAGAGGGGAGCGCCGGGCTGCACAGGAGCCAGCGCGGGGCCTAGGCCATGCCCTCGCCCACCAGCCTGGCCTGGCCTGGCCACGCACTTGAGCAGGAAATCTGACTCTCTGGAGGTGCCACTTCCGAAGGAGAAGCCAGACCAGGGAGGCGGCATCTACTCTAAGGCCTCCCTTCCCAGGAAGGACCCCAGGGAGCCTGGCGGAGCCTGGGGAGACGGCCGCGGTGGGTCACGGCAGACCCCGGAGGGGCGGCCGCCTGCCCTCGACCCGTGGACAGTGGCCCACATGTGCATGGAGGCTGCTGCAGGCAGCCAGCTGGGGTCTTCTGGGACCCCTGACTCCTCTTCAGGAGCCCATGTCTGGGGCAGGGCAGGGCAGGCAGCAGCAACGAGGGTTCTGGGGAAGAGGGGACGGCAACTCTGGGGCCCTGTGTCCTCACCCCACAGGTGGGACTGGGCACCCACTGGCAGGCTGGCTTCAGCCCATTTATGAAGTGGGCAGTGGGGAGGCAAGAGTCCACTCCGGGAGAAGGTGGTGGGACGCAGATGGAGAGGGAGCTCCGTGCTGACTGCAAGGGGGTGGACAGCTGTCCTGGGGCTGGCCCTGGGCGGACACAGGCTGAGGGGTCTGCCAGGAAACAGCCACGAGGTGGGGGTCTCTCACCAAGGGGAACACCGCTCCATCCCCTCTGCTCCTACCTCTGTCCCTCCAGCCCTGGTCACCTTCCATGTAGGTGCTGCCCTTTCTTAGTTAACCTCAGTGACCCCGTTCACCCTGGCCTGCGGCGTGTCCCTGTCCCAAGGGTGCAGTCGGATGCTCCCCGGCCTTGACTGAATGGCTCAGGGTCCGTGGACGGGCATGGACCAGTGGACCGGGCGGCGGGCAGCCTTCCTGAGCTGCAGGGGCGGGATGGCCTGGCTGGGGAGGCCGGGCAGCTCAGTGACCTGCGGAGGGGTCAGGGGCCTGTGCGGTAGCCAGGCTGCTGCCAGGGTGTTCCCGCCCCTCCTGCCTGATGGTGTCCGGGTCCCTGGCACTCTGAGCAGAGCAGGGGAGGGAGCCCCCTCACCCACTGGCATCCGGCATTCGAGTGAGCCTTGCCCAAGATCCCCGCTCCCTGGAGCTCTGTTGGGCTGTCCCCCCACTAGCCAAAGGCCCTTCCTAGGGCACAGCCAAGAGGGGCGGGGGGCCCCTGGGGTTGTGTCCTTCCTCCTCCCCCAACCCCAGCTGCCCCCTTGGTCCCTGTCCTGTGGCAGGAGACAAAGAAAGTGCCCCAATTCCCAGGGGTCCACTGGGGGCTTCCCCTCACTCTGGCTGTGTCCCCGTGGGCTGGGGATGGCCTGCCAGCCAGTGGGCTCTTCAGGGAGCTCATTAAGGGTTCTTGCCACCTCGGCTTGGAACATGAAAATGAAAACCCTCTGAGAGGCAGGGAGGGAGGAAGGCCAGCCAAGGAGCGCCAGTTGTGGGGTGATGTAAGAACAGCCCACGTCGTGGAGGGGCTCCCGGACTGTCACCCACAATCCTGGGGGCCAAGGGGGGTGTCCTGGCCCAGCCACACCGAGTGCCCACGACAGCGATGCCAGTGGGCCGGGCCCCAGGAGAGGCATGGTCAGGGCGGGGACAGTGGAGGCCCCTCACCCAGAGCAGGAGCCGGTAGAGTCTGGCCCACCAGTGCCCGGGGTGGGGTGGGGGGACAGAGACTCCTGTCCCCCCAGGAGCAGGAAGCCTGCTCAGGAGTAAGGAAACCCTCGGACCACGCTGGGTCTGGCTCAGAGGCTGGGCTGGGCCTCGGGCGCAGGTGAGCAGGCGGCATCCTTGCTCTTGGACAAGAGGCGCCTCCCCCAGGTGCCCATCCGTTGGCCGGGGAGGAGGGCCTGGGGTGCTGTGCCCCAGGACGGCAGAGTCGGGCGGGCTGAGTCCTGAGCAGGTGTCCGAGCCCCCGAGCGTGGCCTCTGGTCCTGCAGGCACGGCCCGTGTGAGAGGGGGCAGGGTCTGCGGGGTTCACCGCCCCCACCTGCCTGTGTGAACAACCGGGAAGCGAGGGCCGAGTGGACGGAGGATTTCTCTGGGTCACCTGGACTCAGGCACGAGGCTAGTCTCCCCTCCCCCGGCCTTTCTGCCCTGCACTTGTCCAGGGCCCCGAGGCACCTCCTCAGGGACAGCCTAGGCCAGGGGCTGCGGGATGAAGGTGCCTCCTCTACCCCACACGCCCGAGAGGGCAGAGGTTTAGCTCCTGGGTGCAAGGCCCTACCCAGCTGCAGGAGACACGTCCAGTGTCACTTGAGGGCAGGGTCTCTTCCCATCTGCCAAATGGCCATTCCTGGCCCCTGGCCGCTCAGCGGAGTGGGCCTAACGCAATGATTTAGGCAGGAAAGGGATCGGCACTGGAGATCGCTGGCCTGGCCCAGGCCTGGGGACCCCAGAGGAAAGGCACGGGGGATGGGAGGACCTGGGTCAGCCCCCTGCGTGGGGCGCCTCCGCCCCCGCCCTTCACCGCTGTGTCTACGCGGGACCTGGCACTGGTGGCACTGGCTGGGGTTGGGACGAAACCTCCGCTGGAACCCAGGCCCAGCTCTGGAGGGAGTTGTCCATCTGGTCCCTGGACTGCGTGTGGCTCCCTGTGGGCCTGAGCAGACCTCCGGGCGCCCACGCCATGGGCGGCCCTTGATGCCTCAGTGGCTTACTGCTCCCCGCAGGCCGCGGTCAGCGCCATGGCGGCAGAGCTGAGGGCCCTGCAGGCCCGGTTCGAAGAGGCCATCTCGGCCCATCAGAGAGAGACGGCGGCTTGGAGCCAGAGTCTCCGGGAGATGGCGGCAGAGAGGAGCCACGCGGGCAGGGAGGTGAGGGGGTGCCCGGAGGAGGATGGGGGTACCACAAGGGGTGGAGAGTGGGGTGCCATGGCGGGGAGACGGCATGTGCGCCCTGCGGGCTGGGGAGGAGGAAGCGGAACAGCCTAGAGGCTCATCCAACACCCTGGGAAGAGCCCAGGGGCAGCGGGAAGTGTGGCCCCAGGGGACTGTGCACTGGGTGGGGTGAGGCCCCCGGGGGCGCCTGGAGCAGAGAGGCATGGGCCTGACTGGGCCCAGGAGCCCTGTGACGGTGTCCTGGGTGGGGACGGCCTTGGGCAGGGGGAGCTAGGCCAGGGGAGCTCAGAGGCAGGCAGGCTGGGGAGGTGTTCCTGAGGTTTTAAAGGACTCTGGGCGCCTGGGAGAGGGGCAGGAGGGCACGGGTTTGGGCTGGGGGATGGTGAGCGCTGGGGGGGGCGCACAGGGGTGGTGTGCCCCGGGCAGTGCGCAGGGCTGGCAGGCAGCTGGCCCCCTCACGCACTAGCCCCGAGGCTCCGGAGGAGAGGGGCTGCCCTCCCCCAGCCCTGGGCAGGCTGGGTGGACGGAGGAAGAGAGCGTGATTTAACATGACAGGCTGTTTACTTTGGCCCCCAAAGAGAAAGGTCTCCTTTCAACAGATTTCAAAGTCAGGCCGGTCAGCGACCACACGGGGAAACAAAATGAGATTTTAAAACTGGGGGCAGCGGGGGAGGAGCTGGGAGCTGTACAAGTTCAGGTTCTCGGAGAGGGGCCCCCAGCAAGGGGGTGGGGAGATGTAGGGGGCCTGGGGGCGAGGGGGAGAGGAGCACGGAAGCGCCCTCACAGGCGCCAGGCTGGCCAGAGTCACCATGGAAACCATAACATTTTCACAGCCCTTAAACTGGAGGCACGTCCAGGCCTCTGGCAGCCCTGACTGAGTCCGCACATGTGTGCGTCCGTGCACACCCACGAGCCACTGCATGGCTCTCACACATGCACGCCCACACCCACACGCACACACGCGTACACAGATAGTTACAATGCACACGTATGTGTACACACATGCACTCGTGCATGGACACAACACACATGTAAGCACAGTGGACACCGTGAAGCACACACATGTGCGCAACAGGCAGCGATGCATCTTTGTGCATACTGCATGCTCGTGCACCACGGCGCGTGTCCACACGTGTACGCAGGCGCACAACCACACGCTCACCATGCTGCGTGCATACTCACATGCACACCAAGCACACATGTGTGCTCCCGTGTGCACACACATGGGCATGCCATGCACAGGTCAGGGCTCCTCCACACCCCTCCCCTCCTTTGTGCACAGCTCTCAGCCACCTCCTGGCAGGAGATTTCAAAAGAGGCTGTTTATACGATTTCTAGTAAAGAAATAATTATTATAATCACATTAAGCGATTTGGCTGTAAAATTCCTGTAAAAGGGATGGTTGTGCTCTGGAGGCAGAGGGGGTGGGTGGGGGTGCGGGGGAGGGGCCGCGTTTGTTTTGCTTGTTTTCATCCCCTCCTCCCGGGAAATGAAAACAGCCTCTTTTGTGATGGATAGGCCCTTTCCCTGGTCCTTGACCTTCGCGGGTTTCTGCTGAGCTCAGCGGAAAATGCTCCGCACAGCTTGTGGCTCCCACGTGTGGGGGTGGGAGAGAGCGAGGGGGGGCTCGGGGCCCTTCCCAAAAACAGAACAACAATAACAGCGGGCGGTGCAGGAGCCAGGCCGGCCAGGGCCTGGACAGTGTCCCACGAAGCAGCCAGCGGAGTGGGGTTCGCTCTTGGCCGGCCTCAGGGCTCCTGCGGCTTCCCCTCCCTGGCACGGCCCTGCCGCCCCTCTGCCTGCCCCTGGGCACACGCGTGGGAACACGCTTCCTCCTGAGTGTCCCGCTCAGGGCCACAGCCAGCCTTGGAGGCAGGAGGAGGGATGCTGGCCGAGCCCTGGCGAGCCCCCCATGGCCGGAGCCCTGAGAGCTGGGCCACCCTTTCCCCGGTCGTCACCCCCCCAGACCCTCCCAGCAGGGGCTGAGCCCAGGCCCCTTGTGCCCCAGGGTGAGTAGGAGCCCTACCACCAGCCACACTTTGGGGTCAGCAGGCTCTGCCTGGAAGCCCCGGTGTAGGTGGGGACCCGGGTCCTGGTCCCAGCTGGTGTGCGTCCCCCCGGAGCCCCCGCCCCTCCCTGGGCCATCTCCCGGAGGGGGGGCTGCACCCAGAGCCTCCCTCCGTGGCCTTCCCGCCCCTCGGGGTAAGGAGCCCACACTCGTGCGCCAGGCCGAGCACATGTGCAGGGAGAAGTGCTGCCCCGGCGGCTGGGCAGCCCGGCGGAGGCCCCGGCGCCAGTGGAGGGTCCAGGGTGCCCCAGACCCGCCCTCCCCTGCCTCCCATCCCAGCAGGGAACCAGGTGGGGCCCGCACCACGCAGGGGTGGAGCCTGGGCAGGGACACTACAGCCCACCCAGGACTCACTGTGACCCTGGGCGCCACGCCATTACTGAGGGACAGGAGAGGACAACAGAGTCCAGCAGGTGGTGAGGGCCATCGGGCAGCGGGTACCGGGCCTGGGTGGGCACAGTGCTGACGTGTGGGCAGAGCCGTGTCCCACACAGGCCTTGTGGCCTGTGGCCATCGACCCTGGGGCCCAGGCAGGACCAGGGCCAGGGGAAGTCAGGGTGTCGCCTGCCTGGGCCCTGGGACACCTACAGCCTCAGTGGCACTCGGAGAGGTGACCACACGTTGGCAGAGCCGGGCTGTCTGCAGGCACTTGGGGGACGGGGCCATCGGGACATCAGCGCCCCCAGACCAGAGCCCAAGGCCACCTGCTGCCCACGGCTGTCCCTGCAGCGGCAGCTCTGCCCGCCTGACCCCCGCACGTGGCCGTGGCCCCCAGAGCTGCACCCTCCCCCCAGGCGGAGCAGCTGCGGGCAGAGCTGGGGGAGGCCCAGGAGGCGCTGGCCGAGCTGCGCAGGGAGCTGCAGGGCAGCGAGGACAGTCGAGAGGGGCTGTGCCGGGAGGTTGCGGAGGCCCGCCGGGCGCTGGGCGAGGAGGCCCTGGAGAAGGACGTGCTGCAGCGGTCCAACGCCGAGCTGCGGGCTGCTGTGCGCCGGGCCCAGCAGGAGAAGGCCAGGTACGGCCACCCCCATGGAGGGGCGGCAGGGAGTCCTGGCCTGCAGCTCCCGCCCCCAGCTGGGGTAGGACAGTGCTGTCCTACCGAGCTGGGCCAGATGGTGGGTGGACACACCCTGCAGTCCCAGGGAGCCAGCTGCCCATCCTTAGGATCCTCACTGTTGGCCGTGACGGGGAGGCTGGGACACACAGACCTGTCCCTGCCTCAGAGAGCCTCCTCCAGGGACAGGGGGAGGACAGGGAAAGATGGGCCCCGAGTGGCCAGAAGAAGGTGACCAGGGCTAGGAGGGGAGGGGGCGAGGGTCTGGGGCCCCTGGGCACTCGGACCCACTGTGCCCAGAAGGTGACCGCAACCCCAGGGAGGCCGGGCTCTGGAGCTCCGTGGGCGTGTCCGCTGGAAGGAGGGGTGGCCTGCTGGGCAGCCTGAAGGGACCATGGGCGACGCCAGAGCCCCAGCCCCTGCTCAGCTTCCAGCGGTCCACGGAAGGAAAGGAGCAGAAGGTGCTGGCCCTGCAGGAGGCCTGGGCGGCAGCCCAGAAGGAGGCTGGGGAGCTGTGGGCCCGCCTGTGGGAGGCAGAGCAGACCCATGTGGACACTGGCCGGGAGCTCCGGGAGCTTCGTGCACAGGTGAGCAGCTCCCCGAGGCCCCACCCAGGCGCCCCATCCAGCCCCAGGGCATCCCAGCCTGCTGCCTGACCTTACAACCCCCACCGAGAGGCCCTGCTCCACCTTACGGGGCCCTGGGTGGGTCTGCCCCGTCGGGCACAAATAGCCTCAGACCTGACGGCCTGGAACAACCGTCCCGAAGTTCACGGGCCCCGAGAGTCAGGAATGCAGCCTGGCAGCACAGCGGGGAGCTGGGCCCTGCCCACCGCACGGGCACCCAGAGGCATCCGCCGCAGGCGTGTGACGGTGGCGACTGGGCGCAGCTGGAGCTGCCCTCTCACGGGCCCAGCGCTGATGCTGCCGGTCCGCTGGGGCAACCAGGGTGGTGCCAGGGTCCTGGCCCCAGGGCGGAGGCGCAGGGGCTGAGGAGGGGCTGAGGGCGGAGGTCTGAGGGCACTTGGAAGACCCCCCATCCGGAGCTGGACTTAGCCTCAGCCTCCTGGAGTGGGGGGGCTGCCCGGGACACATGAGCAGAGGCTGCCGGGGCTCCTGCAAGGGCTCGTGGGCCCCCCGTCAGTGCCACCCCACCCGCAGGTGAAGACGCTGGAGACCGAGAAGCAAAGGAAAAGCCGAGAGGTGCGCCAGCTGCAGAGCCGGGCGGTGGGGGTGGAGGCTGCCCAGAAGGAGGTAGGGGGCTAAGGGCCCCGGGGCGGGGGGGGAGGGGGCAGAGGGCCAGGGCAGCCGGGCCTCGCTCGCCCTCGTAGGATCACATTTAGTCAAGGACAGAGTCTCACCCAGGTGAAGAGTGTTCTGAGCCTGGGGACAGGCAGGGGACCCTGAAAAGACCAGTTCTCCAAGCCTCAGGACCCGAGCCCACACCCACACCCACGCCCGGCGCCCGGACACCTGCACACGCAGCCCCCGCGCCCGCCTGAAAGACCCTCTGTTCAGCCCCAGGCCCCGCCCCTCAGGTTCTGTTTGCTGCCGGCAGCCAGGTGGCCCCGGACCCCCCACACACAACCTGGGAAGGCCTCCCTGGGCCTCAGCCTGTGTGGGGCTCCTGGTTCAGACCCGGAGTCGTGCACAGAGTGGCTGTTATCAAGTACCCACCATGCCCAGAAACAGGGGTTCATCCCCCATGGCCCATGTGAGCCCTGAGTGACCTCACAGCCCCTCTCCTCCACTGTGAATGGGGCCGTTGTACTGCGGCCACCCAGGGAGGGCGAGGGGATGAGGCCCACCTGCACTGGCGCCAGGCCTCCTACCCGCCTGTGCACTTCTCCAGGGTGGGGTGCCCGGCTGACGGCCCTGTTCACGCACTTGTGTGAGCGGAGGGCTGGGGCACAGTTGGGCCATGACAGGTTGGAGCAGCAGACAGGTGGCGAGTTGCTCGGATGGGGGATGGGCAGCAGCAGAGGGACAGCAGGGTCGGGAGAGTTCCTCTCACTGGGGCTGAGCTGCCCAGAGAAGGGAGAGGGGCTGCCAGGGGCTGGGTTGGGGGGAACAAGGGGGGTCCGGCCAGGGGAAGTGGAAGAAGCCACCCAGCGCCTTGCCGCCGCCCTCAGCCCTCGTGCCCCGTGTTCAGGGTGGATGACTCCAGTTGTCCGTGGTGTCACCCCCTGGAGGCCTGTGGGCGGGTGTTGGGCACCTGAGGCTCCCAGCCCGGGTCTCCGGGTGCACTGACCTGGCCTCTGCTGCCACCAGCTGTGAGCGTGTGGGCGGGGCAGCGGGCAGGGGGCAGCGGGGCCGGGGCTCTGTCTGGCCCAGGTCTTCATGAGGCTGCCAGTGGGGCTCTCTGACGCTTGCAGGGATGTGCCCGTGGTCCGGGGCCCTTCCCCGCCTGGGCTCAGACATGGGCTTGAGGCAGGTCCTCCGTCCCCCCGGCTGTGGTGGGCCCAAGAGGGGCCGAGGTGAGAGGCCGGGCAAGTCTCCAGAGCCCCGCGGAACCGACTCCACCTGAGCCCCGGCCCTGCCAGGTCCTGCGGTTTCAGCGGAAGCTGGCGGAGGCGGAGGAGCAGCTCCGAGAGAGCCTCGGGGCCGAGCGGGGCCTCCGGGCCGAGCTGCACGGCGCCTGCCGCCAGGTCCGCAGCCTGGAGCAGGAGCTGGCCCGGGCAGAGGGCGCCAGGCAGGACGCGCAGCACCAGCTGGGCCGGCTGTGGTCCATACTTCGCTGTGAGCTGGGGCTCCCAGCACAGGGCCCCTCTGCCTCCGCTGAGCGGCCCGGCTCCCCCACCAAAGGTCAGTGTCCTTCGTGGCTTCAGGGGCTCCTCTCCCAGTCCCCACCCACTAGGCCACCCCACCCCTCCCTGGGGCTCACACTCCGCACAGTCAGGGCCCGGTGCCACCCCAGCTCCCTGTGGGAAGGGACAGCAGAGAGAAAGGGGGACAGGGTGCCTGCGTGTGTTACCGAGTCCTCACCACACCCCCAGCCCTCTGTCCCAGGGGCTGGGACGGCCCCCAGGGTCCGGCTCACCTCCAGGTCCCACTCACCTCCCAATGGCCCTCGCCCGCCCAGGACATCAAGGCCCAGACGTGGACGCGGACTCTGTTCAAGATGCCCTGAGGGACCTCGTGCAGAAGCTGCGAGAGGCCCAGCGGGAGCAGGTGATCGGCAGAGGAGCTGCCCCCGGGGCCCTGGGAGATGGGGGGCAGCTCACTTCCTGCGCCGTCTGCCTGTCCATCCATCCTGGATCTGCTGAGACCCTGGCAGGGCCCTGCCGGTCCCTGGGCCCCTCAGTGTCCAGACTGTCCTTTGTTGGGTGTGATAAATACCACCGTCTCTCAAAAGCAACTGCCCCAAATGGCCCATAGCCACCTCCCTGCCACAGGCCCTGCAGTGATACCCAGGGGTCCAGGGCAGGGCCGTCACCATCCCCACGTCCGTCTCCTGAAGACCAGTCCCAGGGGCCGGCCAAGTGACCTTCAGAGTGTCCCCAGTGACCCCTCCCATGGGACCAAGCTACCAGCAGCTGCTCAGATGACCTCCACATCTTGCCACCCCAGGACACCCCCAGGGCCCCCCCAGAGCCCCCTGCTCATGCAGGGGTCCCTCCTGACCTTCCAGGTGGGAGGGACTGACTGTCACCGGCCCTGGCCCAGGGTCCTCTCTCCCACCAAGGCCTGCCCCAGGGAGCAGGACACAACCTCATTTAGCCCCAGGTCTTGGCCAAGGGTCAGTCCCTGAAGGTCACCTTGACCCCACAGGCTATGGGCCACCACCTGCCGCAGCCTGACCTCTTCCCCCACTCTATGTGCGTACCCCAAAACTAGACACGCTGGCCCATCCCCACTCTAGCCCCTCACATAGCCCAGGCCTGTCCTGAGAGCTTGTAGCCTGCCTACCAGACCCCCAAACGTCTAGCCTGACACCTCAGCCCTCCGCCCGCCTGCTGACCGCGGTCCTCTCCCAGGAGGACTGGCGCTCCCGGGTGTCGAGCCTGAGCAGCCGGCTGAGCGAGGCGCAGAGGCAGCGCGCCCAGGCCCAGGGCCTCGCGGGGCAGCTGAGGGTGGCGCTGGCCCAGGCGGAGCGGAGGGCGGGCAGGGCCCAGGCCTCGCGGGCCCTGCAGAAGGAGGCGCTGCAGAGGCTGGAGAGGGAGCACCTGGCCGGCGTGCGGGCAGCGAGACAGGAGAAGGGGCGGCTCCAGGTGGGGACCCCACACCCCAGGGCAGGGACGGGGAGGGGAAGGCTGAGAGGGCTGCCGGGTTGGGGTGGTTTCAGGTCCCTGTGGGCAGGTGTCCTCAGGGGGTGCTGGGTCCCCACAGAGCTTATCAGGGCTGTCCCAGCAGAGCTGTCTTTGAGGCGGTCCTAGCCTTTATCTTTCAAGTTGGGGAGATTGAGTCCGGGGCAGAGAAGGACTTGGCCGGGCGGCAGAGCAGTGGGGGGCAGGCTCAGGGCAGACGCTGGCCCCTCTGCGGCCACAATGGCAGGTGGCACAAGATGGCCCAGCTTGGCTGCTCTCTGTGGGGTCACACCTGTGCTGCTGTGTACCTTTTCCACCCTCACCCGAGGACACTGATCTTTAGAGAGGAAGGGGGAGAGAAAGAGAAACATCGACCAGTTGCCTCCCATACATGTCGTGACTGGGGATCGAACCCACAACCTTTTGGTGTACGGGACGATGCTCCAACCACTGGGCAACCCGGCCGAGGCATGTGGGGCCATTTTCCAACCCGTGTACCTCACACGTGGAAGCAGGTTGCACAGGATGAACTCAGGTGATGTCCCTGGCGGGGGCTCTGTGCTGTGAAGGGGGCCTGGGGTCCCCAGTTTTCAGGTGAGGAGTCTGGACCCAGCCAGTCTGAGTGGTGGGGGCTGGCCTCCCACTCACTGCCCAGCCCCCGTCGGGGGTGGAGAACCGTGTGCTTGGAGGGGGCCCTTGCCCAGGGGCCCAGCGACCCAGGACCCTCACTGGGAAGCTGAAGCTGATGTGGGGGACTGAGCAGAGGGGACCCGTGGGGCAGGACATAGGGCAGAACACGGGCTCAGCCCCATGCGTGCCACGAGCTGCAAGTGGCCCCCTCCACGTGCCCTGTGAGGAGGCCCCCGGATGGGGGAGGTAGATGGGGGTGGTCTGCAGGGGAGGGGGTCAGAGAAAGCACAGGATGATTTGTGAGATGAAAGGCAATTTCTGTTTCAAGACCCTTCCAGTCGAAGCTGCTGTGGTGATGGGTTTTGGGGGGGATGGTACCCCAGGGCCCAGGAGCCTGCCTGGGTGCTGGCAAGACTCGTGAGATGTGGGGGTCTGAGACACCAAGGGAGGGGGGCAGGGCTGTGTGCCGTTTACACGTGTGTTCACACGGATGTGCCCCATGCACACTGGAAATAAAGCTGAAACAGACCTAACCGATCACCTTAGCAAACGCAGTAGATGCTGCACGAGTTTTGTTTCCTGGGCGTCTCCGGGCTCGTGAGGAGTTGAATTTTCCCGCTGCGATAGCTTCTCTTGGCAACGTCTCCTTTGTCTTCAAGGGTCTTTGATCTGTGGCTTTTACAGTGCGCTCTCCAGCATTTCTCACGGCTCCAGCTCTTCCGGGTCTGAGGCCGACGCGCCCGTGACCGCTGTCTGTCCTGAATTCCTCTCCACCTGATTCGGCACGGCCCACCGTCCCGGCCAGCACCCTCTCCTCTCCACCGTCCCCACCTTCCATCTGCTTGGCTGCTGTTCCAGCCCCGCCCCAGGCCTTTGTAGGTCGGGTGGACTCGAGCCCACGCACAAGCTTCACGCTGGTGTGTTTGCTCTGCTTCTTCGCCGACGGGGTGCTTTCCATTTTGTCCTGACGGTGGGGTGTTTGCCCCTTCCCTCCAGTGTCCACATCCTAGCCTCGGGGGTACGGGGGTGTTACAGCGGTAAGCATGATGGCGATATCTTGTCACACTGTGCTCAGGGGACACTGATGGCAGCTGGGACCCCTGCCTGCCCCGGGCCTCCCCCAGCGGCAGAGGATTCTGCACCTGTGCCCTGGGGGCTGACGGGGAACATCTGCACCCTGGGCTTCCCCTCCTCCAGACCTGCTGGCCCCTGTCTTTCTGCCAAGGCCGCTGGGGCCCATGCAGAGCCTGCCCCCAACTCTGAAGCCCCGGTGTTCGCAGACCCGGGGTTATCCACACAGCAGCCCACACCGGACACATTGCTTCTGAGTCGCAGAAGCCGATGGAGCCCATGTGTGAGGCCTCAGTCCTGCGTGGGGGCTTGTTCTCTGCCAGGTCTCCCCTTTGGAGTGGGCTGGGCCATGTCCTCACCGGAAGCTGGGAAAATCCCCCTGCAGCTCATTCAGGGTGTGGCAGGGTCCAGTGCCCTGCGGCTGTGGGACTGAGGTCCTGTTCCTGGTGTTCAGCTAAGGATGGAGCAGCTTCTAGAGGCTTCTTCCAGTTCCTGGCTGGGCCTTCCCATAGGCCCTCACTCAGAGCCCGCAGCCCAGGCCTCCTGTGATACCAGGTCCACCTGGGTGGTCTCCCACTGGTTACTCACTAGCCTTCGTTACCTCCGCAGATCCCTTTGCCACACCATCTGAATACTGGTAGGATGACATCAGGGCCCAAAGTCACAGGCCGTCTCTAACCGCCAGCCACACCTGGTCCCCATGACCTGCTGAATTCTGTGTACACAGGTGTCATGGGCTATTGTCCTAGGACAGGCCGATCCCCTCAGATCCAGGAGAGGCCGATCCCCTCAGATCCAGGACAGAGGCCGATCCCCTCAGATCAAGAGAGGCCGATCCCCTTAGATCCAAGACAGGCCGATCCCCTTAGATCCAGGACAGGCCGATCCCCTTAGATCTAGGACAGGCCAATCCCCTTAGGTTAGGACAGGCCGCTCCCCTCAGATCCAGGACAGGCCGATCCCCTCAGATCCAGGACAGGCCGATCCCCTTAGATCCAGGACAGGCCGATCCCCTTAGATCAGGAGAGGCCGATCCCCTCAGATCCAGGACAGGCCGATCCCCTCAGATCCAGGACAGGCCGATCCCCTTAGATCAGGAGAGGCCGTTCCCCTTAGAGTTCAGGCTGGTGGTTTGCCCGCTGACCTCGGTCTCGGTTGGATTCCAGAAATGTGAGGATGTGGTAGGTTATGTGAAGTGTTATTTCCAGAGTGAAGCCAGAAAGCCTATTTAGCTTTGAAATTTAGAAACGTTGCCAAAACATTGACTGGGTTGTCCCTTCATGCTGAGCCCCGCACTGCAGAACCAACTCGGTCTCGGTTCACAGAGGTTCTTTCCACTTGACAAACATCTCCCCCCGCCCCCACGCTTCCCTGCCGTGGGCCCTGATGTGCACCGCAGCCCAGCACTGCCCTCGGGCCCCTCCTCCTGCTGACCTGGACGTCGCCTGCCCAGGTCCTGGCAGAGTCAAGGGTCTTCGTCCGGTTCCGCTGGCCTGTCCTGCGTTGGGGTGTGCTTCTGTCTCGACTCTTCGCCCTGGCCTCGCCTTGAGAACGTCAGTGAACCTTTCCTAGCACAGATTTCCTTCTCTTGCCGTCACTCTGTTCTCTGTTCCGCCCGAGACCTCAGGTCTGACTCCTCGGGTTGACTGCTTCCTGAACCGCCGCCGCGCGCTGCTGACGCCATGACGTTCCCTCCACGCGTCTTTAAAGCAAGTCTGGTCTTGCTCAGAGTCGGGAGTGGAGGGGAACCCCCGGGGACGTCACGGGACCCTGTCCAGATATTTCAGGTCCAAACGCAAGGCAGACAGAAAGGTTCTGAGGGGAGCTGTGGGGCCCAGGGGCCGTGGGGAGCCATGGGGGTCCAGGGGGCCGTGGGGAGCCATGGGGGTCCAGGGGGCCATGGGGAGCCGTGGGGAGCCGTGGGGTCCAGGGGGTTGTGGGGAGCCATGGGGGTCCAGGGGGCCGTGGGGAGCCATGGGGGTCCAGGGGGCCGTGGGGAGCCGTGGGGAGCCGTGGGGTCCAGGGGGTTGTGGGGAGCCATGGGGCCCAGGGGGTTGTGGGGAGCCATGGGGCCCAGGGGCCGTGGGGAGCCGTGGGGGTCCAGGGGGCCGTGGGGAGCCGTGGGGGTCCAGGGGGCCGTGGGGAGCCATGGGGCCCAGGGGGTTGTGGGGCCCAGGGGGCCGTGAGGACCCAGCAGCAGAAGCAGCCTGACCCCTCCCCTGAGCTCTTCTGTTCCAGGAATGGGGTGGGCCAGGGCACTGGGGACTCGGCTGCGGCGATGGGGACCTTCTTGGTCCTCACCCACCACAGCCCGCAGCCCCTCTGGCCTTGGCCCTCTGAGCCAGGGTCCGGGGGACAGGGTCACCCATGGGTGCCGCGGGCTCTTCTGGGTGCAGCTCGGATGTTGTGCACCCATGTTAACGGTCCTGCTTGCTCAAGAGTGTATTCGGTTTCCTAGTAAAGCGTGTGCACTGAGACCTGTCAGTATTCTGTCCGCTTTCCCTAGAATTCTGGCAAGTCCCCTCTCTTCTAATCCAGTCGGTTCCACGGACCCTGCATCCTGCAGGGTCCTCGAAGGCCTGGCCTCCAGCGCCCAGGGACGTTTCCCCAAACGTGGGGACCTGCTGGCCACTGCGGTGGGCATGGGGCGGGCAGGGAGCCCCAGGCCTGCAGGAGCAACCGCCAGCCTGGCTGCCCCGCCCTCCCCGCGGTGTGGGCCAGAGCGAGGTCTGCCAGCCGCACGGCAACACCACGGTCACGGGCCGGGCCTTTCTCCGTTTCACATGAGCCAACGTGTTTGTCGAGAGAAAGTTAATTAAAAACATATTTTTCTAATTAAATGGTAGGCTGTGCTGTGCAAACAGTGAGATTCTTGTTTGAGAGCAAACCCCTCCCATTTCCAGGGCTGCCCTGGGGATTCACTGGATCCACAGTGCAGAGGGAGCCCAGGGGTGGGCACGGCCCTCATCACCCACCCGCCTGACCTGGCAGCAAAGCCCTGTCACAGCCTCGCTGGCCCCGGGGCCCGCAGTGTCCTCCTGGCAACGCACTGGCCACGTCCAGCCCCGCTGGCTCACACTTGCCGGGTGCCAGCCCTATCACACACCCACCTCCCCTGAAGACGCTCCCCAGCCCGAGCGAGCTCAGCCCAGGTTCCAGAAGCAAAGCTGAGGAGCCCTCAAAACCCCCCACCCCCGCACACGTCTGTGGCTGCAGCTCCTCGGGGTGTTGTCTTTAGCCTCATTAAGTGAATTAGTGACCTTTCCATCCTCTCTTTTCTTGTTTTTGCTAATCCTTACCCGAGGATATTTTTCCATTCATTTCATTTTACATAGAGTGGGAGGGAGAGAAAGAACCTCGATGTACGAGAGACACATCGATTGGCTGCTTCCCACACAACCGACCAGGGGCGGGAGGGGACCGAGCCTGCAGCCCAGGTACGTGCCCTTGACCGGGGATATCAAATCAGAGACCCTTCAGTCCGTGTGCCAACACTAACCGCCGAGCCAAACCGGTTCAGCTTTTTGAAAGGTTGGATTGAATGTACCCGCAAACCCACCCTCCTGTCATCTTAAATACGTTGTAACTTCATCTCTGTTCTGTCTCCGGCCGTCCTCAGTTCTTCGCCTCGTCTTGGGTCCGTGTTTGTCGCCCGGCAGCCACCCACCTTGTATTTTTGAGAGCACGTGTATTGATCGGCGTCATGGTTACGTGTGTGTCTGTCTGTCCCGGATGTCGGAGGCTATTGGTTTCTCTGAGTCCAACTGGCCAGTGTTCCTCTCCTTCACTGGTCTTTTCAGAGACTGTCCTTTGTCTTCTCTCATGTTTGCCTAGTTTGTTCACGTTCGCTTTTATCTTTGTTAAAGCCTCCTTGGTTGTTGCCATCCTTCTGACTTCCGATGCTGGATACAATGTGTTTATGTTTGGACCTTCTCTCTCACTGGTAACAGTATTCAGCCTCAACCGCCTCTTCCAGTTGTGGTTTGCATGAGACCCATGGCTCTTTCCACGAATTCTCTTCCTTTGTACCCATTTCCTAGGAGTTTCCGTCTCTAGTTCTTCTTCAGTGCAAGATTTCCAGAGAATATCTCCGTGTGTGCCTCTTTTGTTGCCACATCTCGACTCACTGGTGAGAGGGTGCGGCTTGGGCCATGCGTTGGCCTTTGACCAGCTTCTAGTTGCCAGCTGTTGGCTGGTTGCTCTTTGCTTTTTGGGTTGGTTTTGTCTGTTTGTTTGTGGTCTGTTTGGAGGGAAACCGACATGCTGACTGCAGTGTTTACAGGGAAGAAGAAATGATTGTAACTGATTTAACGCAGCCAAGAGGCAACGCAGGCCGGCAGGGAGGCCGGCGGGGTGGGCAGAGGCCAGAGGTGTCCAGCTGTGACAAACAGGCACCAGGCCCTGGGCTCCTGTCTCGGCCACCGAGTCCCACAATGTACAGTGAGGGATTTCAAGCCCCTTACATCTGAGAAATCCTGGGCTCACTGCGTCCTCGGACTGGCCAGAGGGTGGAATCAGCCACCTGCTGGGTGGGTCCATTGTCACCCAGTGACTGAAAAGGTGTCAGGCTGAGGACCGAAACTCCCAGCCAAAGGACAGGCTGGGGGGTCGTGGCACACTCTGGTCTTCCCAAGACCCCAGGCGTGCTGTGTAACGAGACCCCCTCGCTGTTCAAGTACAAGATGTTCGCATCCTTCCTTCTGCAAGACCCTCATTTCACAGCGCCCCCCGTCATCCTTCTCTTGGTCCTGACAAGAACCCTATGAGACTGTAGCACCCCATGCCACAGATGGGGAAACTGAGGCTGGGGCCTGGCCCAAGGGCCCGTGTGGAGCCCCGTGTTCCTGCCCCGAGCCTGGCTCTTCCCTGCCCGGCTCCCAGGTTGCAGCCACAGGCTAGAGAAAGGGCTGGGTCCGTGCTCCCTGGCAGCTGTCGGAACCTCCCAGTGAGCTGGGCGTGCAGCTGGCTCCAGGCCCGCCTCCGACAGGGCAGGACTTAGGACCAGAGGGACAAGGAGACAGGTCACGGCACAGGGCGATGTCACAAATGTGCCCCCTCGAAATCAGTGAATTGTAATTCCATGGAAGCTGAGTCGGATGAGAGACGCCGAGTACTTCACGCAAGTGGTCTGGGCCACTTTAGAATCCACGGACACTGTGAGCCGTGTTTGAAGGAAACCCCCGCTTGTCCACCAGAACATGTGTACACACAGAAAACTGTAGATTTCAAAATTGCCAGGGCGGGTGAAACATCAGTTTTAGGGGCCAACATTTCCCTCCTCCCTTTCCTTTCTCAAAGCACTGATGTCAGCCCCCAGAAAAGTATGTACAGGGTCCCCACTTCCTCCAGCGGCCCCCTTGGGTAGGCGGCACCCGCGCCAGCATTCAGTAAGAATAAAGTGAGAGGGTGACAGATGGCCCCTCCAACAGAGTGGCCAGGACAGGACGGCTGCGGCCACCATGCAGGACGCGTGTTTGCGGAGACGGGGACCCTGCAACCTCACAGCTGGAGGCTGCCGGGGTCGCCGGGGTCCCTGCACCTTCAGACTCCCCTCCCTGGCTCTGAGCCCAGTCTCTCTCTTGCCCCCCACACTCCACCCCCTCTCCGCTGGCCCTGTCTCCCCTCCCCCAGCCAGGCTTCCGGAAGGCCTGCCCCCTCTCTCCCCCACGCCCTCAGCCAGTCACTGCACGCGCGCACGCGTGCACACGCACACGCACACTCGCACGCACACACACATTTCAAAAGGTCACCAGCAACATTTGGTCCCATCCAAAGGGTCCTTTCTGGGTCTGGGTCTCTCTGACCTTGGGGGCACCCCACAAAGGGACTGGCCCCTGCCTCCCAATTTTCACCAGCTCTTTGGTCCTTCCTGCATGGCCGCCTCCTCTTCTCTGTCCTGACACATGGAACTGGGACCCTCCTCTCCCCTCTTCCTCTCCCCAGGGCCCCTCCCCTCCGCTGCTCCAGAGCCTGCAACCCTGGGTCTGCAACCCTGTCCCAGAGACTAGCGCCTCCCGGGCACTTCTCAAGACTGAACTCTGCACTTTCACCCCTAACCTGTTCCCTCACCTGCTGTCCCTCTGGGGTCCTGGGCCCCAGCAGCCGGTGCCTGGGCGTCCTCATCCACACGAGGCCCTGCAGGCCCTAAGTCCCACGTCACACCCTTTCACTCTCCCGCGCGAGTCCACGTCACCTCCTGTCCACCACCAAGTCCAGACCAGAGGCTCCGGCCACTTCTCCCACAGAACACGTGGGAAGATTCGAAAGTTGGAGACTGGCCCGACCTCACGAAGCCGCGCTGGGTCACGAGCCAACCACGAGTTTCCTGGATGCCGTCCGTGTGGCCCACCAGGGGTCTCCAGGCCCCCTGCCCAGGGGACAGGCAGGCGTTCTCCATGTGAAGGCTCAGGGCAGGGGTGACGGCAGGGCTGCTGTCCCAGGGGAAGGCCTGGGTAGGTGGTGTCAGTGGGAGGCCCAGCTCGGCTGGTTGTGCTGCAGGCTGAGCAGGACTCCAGGCAACGCCCTGAGGCAGGAGAGCGGGGGGGGGGGGGGGGGGGGGGCGTGTCGCTGCACAGGGCCTGAGCCCAACAGGCTCTGTGAGTTTGGGGTGACTCTGGTCTCCACTCCAAGTCTGGAGGCGGGGAGGGACATGGGACGTGTCTTCAGGGCCACACTGGCGGTGGCTCGGAGCCTGCCTAGTGGCACCTTGGCCCACACGGGGCCAACAAGCCTCCTTCCCAGGCCCCCGAGGCTCCATCACACGCGGCCTGATTGTGCACTTGGCCGGTTCTTGCCTCCGCCCAAACCAGGGACCCGCCGCAGGGTCCGGGCAGACCCCTGTGTCTTCCTCCCCAGGTACAACTGGCCACACTGCACCAGGCCCTGGGAGGGAGCAGGCGGCACGGCCAGGGCCTGGCCCAGAGGTGTCGGCTACTGGAGGAGCAGGTCGCCAGCCTGGAGCACAGGTGCCAGGAGGCCGAGAGCGCCCTGGGGTCCCTGCGGCAGGTGAGCCCTCAGAGCGCAAGGCCCCCCATCCTCTTACAGAATGAGCCCCTGGGCATGAACTGAGGTCCAGGAGTTCATCCGATGCCCAGCTGAGGGGGGAGGGCAGGGGTTCCCTGCCCCAGGACCACCTGAAAGCCAGGCCCATGAGGCCTCTGCCGGCCCAGGTGCTCTGGGGGCCACACAGACAGAGGAGGGGCTCGGGGACACACGCCTGCCGCCCGGGCACAGACATCCACACAGCTGTCACCCCCCCCCCCCCTACAGCACTGGCCCAGGCAGGGCCAGGGAAGGGCAGCGGTCCTGGGCTCCCCTGTGCAAAGGGAACCAGGTGTCCGTTGCTCATGGCTGTACCAAGCAGGGCTGCTCAGAGGGGTTGGGGAGGCCATGCTGAGTGGCAGACTTTGCAGGGATCCCTGGGCTTGTCACTGTGCCACCTGCTGACCGAGCCCTGCACAGACTGGCTCCCGCTGGGGCACTGTGGCCCAAGGGCAGCCAGGGGCACCCCGGAGTGGAGGCAGCGAGGAGGGAAGGAGCACCAGGCTGAGCAGAACTGGAGGCCGCACTGCTGCGGCAGGAAGGAGAGTGTTTGGTTGTTGCCGGGAGTAGCTGGGGACCCCACAGGGCGGGGGTGACGGCTGCATGTACACTGACCACTTGCCCTGAAGGAGCCGGGGTGCAGGGGCAGGGTGCTGCTGGGCCTGGAGCCTCCAGGAGAGTGTGTGTCCCCTGTCCCCAGCAGGCCCTGGCCACAGGCACACACTGGCCAGCAGAGGTGGACTCGGGACAGGAGGGTTTTCCAGAGGGGCAGCCACATCCGTGGGGTGCAGCGGGGAAAAGGGACCCTGGGGACAGGACTGGGGTCTGGACGGGGGCACAGAGACCAGCAGGTCAGGACAGTCACTGATGCCACTGACCAGCATGTCCATACAGGGCCACCTGCCTTCCCAGGAAGGAGGGTCGGCCAGCTGGGCACGGTCACAGGATCCCGTTGCTTCACCCGCAGGGTGGCCCAGCGCTGCGCCGCCAAGCAGGGGAGCCGAGGCCTCCTGGCCACCCCCGGGCTCCGGGGCTGAGCATGAGCAGGCCCTGGCACTGCCCCGTGGGGGAGGGGAGGAACAGCTAATGAGTTCCAGGAGGTCAGCTGTGAGGGGCCGCAAACCCATAAACCCTTGACTGGAGTCTCAGGAGGGGAAGCCCGGCGTGGCCGCGTGTTTACTTTGGACCCCGCGCTGTCTCACGTGAGCTGCCGGAACTGTCCCTGGGATTTAAAGGAACAGGACTTCCTTTCCGTGCAGGGCTCTGCCGTCTCCGCCCCGGAGCAGAAAGAGGTCCTTGCTTCTGAGGTTCTGAGCACTGGCCAGGGCCTCCCCGCAGGCTGCTCCCCCTCCTCGGGCCTGAGAGCCCGGACCTGCAGGGCCCGCGCTGGGCAGGGCAGGCCTGCTTTGGAGAGGGGGCCTGGGCTCTGATGCTGCCCAGCGGCTGACAGGCCGGTGCCCGCAGGGCTGCAGGGCAGGGCACCGTCCCCAGCAGCACCCATGGGGCATGTCCGGCATCATTTCTTTCCTCCAAAGGGACTGTCCATGGGGGCAAACGGAGCCCCACCAGCCTTCTCTCCAAAATGGTCTGTCTCCTGGTCATGGCTTGGCGGGGCAGGGTGGTGACCAAGGAAGGGTCTCTGCTCCAGGGAGGACAGGCAGTGGGGACAGTGATGCAACGGGCTTGTTGGGACCAGGTCAGGGCGAGGGCCGAGCCTCGCTCAGCAGGTCCCGCGGGCTGGCTCCCGGTGTGGGGTGCAGGGGGTCGGGCTCCATGGGCCAGGAGGAATGCTGAAGCCCAGGGGGTGGGCCCAGGGGACGGATCCCCGCTGAGGGCAGCTCTGAAGCAGATGGAGATCAGACCCCAGCCCGTCAGCTCCCACCCTGGCTCAGATGCCAGTGGCCCTGGAAGGGGCTCTGTCCTGGCCCAGGACACCCTGCCCCCATCAAGCCAGTGCTCAGGGGACCCAGAGCCCTTCCCTGAGGCACCCACATGCCCCCCAAGAGAAGACTGGTCTGACCACACCTCCAGCAGCCACTACAAGACCTGCTCTTGCAGAGGGCACGGGACACCCCGAGCAGGGAAGGGGACGCGGGGCCGAGAAGCCACGGGACCAGCCCTCACGCAGCCTCCAAGCGGACAGGGCCCTGAGGCAGGACCCGCAGCTGCAGGTCAGCTGTGCCCTCCGGCCGGGGGGTGGGCCCGGAGCAAGCGGCATCCAGATGGTGTGGGTCCCAGGGGGTGTCCACCCTGCCTGTCTCAGGCACACACAGGTGTGCACACACAGGGCAGGTGCAGAGATGCTGCCCCAGACAACAGTGGTGTCCACCGGGCCACACCTGGGACGGTCGGGGACCTTGTGAGCCAGCTCATGCACCCGAAAGAAGGAGAGTGGGGAGCAGGCTCGGGCTGCTCCCTGTGTGTGCTGGGGACCCTGGCACCTCAGACAAGGGATCTGCAAGCAGGTGGGGGCAGGAAGATTCAGCCAGCGATGCCCATGGGACCCCCGTCCAGCCAGCCGGAAAGCAGGGTGCCACTAAAGCAAAGTCAGGTCCACCCTGCAGGCCCAGAGGAGGCCCCTACCTGCTTGCCAACCCTGGGCTGGGCCCACACCCCAGCAGAAGGCAGCAGGGTGTGGATGGAGGCACAGCAGCCCCAAGGGCAGGTGGGCAGTGGCGAGGAGCCCGGTTCTCACCCCGGTGCGGACAGCGGAGCAGGGGAGGCCCAGGCTCAGCTGCTCCAGGAGCTGGCCGACCAACACCAGCAAGACCTGGCTTCAGGGGCCGCGCCGGCCCCGAGTCCCAGGTGGGGGGCGGGACGTGGTGTCCAGCAGCACACCCTGAGGGCTTCCAGCAGGGGTCTCGGCACCGCTGCCAGGAGCTCCAGCTCCCTGAGTGCTGGAGCAGGTTCCTGGGGCCAGTCTCCACCTCTCTGCCCCCATCGCCTGCCCACCCATAAGGAGGGTGGCGAGAACAGCCCCGCGGTCAGAGGTCACTGCCTATGACGTGTCAGGCCCAGCAGGCAGGCAGCAGTTGGAGCAGGGGTGGCCCCTGCCCCTGTCCTTCGGTCAGAAGGGAGAGAGTGACGCACGTGTGCATGAGATGGTGACCAAGTGTGGCAGAGCCTTGGACATGTAGCTGTGCTCCCAACACGCACACACGTGTACACACACACAGACATGCCTGCCAGGGCTGGCCCTTGGCTCCCAGCTGTCAGAGACCTCATTCTGCAGATAGGGGAGCCGAGACCCAGAGCGGTAAAGTGGGTGCCCAGTGTCACCCCCAAATGAGTGTCTCTGACCCACCAAGCCACATCCACTAAATAAATATGCCAAGAAGCATTTATTTCCTTATCATCCCGAGTGTGTTTGTGGCCTGAATGGGAGGGTCCGACCGTCGCAGGTCCCTGAGATCCCATGGGTGGGGGTCCCTGATGAGAGGGGGACCATGTGTCCTGTGTCTGCCGCTGTTTCTGTCCCATGAGTGGGGGAGCCGAGGACTACGGCCTCCCGGCCTTCCTGTTACAGAGCTCCGGGGTCCTGGCTGGGACCAGCCCTCCCACCGAGCTCCTGCCCCATCCACAGGTGTCCAGGAGGGAGCAGCTGGACTAGGAAGTCCAGGCAGCAGCGCGCCCACCTCGCCGGGCCTCCCCACCAGGAAGTGAGCCCTGCTGCCCACCCGGAGGGCTGACCAGACCGACCACCACGGCCCTGGCCAGCAGAATCGCGACTGGGAGAACGGGTGCTCATGCAGCTCAGGGGACCACGCTCGGCAGGGTGGGCCTGGTGCTGGGAGGGGGTCCAGGGTGCAGGCAGCCGAGCCCACACTCACCAGGAGGCCCGCGTCAGCAGGCACCTCTGGGTCCCCTGACCGGTGACTCGGGCCTCCCTGGCCCCAGCCCGCCCTGCTGCGCACGGCCTCCGCCAGCAGCACGGCCCCGGGCCTGGCGCTGGGTCTCTGCTTGGATGTGCGGATCCCGACGGCTCGCGGAGGCCAGGCCCTGCCAGGCCGGCTCCCTCGGCCACAGGCTGCATTCCGTGCCCTCGGCTCTGTCAACATGGGAAACACGTGGAAAACATTTCCACCAAATGGAGCCAAAAACAATGTCCTGGAGGCCAGGGCTCGCTCCCTCCGCCCAGAGGCTGCGGCCCTTCCGTGTCCAGGAACTGCAGGTCTGCCCTGGTGGCAGGTGGCTGGAAATGACTCAGTCGGGCCACTGACTCACTGGCCCAGGAGGTACGGGAGCGGAAGTCAGACTTGCAGAACCTCCCACTGTCCCAGCCTGTGACCTGGGCTGTGCCCTCGGGATCCAGCCCCGTTGCCACGGAGACGAACAGCCATCCTGGTGCACCTGTCGGCGTTTCTGCTCATCCCCCATCAGCGCTGGTCAGAGCGATTTGTCTTCCTCTCCAAACGGCCTCTTCTGTTATGGACTTGCACGTACCCGAGGTCCCCAGGAGCCCGGCTCCTCCCAGGTACCCCGTCATGCCCGGGAGGAGGGGCGTGGGGGCGGGAAGGGTCCAAAGCTCTGGAAGCCACCCCATCTCGGCCACTGTGAGCTGTGACGGCCACCTGCCTTTCCAGAGGGACCCAGGCTTGTCTCCTGGTTGAATTCAGAAATGGACAAAGTTACCATATGTTGAAAACTCCACAGAAGCGATGTCTAGAAAGAGGTGGGCAAAGGGCTTCCCTCTGCCTGTCGACTGCCCGGTTACTGGAGCCCATGTTGAGGGGGACGCTGAAGTCCAGCCCAGGCTCAGAGAGCACAGCAAGTGGCCGTTAGCGATGGCTGCTCCAGACAAAGGGAGGGTCAGTGGGGTGCACCCTGGTATCAGCCCTCCTGCAGGGGCCAGTCAAGACAAATAGCAACCCAGCAGGTGGGCACACCTCACCGCTGAAGAGTGTTCCCCAAAACGGGGACCAGCAGGGCCCTGAGAGAGAACATACATCACTCAGGCCTGATATTCAGTGACGTGTTCCTGCCCCTCCACAGCCGAGTGTGCCCTTCCCTGGGGAGCCCCCTCCACCCCCAGCGGGACTTGAGGGAGGGGGTAGAAGGACAGAACTGGAAGCTGGGGACCGGAGTCGGGTCAACGCTTGTTCTCTGCATGTCTGCGCCGCCCACTGGGTGCCTGTCACACCGTTGGGACTGAAGCTCCCACACAGAGGTGGTGAACAGTGTGCGTGAGTGAAAGGGGGTCCTCTCCAGCCTTGGAAGGCGTTGGGGTGATTTCTCAGCGTTGAAAGGAAAGCCACCCACAACTTGACCACGTACTCACGACGACACCAGGGTCCTCCTTGCCTGTCACGGGACACGACCAAGGGCCTGTGAGGCCTCCAGTTTCACCTTTCAACAAACAGGTCAGTCGACGTTGGGACACTGTCCCTGCTTACTCGACATAAAGTGGTGCAGTTGGGAAAAGGGTCTTTTTATGATGGAAATAAACTGGTGTTTCTGTAAGCATCTCCCCGGGAGAGGTGTGGACCTGTGACTGCGCTTCCAGGGGCTCCCAGCCTCGCGGAGCTCTCGGGACAGTTTACAGGTGGGGAGGAGGCAGGCCAGGGCCCACACGGGCCTCACCCGACCTCGTCCCCTGCCGGAGCTTCGGGTACAGAGTTCCACTGACGGGCAGATGGAGCTGGGCCAGGTGGACGGAGCAAGGTGAGGCCCGTGTCAGGTGTGGGACCCTGGAGGGGAGGAGGGCGGGGTGGGGCCATCCTGGTGTGCAGGGTTAGGGCGGAACTGCTGCCCTCCCCACAGTCCCAAGGGAAAGAAGCAAAGGTGGCCCAGCTCTCACCCACTCTGCCCCCTGGAGTGCAGACCAAGGCCTTTGGGTGCCCCCCCCGGCCATCCCACGGGGTGGCCTGTGGCCTAAAAGAGGCCCAGCGGGTCCCAGCATCCCCTTGGGAGTCCCAGTTCTGCCCCTCTCCAGCTGTGCAATCCCGGCTCTCTAGGGGACCACCGAGCCTGGGCACCAACCTTCTCAGGTGTCCAAGGACAGGCCTGCAGCCCACAGGGGAGAGCCCCACCCACCCACCCAGAGAAGGCCGGAGAGCGGGGGGAAGGGCCCCTTCTGAAGCACGGGGGCCGGAAGGAAGGAGGTGACACCTCAGGACAGACTGGCAGGGGAGGGTGACCGAGCCCTGAGGGGCAGGCCCAGCGCCAGGCTTGTGAGGGAGGCAAAGGCCCCATCTTGGCCACAGCCGGGGAGGAAATGAGCTGCAGGACCGAGGCCAGCTGGGCCAGGGCGGCTGGTATCGGGGCCTCTGGACGTCAGCATCCCCACCTGCAGACACTAGAGCTCACCCTCTTCCGGACACGCGTGCTGGGAGCCCGTGGGGTTGGACTGCATCTGCTACTTTCAACACCCTTTTTTAAAAATGTTACCTGAGTTTTCCCACCTCACTGGAGAGACCACAGAGCACGGTTTTATTGGCTGCCGAGCAGGGACAGACCTGCGTCTCCTGCATGCCTGGGCCTCCCTGGCTGTCCCTGAACACTGGGAAATGGGAGCCTTTGCCCTTGAACCAGGGGAGATGGATGAGGCTGCCTGCAGGAGGTCACCCCAGGGCAGGGAGAGCCCGTACCTGAGCCCACCTGAGACCCACTTAACGGCCTCTGCCTGCAGACCCGCCAGCTCAGTGTGCCCAGTCCCTCTCCACCTTCCCGAGCTAAAGCAGCAGTGTGCATGCAGGAGCAACCTGACCCACATTCTGAAGTCCCATCGCAGGTGTCCAGGTGCGGTGGGGGCTCCGGGGAGGCTCAGCCTCGCCGCACAGTGGGTGGAGCCAGTGGGCCAGGTCGGGGGGCTCCACACACTGGCCATGTGGACAGCGGGGCACCCTGAGCCCGGCCATACCACCTTGGCCCACCCAGCCTTACAGTATAGTGACAGGAGCCAGACCCTACTTGCCCCTCTGAGCCCTGTGCCCTCCGGACCTCATTCCCAGGGCAGGTGGGGGTTACCTGGGACAGGGGCTCTGGTGTCACCTACAAGGCAGGGCCAGCTTCTCCGGGGAGATCTGCCTCTTGGAGGGAGAGAGAGAAAGTTGGCGGGTGTAGCCAGCCAGTCCCTGCCACTGCCCCACACGGAGCCCCCAGCCCCAGCCCTGCAGGGAGCAGCCCCCCGGGCCAGGTATGGACACTCACCACCTTACCCTGCACGGAGCCCCACGTCCTGGGGCGTCCCGAGGTCGGCTCTGGGCTCCCCATCTGAACTGCACATACAGTCAGGCCCTAAATTAAAATGTCACAGGCCTGTGGGGAGTCTCGGGTTTCCTGCCGCAGCACATGAGCCTGCTTGATAAAACCACTTTGGTTTTGATGAATGTGGGCTGACTTTCTGCGCCAGGGACAAAGGTGCCCTTGAGCCCGGAGGAGAACCTACAACGGCACATTGCTGAAAACTATTTCCTGATCATATTTTTAGCACCTTAAAAAAAAAACCCACTTTTTTCCCCCTTTTTGCCTGAGGAGTTGTGTTTTTGTGTTTGTTTTTTGTTTTCGTTGTTGTTGTTAATGCAATGCCCAGTGGTGCCGAGGCCTAGTGTTAGCCCCCGGTCTGCCAAGCCAGGCTGCAGCCCAGCCCAGGGTGAAGGGCACATGGGCTCTCGGGTGCTGAGCATCTCACAAAGCCACCCAGGAGATTCCCGTGAGTGGCCGGGTGGGGAACCCCTGCCTAGGACAACTCCTCCCACCATGCCAAAAGAAACAATCTCACTGGGTGCCCAGGGCTGTGCTGGGCTCTGGGGCAGTGGTGCCCCGATGGGCCCCCAGGTGTTCCCGGAAACAGGCCTTTACTAGGGCCCCCTGAGGCATGTGCTCAGGAGGTCAGCAGTGCCCAGGAGGGAAGGGTAGTGGGAGGAAGACAAGGAAGCAGGGGGCTGGGCAGGAGGTAGGTAGGTCTAAAAGAGGTCAGAGGTCAGGCCCTGATGCCCACACCCCTGCTTGGTGCCATGTGTGTTCATATGTGTGTGAGTGTGGATGTACATGTGAGCTGCGCACATGTGAGAGAATTAGTGTGAGCTGTGGGAACGTACGAGTGTGCATGAATGTGTGGGTGTGAGCACCTGTGTGGGAATGTACACGTGGCAGAGAATAGTGTGTCTGGATGGGAGGTGCACGTGAGTGTGCATGCATGCGTGTGGATGCGTGTGGATGCGTGTGGATGCCTGTGCAAGTGGGGACGGGCCTTTCCTCCTCAGCTGCCCTGAGAGCCGTGTGAACTTGGAGTTCTATCCCCAGCACAGCCCCTGCAATCCAACATCATCTCTGACTTTTGTCCTCCACAGATGGGAGGTCTTGACCTTTCTTCATTTCTTGCAGCTACGGTTGTCCTGCTGTCCTGGGGTCTCTGCCTACCCCCCCCCCGGCCCCCACAGCTGCACTTCGTGGGACTAGGGCAGCATTTACAGGGCATTGACTCTTGGGGTGCTGCCAGTGTAGGGCCAGCCTCCTGACATTCTCCCCGGGCCCTGATGGCATCCTAGCAGGACCTTGTAAACCGGTGGCCCCAGAGTCATCCCCTCACACACAGGGACCCTCCCACTGGTTCTTAAAGTCACATCGAACGTCCCTTGCTCGGATTGCACGACAACATGCTCACTGAGTACGTTCTGAAAAACACAAAGACAAGCGTGCAACCCAGGACCTGCGGCCGTGGTGCCTGTCCTCTCTGCTTATCTTTGGGGGTGCACCTGTCTTCAGAGAGGATGGAGGAGGAACTGAGGCCCCAGGATCCAGGTCTTGCCCTGGGTCTGGAAACCCAGAGGGGAACAGATGCCCCTGTGGAGGGACACACGCTCAGAATGACGTCCACGGCGGCAGTCCCAGAGGCAGAAGGGCTGGGATGGCCGCGGGAGGGGCCGAGATCTAAGCTGTGATTCCTGTGCCCTCCAGAGTCCCGGCTGGCCGGCCTTCCCCAGAACGGCGGCTTCAGGCTGCTCTGTGCAGGAGCCGCCGAGGTTCTCTTGCTGTGAGGACCCTTAGGCCCCTGATTTAATACCCTGAAGCCCCCTGGCCAGGGGTCGTTACCACATTAAACCAGAGGGGAAGCTTCCCCTGCACAGGAATCCGGTGTCCCCAGGCTCAGGGCCTGCCTCTTCCAGAGGGTCCGTCCAGGCACTGCTCGGCCAGTGTGGGCCCCACTGATGACATCTGGCAGCGGGGGACCGGGTCCCCTGGCCGGCAGCAGCCTGAAAGGGCACCGGGGAAGCCTGCCTCCGCGCCCAGCCTCTCCAGCAGGCCTTAAGGTCTGTCCCAAAACTGCTCCGAGGACAGCAATGCGGACAGCGGAGGAGGAGATCCCGTCGCAGGGGTGCGCCCAGGCAGCCCTCAGGTCGCCAGTGCCGGGCCAGGGGCGCGAGGAGAACGCGGGGGCCACGGGCCGCGCGTCCAGGCCGCCTGGTGCGGAAAGCGGGCGCAGCGCGGGGTCAGAGACTCCGCGCGCCCCCGCGTTCCGGCGGGCCTGGCGCTTTAAGAGCCGCCCTATTTGCATGGCCCCGCCCAGGCCCCGCCCAGGCCCCGCCCAGGCCCGGGTGGCCGCCCGCTGGATATTTAAATCGCCGCCCCAGGGGCGGGGTCGGCCCCGAATGCGGTCCCGCCCGTCGCCTTCCTCCGCGGAGCGGCCACCGGCGCGCGGCCCGGCCGAGCTCGCGGGCGCAGGGCGCAGAGCGCGGAGCCATCGACGGCGCGGCCGCGCTGCCCGAACGCCCGCTCGGCGCCGCCGGCCACTCCCGCCCGCGGCCTCGCCTCCCGCTGGGGGACCGCGCAGCCCCGCTCTGTCCTTCTCGGTCCCGTCCTGCCCCCCTGCGCCCCGCTCCGTGCCGCTCCGTCCCCGCTCCGTCCCCGCTCCGCCCGCTCTGCTCCCGCCGCCGACCCCTGGCGATGCCGCGCGGGGCCGCCTGGGCGCTGCTCTTGGCCGCGGCCCTGGGGCTCGGGGCGCGCGGGGTGCGCGGCGCGGTGGCCCTGGCCGACTTCTACCCGTTCGGCGCGGAGCACGGCGACGCTGTCACCCCCAAACAGGACGACGGCGGCTCGGGGCTGCGGCCGCTCTCCGTGCCCTTCCCGTTCTTCGGCGCCGAGCACTCCGGACTCTACGTGAGTACCCCGAGCCCGCGGGGCGCCAGGGAGGGCGCTGCGCCCCGGCCGCTGCCCGCCGCCCCGACTCCCGCCGCCGCCGCCAGCAGCTTGGCACCGCGGCGGCCAGAGGTGGAATGAGGACAGCGCTTCCTCCCTCGGCGGCCAAGGCCGGACAGCGGCCCGCGGGAGAGGCGGGCCGGGTGGGGGTGCGAGCTGCAGCCACTGGAGCGCGGCGCGCCCCTGCCCGGCCCCTGCCCCGGCCTGACCGGCCTGGAGCCTGGGCAGCGTGCGCTGCGCGCCTGCCCGGTGCCTGCCTGGTCCCAGCCCGGTGCGGGGAGTCCAGGCCGGTCCTGGTTCTTTCACAGCCAGCCGGCACGGGCCAGTTCTGTCTCCACCGCTCCCAGGGCGGGACCCTGGGCCACGGAGGGAAAGAAACGCGGTGCCTTGGCGCTGCCGAGCATGTCCTGCGGGGGCCACAGGGCACTGCACCCCGCCTTCCCCGAATCCGCCCGAGTGGTGTAGAAAGGGGGCTGGGCAGCCTGGTGAACTGTCACCTGCAACACCAATGCCCTGAACCCAACTGCCATTTCCACCCTCCAATCCCCCATCCCCCCACCACCCCACCCCACCATCCCCCCGCCATCCCGGGCCATCAGCACCACCCTCTGCACTGCCATCTCCCCCACCAGCACCGTCACCTGCCCCGGCATCCCCACCACCTCCAACACCATTCTCAGCTTTGACACCACTGCCACCCCCTACCCACCACTGTTCGTGTGGCCCCTGCCATCCCCTCGCCACCAGGGCCTCCAGCGTCATCGGCTCCCTCCACCACTTGGCCACCCACAGCTGGGCAGCTGCCTTTCCCAGGCCTGTGCAGAAAGGCCTCCTCGCCTTGGGGGTAGCATTTGCTGATGTGACCGTGGTAGGAGGAGGCAGCCGTTGTCCCTGTAGACACCACCAGCTGAACGTCCCTGTGGGCCAGGATCTGGTGCGAGGGCAGCACTGACGTCAGAAGTGTGGGTCGAGCAGGGCAGAGCTGTGCTCAGGGTCTGCCGGAGCCCGATACATCCTAGAAACGGGGAAACTCACGCTGACACCATCTTAACACAACACGGCATCGAAATGCCCCTTAGGAACTGGGCCAGGCTCAACGGTCCCACCCGCAGTCACAGGTGAAAACACTATGAAAACAGTCGGCCCCTCACCAGCCTCACTGAAAACCGACCCTTGCCAGAGCCGCGGGAGAGAGGGCTCTGAAGTGGACAGATCCGATAGCAAAACAAACGGCTCCATCGGAAACCAACATTCTGGCTGCTAACAAAACACAATCTCCGTGAGAGCTTTTTCCTGAAACAGAGATCGTGTTTGAAAAACACTTGCCCATGTGGACATGGTGAGCCCGTCGCCTTCCCGTCCTCAGTGGGAAAGACGATGGAATTCTTGGGGAACGATGCCCAGAACACCTTGCCTGGAGTAACCGCGGGTCTGTCGGGGAGGGAACAGCAGGCGGGGCGTGGGAGCCTTAGAATCACAGCCAGCGGAGGGGGGAGGCATTTATTCTGAAGCAAGTGAGTCTGACCAGTGCCCCCACACCCACAAGGCCAAGGGGACACTCCCCTGCATGCCTCTGGCTCCAGCCCTTGTCCAGCAGAGCCCACGCAGGCCAGCCCCCACCCCCTGGGCTCAGTCCCCTTAGTCCCCAGCCCATTGCGTGGCAGAGAGCAGGCTTATTGAGTGGCTGGCTGGGTGGGTGGGTGGACGGTGCCTCAGCCCTGACAGGGCCCACTTGTCCCACGGTGTGAAGTCAGCTGTGATGCTGCTGGGAGATATGCTTTCTGATCTCCATCGAAGCTGCACACGGGTCACAGCCCTGGCCAGAACACAGTCCCGTGGCACGTGGGTCCCCGTTTCCAGGAGGCGCCCAGCTTCCCGCGTCTTCTCGCGTCACAGCGGCTGTGTGTGCGAAGCTTCAGGCCCTGGAAACCAGGGAGGGTCGGTGCTGTTGCCAAGGTCCTGTGCCGACCCAGCCAGCACTGCAGGGGTGCGGAGCCGCAGCCACCTGCCGAGGGGATTCCCCTGCAGGTGCTGCGTGGTCTGTGGGTAGGGGCGGCAGCTGTGCCACGTCCTACGGGTGGCCGAGGTGGAGCGTCCACTCAGGGTGGGGTCATGGGGACGCGAAGGAAGACCCTGGTTGGTTTGTCACCAGGAGCTTCAAGTGGTTGGCTTCAGGTAACACGTCCCCACGCGGCTTCTGTTCCTCTGTGAGGGGAAGGGTGTGAGGTGGGCAACATCACTGAAGGTGCCAGGCACCCTGTGAGGGGCCCACACGTATGTTTTAGGGCTGCAGAGGCCAGGACGAGGTTCAGGGTCCACCGTTTGCGTCTAAGGCTGAATTGTTGGCATGGTGGACAAGGTGTGCCCCCTAGGGTCCCTTCCACCCATCACCCCAAGGCCTCCTCCAGCCCCTGCTGGCCCCTCACCAGCTGCTCTGACCCCATTGACCTCCTTGTCATTGGGACACTGCAGGGCCACTCAGCATGTGGAGCGTGAGTGGGGCAGAGGTGGGCGGTGCCTGTGGAGCCCAGAGCGAGGGGCGGTGCTGGCAGTGGGTTGCCCGAGGGAGGCTGCATGCCCACCCTGAGTGCCCAGACCACAGCAGCCCGGCTGGTTATTTCCTCTGCAGGCCTGTTTCCCTTCTGTGCAGCAGAGCGCCCCCCTCTGAGCATGCCCATGACACATGTCCAACCGTCCCTGTCGTGGCTGCTCTGGCCGCCAGCTCCCCGCCATCTACAAAGCCCGTCCTGACCCACAGGGGTGAGCCTGGCGAAGTGCCGGCGGCTCTCTGAGCTCACTGAGCAAACCCGAGACCCAGGGGGCTCCAGGAGGAAGGGCGGGGGTGGAATGGAGTAGGAGTCAGACCGGGCGCGAGTGGGCGGCCCTCAGAGGACAGGCAGGACCGTCATCCCTGGACAGATGAGGAAACTGAGGCTACGAAGGCAGATCAGGTGTCTCCTTACTGTCCCAGCCCAGCCAGCAGGACCCAGCCTGCAGTCTGGCTTCCTCCGCCCACCCTCTGGCACAGGGCTTGCGGGCGGCCCAGGGGGTCTGCTCAGCGCCTCCCTCCCTTCCTCGGCCAGCCCCACCTTGTCAGCAGCTGGGCCTGGCAGCTCTGCCTTGGAAACACTTCCCCTTCCCAGCACCTGCAGTCACGGCCCTGGGCCAGGCCACCGTCCCCACTCGCTGGCCTCCAGCTCCTGGCCCTGCCCTCGGGCCTGTTCACTGGGCGGCCGAGGAAGCATTGCCCAATAGGAACAGGACCCTGTCTCTGTGCCTCCCCCCCGGCCTCTATGTCCTGCCCTTATTTGCCCCTGCTCTGGAGGCTGGCTGGTTTTACCCCGAGTACCTCACGGGAAGGCAAGGCTGGCCAGGGGGGAATGACTCAGGGGTCCCGTTCCTCAGCTCCCAGAGTCTGTGAAGCCAGAGCTTCTCAGCTAGAAGTGACCTGCTGGTCAGACTGTGCCCCCAGACAGCTCTCCACGGAAGCCTGGTGCGTCCACTCCCCACGGCCCGCTGGGTCACTTCTGCAGTAACTCATCCACTCATTGAGCACCCTGAGCCCAGGTGGAGCCTGGGGGGACACGTGGCAGCCGTGTGCCCCTCTAGGGTGGACGCCGCTGTCTTCTGCTTTCTGCCCTGCGCTGTCCTGGCTTCTGGGCAGTGCTGGCTTGGGTCGCCCCTCAGACGCTGGGATGGCACCCCCATAATCCCACACCCACACACCCCCGATCTGTTCTCACGCGCAGTCAGGGCGCTGAGCCCCGGGCTCCGTGCCCGTGTCCGCGGTTTCCCGTGCCTCTGTGTGGAAGGGCTTTTCGGTGACGTGTGCAATCCCTCCACTCGCCGCACCACAGTCCTCTCAGCAGCCAGGGTGCTGGCTGTGGGTGGTCTCGGGGTCTCCCGTGAACTAATTGTGCTGGTGCATGACCACGCTGGGTGTCTTATATGGCGAGTCTCCCGCTCTTTCTTTTCCTTGTGATAAATTCCTCGGAGCGTGCAGACCGGGGCTCCCTGTTGCCCTTCACCCAGAGGGGCATCCCGTCTACACCCTGCTCTCCTGGGTGAAGGAGCCGCTTCACCCGGCCTGGGTCAACCACTGGCCCAGCTCCTGCCGCGGCCAGACCGTGCACACTGCCAGGGCGGATCCCTGCAGGACCCCTGCAGGGTCAGCTGGGAGCCTGATAGAAACGCAGAACTCTGGGCCCCCAAGCACACAGTGGCCCCTGAATCGGCCTGCAGGTGTTCCTAGTGTCCGTCCACACCACCTGAGAAGCACCCACCGGCCCACCATCCTGCTCGTGGTGACCCTGACACTCCTACCCCTTCAGGCTCAAGTCTCCGCTACCTCGCATTTAGGGGTGCAGGGCTGGCCAGGACGAGCCACCCCCGAGGGCCCCAGCCACAGGTGCTCCTTATGGCCCCTGGCTTCTAGGCCGGACTGGGCAACCTGTGGTCAGACTGATGATAGGGGTGGGGGCCGTGGGCAGGCCCAAGGACAGAAGACGGTGAAAGAGTCTAAGCCTTGGGGTGCTCCACCTCCGGGGGTGGGGCTGCCCGGCTGGTTGCACCCCACCTCCTCCATAGGCGCCCAACGTTCATGCCTTAGCGTTCGAAACCTGGTTCCTCGCCACGTGTTGCAAATCATTGGTTAACCACCAGCACGTGCGTGGCCCCAGCCTGCAGAGGGCTGAGCTCTGCAGGGGCCGGGGTGGGAGAGATGGAATAGGCAACGTCCAGGCAGGGTCTCCAACCCCAAGCCCCGCACACAGAGGGGTCAGGGCCACACTGTCCTCCAGTTAGTGCAGGGGCTTGTCCAGGGCCCGACACAGCCCCTGGCCCTCGAACACGTTCTGCCGCCTGCTCTGGTGCCCAGGGGACACTGGGCTCAGGCCACCTGGAGGCCTGCTGGGACGGGCCTGGGATGGGGCTGGGTTCCGCAGGAGCAGCCACTGTCTCAG